GTTTCAAAATTAGTTCTCAAAGTTATATTAATTTATAGACGGTAGGGGTTGATAACCTTCTATTACCTTACGATGATTTTTAAGGTATACTCTTTGGTGTGATAAGAATAATTTATGCACATATAAGATCTCTCTTACTACACTTCACTTATATTTGATCAATTTGCTAGAATTAGCTAAACACTATCCTATCTCACAATAAGAATAGCCGATATAGATATAGCCTTCAAATTCAAAAGGTTTATTAAACCGCTATGCAAACCATGCTCTGGGAGATCCGTCGTAAATCACTTCTCCTCCCTCATAAGAACAGTCGAAAGTGGTTAAGATAAACTGAATAATCAGACTTTAATCAATCACAATTCCATACAAATCATATATCTAAGATTCTCTATTCTCTATATAGTAATCCCTTACTTGAAAATCAATCGAACCCAGAAACGACACTAAAATAAGCCGGATAATTATCCTGATACTTAAGACTGTAGAATCATCATACAAATTACTATTACTTTCTATAGTACTTAGGACTCATAACTAGAGTATTACTTAGCTAGTCAATACTGAAAGAATCTTAAAATTTATGCGGCACTACAGCACATAATGCACTAGCGAGAAATTAGTTGTATAATGAAAGCAGTATAGCTCAATTAACAGCTAATATCTTAACACACCTTGTATAGTATGATAATACATTTCAGTTAGATACCTAATTAATTATAGATCAGATCATGTTCTGATCGTGATTAATTTTGTATTACATGCATGCTCTAACTTATTTTAAAAGATTAGTATCTCTGTTTAACTACAATTCTGTTCTCCCTTTATGACATTAGGCTCAGAACGCTATATTATAGACATGTAGAGTGCAATCCTGTTTAAATGAGGCTGAGCTTGATTTTGAGATTATTACAAATAAGATTAAAGGCCTGAAGTTAAAAGCAAAACCAATTATAACGGAATTACTTCCGATGCTTACTATTTAACACCTTCCGACCCAAAACATCATACTTATGGACATCTATCGAAACTAGTAAAAGTATCATCATGTTGATACCAATACGTCGAAATCTATATAATATAGCTCATATCTAAATTAATACAATAAAATCTTTAAGCACTAATATAGATCTAGAATCATAAAATTAGTTACAATATTACCTTTACAATTCTAATTCCGAATATACTATATTGCTTGATATTAAAAGGGAAGCATTACGCTTATACCTCTGCTTCTTATATTTCAAAGCAATAAAAAAAGAGCCAATAAATATAGTCAGTAGTTGTCATGATAGGCCGTTTTATAGCCTAATTATCTTCAATCACTATTAAAATACTAATCTTTTCAGTTCATTTCTTAATCAATAGATAGATAGTTACAAAACAGTCGAGGATAAATGTCACCAGTATGTATCATTCAAAATAAATTTTAGCGAAAACGTAAACGAAGTGAATTTATCAACTACGCTAATTTCGGTTTGATGAATACGTATACGAACTGGAAAAATACGTAAATACGACTGCACTACAAATAGCTCGATATAGAATTGAGACGCTTTATCAGTTACAAAGTGATGACATACTGCTATTAGTTATGAACAAGCGTAAAGAATGGATGTGGTCTATCGGAATTTACTCCTGATTCAGGCTTATTGACCCAGGTCAAGGCGTCAAACAGCTACTACAAAATTGTGAATTAGAAAGTATACTATAGCAATTTCTAGGCTGTTTGTAATAAAATATATCTTGATTAGTGCAGCTATTTGGACTTCGTCTCCGTGAAATTTAAAAATACTACGTTAAGAGGATCAATATAAATGATTTTAAAATTATTCCTACAATCACAAATTAACTAAACTATAAGTTAATAAGATGATATAATAAGCAATCTGCAGATAGCCTTGACTAAGATGTACGGGTATACTATATTTACATTATTTTCTAGCAATACTTTGAGGTAAATATATCAGATTGTAGTAGCTTCTAATAACTAAAAAATGAAGATTAAACAGCTCTGTGTCACACTGTCATATAGTAGTACAGTACAGTCTATAAGAGCTATTTTAACAGGCTACAATTTACTTAACTTTTGCTCTTGTTGATATCCACAAGATTGTGTCCTACAACTTCCTTCCTGCTCATTTAAACTCCGAAATGAATTTAGCTCGCCTAATCCGACCCCAACCTGAAGCTCTTAGGCTTATAGATGTAATGTTTACAGCGACAAATAATTCCGGTATGTTCACTTAAAAATTCGGATGTGGAAATAGTATATGCTTCATTAAATAACAATTACCGCGTACGGGTTCAATAACTAGTAGCCAATTACTAGAATAAGCCTTAGGTAGCATACATATAAGAGTATTCAGTTTTTTTCTGCGAAAAAATGTGGCAAGAGAAACGGTAATCATTTAATAATTAGTAATTAGATGAAATTTTTTGCATAACATTATTTTCCATCAAAAATATATAAAAGTCCCAATGATGTGTAAATAGTGCATAGATTTATATAAAGTATGTACACAGTACACTTTCTAATTTAAATATGGAATAAAAGTTTCTATCTGATCAACAAAGGATACATTGTCTATTTTGTATTCTTTCCGATAATAAAAGCATATGAATATTAGTTATTTTATTTGTGTAACATGTATAATTTCTTGTATAAGATTAATGCTGTAATTGAACGTAAAGAAATGTAAACTTTAGCTTGATCATGCAGTTATTAGTATGGGGGCATGGCTAGTATGTTAAGATAAGAAGGTGATTTTAGCTAATCTAAAATTACAATATACTAGTGCTAGAAAATTATCTAATAACAACTTATGTAATAATAATGATAATGTTTCTTTAATTCTGAGCTGCGCTTTATTGTATATGCGGAAAAAAATCAACGTGCAATTTGACCAGGCTTACCGTAGTGCAGTAGCCCTTGCAACATCATACTTATCTAAAACTTGGACAGTGATTCCGTCCTAGAAATCTATCTTGTAGTTGTACCGGAAGATTTGGACGTTTGCAACTATTGTATTCATATTTGAATTAATTTTACAAACACTTGCGGCTTCCATTTTATCTTCGCTATATTATTATACCCATATATTATTATATTGTATGAGGAATAAAAGAACTCTTATACAGTTTTAATGCCTTAGGCAAAATTACTTATGAAAAGGTACAGAATTGCTTACTGCCACGAAGGTGCATTTTTATGAGAATGAAATCGGATTAAAGCGTTGAATTACTAGCATATAGAATTATAAATTGAATGGAAACTATATCATTCCACAATAGTTTGTAACTGTAAGTTTTAAGTTTAATTACTTTTAAAATATCACGTGCTCGAATCAACACCAGGGGAGTAAAGATGATGTCGTTTCTTATGTGCAATCTTACCGGCAGTTTTATACATTTCCGTAGACCTTAAGACCAACTAACGATATTTCTTGCATCAGAAATACCACTTATTCCGCTATTTTTCCGTGAATTAAGCGATAAATCAACAGGATTAGTAAATTGATAGGTTTACTTATTGTATTACATGCAATCTAAAAGATAATAAGTTTAGATCATCAACATATTAGTCTAGCTATTGATAAAATTAATGAAAGTGGCGTCGATCGAATTACCGTTAGGGTTAATCAATGACTGCTTTCAATTATCTGTAATATCATGTCCAGCATCTGATCTTACAATAAATTATCAATGGTTCAAACAGAGAAATTTCATTTATTTTATCTCATAACTGCCGTATATTACGTTTAATCATACAGTTTGTAGAATCATGGAAGAAGTTAAAATAACTCTTCTTACTTTATCTGTCTTAATTGATGGCCTTTTTTACTTCTAATTCCCGACATTGACGAAGATAACGTTCAGATTTGCCAAAAACTACAGCATTTATGACCTCTTAATTATCATGTCATTATTTGTTTGGTGAACATCAAAGAGAGTGATTTTGAATAATCAGCTAATTAATGTTAGCATAACAAAATAAATAGGAAAAATACTTAATACAACTACCATTAACGTTTGTATTGAGAGCGTTCCACTTTAACAATAGATAATTAGCCACCAAAGATAGATAACATTATAATAGTTATAATTAGCTATTGTACCTATTACGGTTAGTAAAATTACATAAGCTCAAGTTCTGCCTCTATCTGTTTAAAAATTATTTAAGAGTTGTTTATTGACATAGATCTTTTTCCAAACTACAGAGGAAGCGGTTAGGTACTACGTGTTAAGGATTGAGCTATTTATTAGAGTAAATAAAGCTACTGTAGGAAAAGTTATCAACGTGACTTAGAAAACAGAATTGATCTAATCGTATTAATAACGATCAAATGTAAGTCATTAGCCTTAAAAATGATGTCAATTTAACCAATCTATCGTCTACAGATGTTCAATTTAATAAGGCTGTTTATATAATTTATTTCTTGTCATGTAAGATTTGATAGTCAATACCGTAATTGATTCCACCTGATTTTGATTTGTAATGATATTGTTTCCTTATTTCTTAGCACGATTTGAACATTATGCTAAATATACACCGTAATAAGATTGATTCATAATTAATCTTTCATCTTCATCATTGACCAATAAAATTGACTGGTCATCGTAACAATATAGTAACATTTCATTTCAATTGCATTTTGTTATCCATACTGACCTCTAGATTATTTTTTCTTTTCATAGTAACCGTCAATATTATTACCTAAAACGGTTGCATTAAACTGGTAAACAAGTAATTACCCTCTTGGTGGTGAGACGTCATTTTATTTTTCTCTATTTTAGCATCAATTTGATGGAAATAAGCATTCTGTTTACTTTGCATTGATAGCATAATAACATTAATAAATATATTAATAACATACGAAAATTTATTTGGGATACTATTAATAAGAAGGAAAATTGCAGGGACAGCTATTTTCACATTTCATCAATCTGCTCCTGTTTAACTAAAATTTTCATATCCAAGTTTTGATGATATGGCCAAAATGGTTATAAACTCCATATTCATCGTAATCACAGTACTCACTCTTATTTCAAGCCATGGCATTACAGGTTATCCTGCACGACCTGATTTTATGCCAATCGATAAGCAGTTGCGATATTATGAAGTTATTACATTTCCAAAGATCAATAATCGACCACAACAAATCGAATCAACATGGGTAACCATTAACTTTACGGCTTATCAACAACAGTTTATTCTAAAGTGCACCACTGACCGTACATTATATTCCTCTGATTTTGACATCATTTATAGTAATGGAAGTAATTACAACGACGATAAATTCAATCGACGTCGCCTTGTTACTGGATTTGTCGCTGATAATGTTATGTCCAATGTATATGGCTATCTACATGTTAATGGGGCGTTTCAGGGTCACATTCGTTACAATCGGACACACTATTTTATTGAGCCTGCTGAACTTTACTTTTCAAATGTATCTACTGATCAATTTATCATTTATGCATTAAATGATGTGATATCGCTTAAAAATTTAACTTCTAAAAATGATGAAGAGACAACAGGTAGAAGTTCAAGATCGATTTCGAATAATGCTAATAAATATTTCGATATATTAAGACCAAATCCGGATAATCGACTACAATTTGATGATGAATTCATAGATCATGAACGTATAAAACGGACTGCTAATGCAGCTAGTGCACCGATGGCGTGCGATATTTTGATTCATGTAGATCATACCTATACAGAATTACATCGCACTCCATCAAATGTGGCCATTTCTGTCAGTATCTTATTACAAGGAATTAATCAGTTGTATCGTCCAATTGATTTCGACGGTAACGGTCGTGGCGATGGGGTTAACGTTTTATTCGGACGGTTAAAAATTAACACAACTAGCGATCGCTACGCTAGCAATAATCCTTATTCCGGAACTATTGGCTCATCAGTTGACTATATCTTAGCCGCTTCTGCTGAAAATAACACCGATTATTGCTTATTTTTTGCTTTATCAGCTCGAAATTTCAGCGGAGGTGCATTGGGAATTGCATTCCAAAGTCCAACTCCAGGTGATGCTGGTGTTTGTTCCTATTTTGGTACTTTCTTTCATTTGAGGCTTGGATTTAATACCGGGATTGTAAGTAATTTATTCCGTAGGCATATTATGCCCTATGCACGCATACTTTTAGTCTGGGCTCATGAAATTGGACATTCTTATGGTGCTGACCATGATCCTGCAGATAATACAACTTGCAGCCCAAAAAAGCAAGGCTTGTACTTAATGACGGCAAAATCAGAATCGATCGATTTACCTAATAATGATGAATTCTCGATATGCAGCAAGTCTCAGATTGCACCTCACTTAGTTCGTGGTAAGTCATCAGTTGGCTGTTTTAAACATCATCCCGTACCTACATGTGGTAACGGAATCATCGATCCTGGTGAAGAATGCGATTGTGGTTACTACGGACATTGCAATCAGCCTTGTTGTAACCCACCCTATCTTCGCATCCAGGATACACCTTATACTCAACCTAATGGATTTCTGTATGTTCCTTGCAAACTTAAATCAACTATTTCCTGCAATATTACTAGCAATCCATGCTATAACAATGCTACAGGAATGTACTACAGTACGAAAGATAAGTACATTTGTATTCCAGAAACAGCTTGTACTTATGCATCACATTGTACCGGCAATCAACTTTTATCAACTTGTCTACCAGCTCAAAATAAGCCCAATATCATAACAACATGTCTTGATGATTATAAAGTCTGCCTAAATGGTCACTGTAATGGTTCATTATGTTTGCAACATGGTTATAGTCAGTGTAAGAGCTCCAATATTAGCAGAGATTGTGAATTATGCTGTCAAGACTCTCTCGGTCAATGCTCAGCCATATCAGAACTAGCCAAATTCACCAATACCAGTCGAAAGCATGTCCTACGAGGTTCAGCATGTTCCCATTCGAAAGGTTATTGCGATCAAAAAGGCCGCTGTCACCTTGTTCTCAATCCAACTTTTAGCTATGCTCAATCATTTCTAGCAGTATCAGCAACTTTTGGAGCTATTATAACCCAATTTTTATCTAATTATTACTGGATTCCAATTGTTATTCTAGCGATGTTTTTTCTTATAGGGGTAATCTACTTTTGGAAAAAAAGTCAGAGCAAAGCTAATGATGACAAATTTTACCAAAACGGAGGTTATCATAGCTATACCAAATCAGTAGCCTTGTAATTATAGATATTATAAGTTAGTTATTAGTTGACTAGGTTAATTTACGTCATCCAATACTGCATGATCACAATCAGAAATAATTATAATAGAGCATCCTAAATAAGCAAAGCTTTAATGTTAATCGCTTCAAGAATTGTTGTTTCTGATAGTAAAATCTCAATTAAACATATCTACCCGGTTGATGTATTATTGTTTGACTAAATGTTTAAACATGAGCCTATATGCAATCCTATTTAGCAGCTACAGTAGAATTTTGAATAATTTCATGCAATTATAATATAAATGAATAGCTATCTGAAGTAATGAAATATATTGGATTCTTATAAAGACATGAACATTTTACAGCATAGATCTTGTATTTATTCTCTTTCTTAGAAATTAGTTATTAAATTATAATATATCAAGTACCACCGTGTGATTTTAATTAAAGCTTAGCTATACTCAATCATGCAGATAATGTGAGTTATGCGCATTGAATCGTGTCATGATTTGACTAACGTTAGCTATTCCAAAATTAAAACTTGGTTATTTCATGATAATTATTATATGTGCACTACTTACAGCTGCTGTGCTATTGTCTATGTCAATTACAAGTTATAAATTGAGGAATTAATATTAAGATTTAAAATAAGCGTAAAATTTAAATTAAATAAATTAGTTATTTACGTATATCACTTACCTTTAAAATTTACTAATTCAAACATATGATATAAGCATGTAAAAATCCTTAACATTGGTTTACATAGTCGGTAATTTGATTTGATTTTAATAGATTGTGCTAGAATATTCAATCATTAATGACGTATTTAAATAACGCTTGTTTAGTACCTTAGCGATGTACCTTAGACAGAAAACTTATATAAGATATTCAATAGTGTCATGTATCTAAACTGGTCAAGAATGCATATATATCATCCATGACTAGAATCTCCAATAAATCTTAATCGAGGCTTCCAACATGCAGTAAACTACAGCAAATATTTTCTTAAAGCTACATTTCTGTGGTATTTATCATATGCTGTAATCTAAGAGTAGATTTGGAAAATACTTGAAAACATCAAGAAATAACAATGTTGAAGACGAATAATTATTATTCAATATTAATCAATCTTAATTTCAAGTGAAATTAATCACCGTAACTAAACTGGATAATTCAGTTATTATCCATTGAACTTCATACTCCTATTCTTTCATACATAAATTAATAGCATCCGCGGTAATTAAAAAATGGAATGAAAACGATAGCTTTAAATTATGATGATTATGAGCAGGTTATCTTAATCAGCGTATTTGTTAGTGTCAATAGGTGTGCAGCGGTATACAGCTCTTGACCATTTAACGCAGTACATTATTTTATATCTAATATAGAATACTATCACTGTATTCTATCGAAATAACGATCTGGAGTTTATACAATTTAAGTAACCATCAAAGTGGATGAAATTGCATTCATAGAAAATTATTTTAATTACCGTAACTTAACCAAAACCAAATTGTACCTAGTCAATAGTCTTTTAGGGGACAGATACGATAATGTACTTAGAAAATAATCATTTAATAACAATTAGATTATGATATTAATTAAGTAGACAATAACTGAGAACTGAATATTATGTCAATAAGATGTTTAATTTATTGAATAGCAAAAATTTTTTAAATTTAATGGAATTTATCCAAAAAAACTGCTATTTGTCTACTTTATAGACTTATATAAAACTGTAAAAAATCATGTTTATGAGCACAATGATTTCTTAATTTTAATTGATAATCAAAATACTTTTAATACTTTAAAAAATCACCGAATCAGTTAATTAATTTGATATATTTAAAACAAAAAATTAATTAGGTCTATTCGTTCTAATCAAGTATACATTCAAAAGGGTTTCTTTGTCAGAAATTGTCATTTCTATTTGAAACTTTCTGGGATAATGTTTGATAAATTGTTCATATAAGTAAGCGTATGTTCAATCTAAGTATATTATTCGAATACTTCGTTATCAATTTTAGAACAGATGGCTATGGATTTATTGATCAATATCGACAGTTTCGAATTTGAGTCATCAACTGACAAAATATTGACGTAAAGTCTTTGATACTGTACTCGTTGATTTGATATTCTTTCGCGTAATAAAAGTATAATAGATCTTGGTATGCTTTTATAGCTACTTTTCGGGAATCATGCAATATCTTCATTTCTTTCTCAGCTGAATTTCAATTGAAGATAATAATAACAAGTTGATTATTTAGGTTAATAGTATGAAATTATACTTAACCAGTAATGAAATTTGAGCTACAAATATGCTGTTACAGTCACTTAAATTATACGGTATAATACTTGCTAATAACTATAACATTTACTTTATTAGCTCTTATATTTTTTAATATCGCTAACCTCTTTTAATAAACTTGTGCAACTGATTATGAACAGGAGAGGAAGAGGAAATCTCAGATAGAATATGCTTAGCCCCTTGCTCGCAATCTGTGTAAAAAACTTTATTTTATTGGTGAATTCTTTATTTTTTATAATTTACTATCTCGAAGTTTTAAATTAAAAGATATCTTACCTTTAAATTCTGTATCTAATTTATTTAGTAACTCATTAATGACATCGAAATCTAACTGAGACGCTTTCGATAGCAGATTTATATCTGGTAATGACAACTGAAATTCCTGAAATAAAATGATATACTGACATTATCGAGATACTTCAAAATTAAAATTTCTAAATTTACGAAGCAGTAATCGATATTCTAACTCTCTGAAATAATAGCTCCTATACGTTGCCAATAATTATAATATAACGCACTAATAAGACTCAAATGAAAGCAGAGTCATTGTGTAAGCATCTGTGTTATCTAGGTCCATGATGTGTAACTCAAATGCCGCTCATCGTTGACATTCATTACTGATGCATGCTTAGGTATTGAAAACTAAGTAAATTACTATTTAAACACTCAGGTAGTACTTAAATAATTAGAAATATTTTACATATTTAAATAGCATGCCTTATCGAGATGTTGTCTACACCAAAGCACTAAAAAGGCTAATAAATTTGACTTCCCATCCTGAAATTGGACATATGACTTATCAACAAGGCAACTATAAATAACATTTGCGAAATAGATACTGAAAAAATAATACACGTATGTTAAATTACAGCTAATATAGTATTCATTAAATTGAATTGGATTTAGTAATACATTTAAATGTTTAAAATATCATAGATGTATACGACGCAAAATGATCTAACATACGTAGACCAATAATCGCAAAATTTCGATTTAGGAAAAATTAAGATTGATAGCAGAAAAGTTTTTAATTTTCGAATACTCCAGTTTTACTGTTACACCTTATTTACGCAAGAATTGACCTTCTAAAGAGACCATTCCATACAATCATCATTTATCTATCGCTTATGAATATCTTCAATAGAAAGAGCCAAAATACTATTTTATTGACAAATGATCTACCTGACTACGGATATCCTTCAACTTGGTTAAAATTGCAACATCAAAACCATCTGCATTTCCTCTTTGTAAATTGCCTGCTCAAGGAAATGATTAAAATTTACGGTGTGTCTATTTTAATTATCTCCATAGTTTAATTTCATTTTTTCAGTACTGTATATGGATCAATTTATATATAATACTTTCTTACTTTTAGGCTAGAGTAATTGCTAGCATGATCTATTTCATTTTGTTTCTCTACGGTACTAATTAAAAGCTGCTAGCAGACGTTTTGCTACAGTACATGATTAAGAATAACTTTCATAGCCAGATATATATTCTTTGTCTCGAAAAAATTATTCGAATTTATATGGTTTGCATATTATTTTAAGTGTTAGCTACCTAAATTCATGCGATTTCCAATAGTTCTTACAACAGACAATAATTTCCGAAGACCAAGACTTTCACGTAATTCCTAGAAAGTAATCAAAGTTTCAATATGAAATAAACAATTTTATTGCTTAATTTCTTCGCTTTTGAAATTATTGCACTATCATAATCTTTTTGTCTGTAAGTCTAAGTATACTGCAAACCTTGCACACACTCTGGCAAAGTTTCAACATTTCCTTAATCATCGTTAAGTTGTCATCAAAGCTTGTAGCATAACATATATAAGCAAGCCGCTCGTTGAGAAATGGAATTTCAGACAATTTCATGATAAATCTGCATAATAAAATAGGGAATTATTAGCACCTAAAATTTTCTAAACGGTGAATTATAATTCCGGTATTAATAAATATTTATTGTGACAATAACTGGTTGTATAATTAGTAAATAAAGACAGCCATCTCCGTGGATGATATTAATATACACGCATCGCTATTAGAAGTTTATATTAGTATGTTGATATTTCTTTTACTCTTCTGGTTCATCTAGCGGTTGTTGCGGCGATTTTTTCATATGTTGTTTAATTTTATTGATTTCTTCTAATGTTGGACGCTGAAGTAGACAAATATTGATAAAATATACCATAAAGTATTGCTGTTTGCTTACGATTCTCTAACTTACCAATCGGTATAGTGTCTGATACAGATCTTCGGGTAAAATGTTAATGTTGAGATTCAAAATCGCTGTTCACAGCAGAAAATGATCATTATATCAAAATGATGGTAGTTGAAACGGTTTGACCTTAAGATTTAGCATATGTGAAAAATTTCAGAATTTAAAATGTACAAGTTCACTATATCATAGAGAAACACATTTGATGTTTGATTATCTTAAAGAGTGCCGGATTACAACATCCTGGTATGATAAGATTTATTACCAGTTACGGTATATCTTGACGAGAATTTTAGGAATAAAGGCTTAATAGGTGACATGAAATTCGGGATTGCTTGTAAGATTTGTAGCTACATTAACGGAATATAGTAGACTGTAGGTACTTTATAAGCTTACAATTGAATATCTACACTCTATCGAAATAATTGAATAATACCGGCATCTGTTAACTCACTCACATTCGTTCAGATGATTATGATTAAGATTTTACTTTTAAATGTATCATAGGGGTAAAAGAGAGGCTTTAATTTCGGAATAGCATTCACCTTAACACCACACTGCATGTCTCTTACAGAGCTTAAACTTCTATCAACACCTCTAGATCTAAGTGACTAGAATGTAATTAGATTACCTCTATTAAATACCTTGCCTAATTTCAGCGAGACTATAGCGTAATGTCTTCATAAATATTCCGATAGATTGCGATCTTTTATGGTCAAGATACTTTGCTCTTGACTAAACAGATCAATAAAATGATAATTCCGATATAATTTTATAAAAGATAGATAATTTAATAAAACTTGATTAGCAGCTAATAAAGGCAATTTTACAGCTTGAAATTATTTATATTTCTCGACTAGGTCCATTAAGTCCATTATTATTTTATTATACATCTTACATAAGAAATGAAACTTTTAGTAGATTGAACCTATCTATTTCTGACCGGTTTTATAGGTTGTCGATTTATCTTTCTGGTTTTACTTAAAGGTTTAGTCCGTGATGGGAATAGAATACACAATTCTGTATCATCTACTGTAATTTCAGGTAAAATTTGCCATACAGTTCGGTCAGTTCTAAAATCATAAATAATGAAATAAAGTAATTTCAAGAAATAGTTAGTACATCTTATTACAAGAACTTACCAGATACCATTTTGCAATAGTATTGACCTACTGAGAACTTAGACTTGGGCACGGAATTCTAATTTTTTTCCAAAATATTGGTTTCAGTGTTATAGGTTGAGGAACTGTAAGAGATGGAGATGAAAAAATATGTACTGTAAGAAGTCAAATCGACTTTATTAGCCAGAACTACGTAAATTAGTTTCTATGCATACTCGTATATCCACAAATATATCAGCTATGTGAGAAAAACTCGTACTAATATAATTCCTCCTGAGATGGCGTTCATCTTAGTAGGAATTTTTAACTACTACAGCTAGCATAGTGCTTACAATTACCCTGTGTACAGCGTTGATGTTGCTGCGATAAGTCTCCAGCAGGCCTTGAATGCATTCCAATTTGTGGTAATGGAGGTGGAGGAATAGTTAATCCAGCTGAGGGATATTTGAGAACCGGTTACGGAAATTACTTGTAGCGAAGGATATTGAGGTTGAATTTTATTTTGCTCAAGGTTACCGATACCTGATACTTTTGATAAGGATTTGTGTTGTTGTGGCTGTAGTGGTGGAGGTGGAGGAGGTGGTGGCTGAGGAGGTAGTGGTGGAGGCGGAGGTGGAGGAGGTAGTGGTGGAGGCGGAGGTGGAGGAGGTGGTGGCTGAGGAGGTAGTGATGGAGGTTGGAAGGTATCTGGCGACGATATAATTTTAAGATCATCTTTCTCTATCGCTTCTCAGAAATTGGTTTACAGAGAGAAGCATTTAAACAATGAGTCTCTTGAAAATCAGACACAGGAGTATGGGCTCACTGAAGAAAATTATGCCTTGTAAAATAGATGCTTACTCTCGTTCGGATATAGATTTATGTTAGACGAGGTGGTATCAGGTGGCAATGGAGGAGGTATAGGTATTTCTGCCGTAATATTTTATTCACAAAGGTGTTAATTGGTATCAATTTTGTGAACATAGCTAAAAGAAGAAAGGGGCTCCATCTCTAATGTATAGTACAGCATATAGAATCTGATCTCACCTTTTGATCTAGTTGAAAACTCAATGATAGTATCGGGATTGGGCAATTCTTCGTTATCATAGAGCGTTTTGTTATTTGCCAATTTTCGAAATGAGGGTGAATTAGAAATTGTCTTCTGGCTGAATTGTTTGTTTCGAGTTCCTAATGATGACGGATTAGTCGTTGTAATGACACCATCGATGTTGTTAGCTGATATTATGGGAGGTAAGCTGATCGATTGCATAGTGTCTTTTTGGGTTTGTTGAGCTACACAAGATACGAGATGATGGACTAAGTGTAAGTTGTATCCATTTAAATTACAATATGAAAAGCTATCGATTATATTATTATAAGGGTACCAGAAGATGGATTACCGCTAGTCAACGGCCGCCCGACTGTCATTAATGATGTTTTAATATCCGAATTTTGATTGGAGCCAAGGTCTTAATGTACGTATTGAAAGATGATCATATTATAAATGGAAATAAAAAATTAGTCAAGTAAAGGTGAATTTTCGATGACATACTACTGTATAATCTGCTAAGATAATGGATTGATAGAATTATATACCCTCAGATAACTTAGTATCATTATGGAATAATAGCCTTTCGGTATTGCTACTCATTGCAACATCCTTAAAAGGAAGTTTCGATTCACAAGTTTGAGTATCTGTTTTACTCTCGTCGACTGAAACCTTTTCATGATTACTTTTCCTCATCTGTAAGAGAAATAATTTAGGAATCCTCTCTATTTTTGATGTAACCTGAGATATTTATTTTATTTTACAATTCAGGAAATTATGGTAATGAAATTATTTTGTCTCCTAAATTGTCTGTAGTTTAACTCAATATAAACCTTGTGTTTAGCACAATCTTATTTACCTTATAATTTAGTCCATCACTTAACTGATTCGACCTTGAACGTAAACATCTGGGCAATGTATGATAACTGCGAATGGCGTGGCTTTCGAGATCGTTATGATTCAGTCCTAAAGGATAATTTTCATTTTCGTAAGATGAAATTAAAGGTGATAAGCTTTTACAAGAGTGGATTCTATTTTCATGACCTGATGATGGTGCTTCGTCTTCACGTTTTGATGTCGACTGATTATCAATTTGACCATAGTTTTCGTGATGTTTTTCTGGTTGAACGTGGATCTGAATGGTGATATGAATAGATCCGCCAACGTTGTTGTGATGCCGCGTAAAGTTTGTAGTCGTAAAGATAGGAGGATTGCCATCGTGGCTGTCCTGCAAATTAGAATCATTATTGGCCATTCGACTATCCTGATTGCATGCGGTAGCATTGGAGCAGATTATAGAAGCAGCGTCATTTGTATTCACAATGATATGAGATTGAAACTGTTTTGATTATTGAAAAGTTGGTAAAAGGTGGTCGCAATTTGCTCAAATTTGATAAGTTAGTGATGCTTAAATATTGAAATTTGTTTCTGCTATCCAATCAATTTAGCTTACAGTATATAGTTTCTCAATTTCCAAGATAAGGCAGTATATACTGATAAGGATTTATCATTAATTAATTATAGATCTCATTGAATAACGACTGCAAAGGTGTAAATAACTTCAAGGTGTCAGTGATTTCATCATCAATTTGGCTAGTACTATGTTGACGGAGATTATTTGCGATATCCGCTTTAAGGCGAAGATCACCGTGTACATGACTTCAATTATATGACTTTGCGGCCGGTAAATTTTTGCTATCTGAAAGTGTTCCAATGCAGCCTAATCCACTTATTGTCGATTAGCTTTTATTCATGAGTATCACAACATAATGTTTTGCAAGTTTCAGTTGCTCAAGTATTATCATCAGGTTACTGGATTTATGTTTCTAAAATCTTGGATACTATTTGCTAGAGTCTACCCAATTAAAATATATTTACGCTCATTGTAGAAATTGTGCAGTAATATAGCAGTATCTGCGAAGATGATTTGCAATGTAAATTAGACTAATCGATAGTACAAGCGAATCCCCGTCAAAAGTATCAAGTTAATCCTAGTATAACTGCTACGCGTCTACTACGATCGAATTGATAACTATGCTGGGCACAACATACGAATTCCCATTAGAAAGCTCGAGCCTGAATCACTAATCCACAATGTTAAAGAGGGATTGTAAGTACTCCTCCTTATCTATACTATATATATATTTCACTTGGATATACTCTAACGAGCTGAAAATACAGTAGTCGACTGTGAACTATCAAATGCAAATGGATGACATTCATGGTCCTCATTTTAGTGAATCGGTTAGCAGTTCAATCCGCACCATTATGCATCAGTGCTCCATTATACCTGTCGATGGTTTGGTAGTTGAAACAATTGGATTGTATAGTCAAGCCGAAACCTACGGTGGCCCAGAACGGCCACAGCAGCAAGAGTAAAATGAAGACCCATCATGGTCAGTAATGAACGGCGACCTTGGTGTCAGTAAATACGGCTCCTGCGACAGCAATTGTAAAATGAAGCCCATCGCGGTAAGTAATGGACCGCGACCCTTGCTGCAAGTAATGCGCTACCGCGACAGCAAATAATTGGCGGCAAGTAATGGCAAAGACAATTGCAAAGTGCTGAGGCAGCAAGTCAATATGAATTACAATGATGATTTAGTGGTGGAATCTTATTAAAGTCGAGACAGAACGTGGTTGTTAGATCCCTCCCTCCTTCATCTTATCGTATTCCGCTGGAACCTGGATTGACTGGAAGTTACATCGCAACGGTGGCGAGACATATTTCCTACCTGTATAACCTAGCAGGATGGAAGATAACGGGTTAACGATAAGATCGAATTACTAGATACGGAATGCATAATATACTCTTTCTGTGGTAAGATATAGTGTTTAAATTTATAGCGATTGCACTCATTTCGGGTTCGAAAATCATCCATTTTATCGGGTTCGGGTAGCGTTTTCAGCCCATGGCAGAACCCTTGGTGTACAGTGTACAGTACATTCCAGTATCAGTGTACTGTACGTACCGTACTACGTACTGTACTGTACAGTACAGTATGTACAGTGCATGTTGCGTACAGTACAGTACTAGGGACTTGTCATTGATAAATCATACTCTACTGTACAGTACTGTACTGTACAGTGTACAGTACCTTAAAAATGGTCAAATTTCAAAATTGTAATAAAGAGAGACTACGATTTTGAAATTTGACCATTTTTTGGGTATGATTTATCATTGAGAAGCCCCTGACTCTCTTTATGGCGATCTTGAAATTTGACCATATTTGGGGCATGATTTATCATTGAGAAGTCGCTGATAGTAGAGTACAAATAAAATGTGATGGTGATGGATAGACTTTTATTACGGTACCGCTGTACTCTGCAGTCATTTTGCAACGTCTAGTACAGTACAGTACCACGTAAGGCTGTCATAAGCATTGTTACAATGTTCATTTTATATTTATAAAGGTTGTTACTTTTAGAGTAAGGCAAATACTGAAATAACAAATTGATATCAAATTGTTGAATAGAGCAACTTTACAAAATGATATTTTACCCAACAGAAATGAATGATTGATAGAGACATTATACGGTTAGAGATCACCAGAAAATCTCCTTCTTGTGGTCGATACTGTACAGTGTACAGTACGTGAACATTGTATTGTACAGTACTATAGCCGAGTGCAATGCACACTCCCCCGCGACGAGTGACGTACAGTACTGTACAGTACAGTATCGCCATTCCAAACGCTGTACTGTACTGTGCAGTACACGTACAGTACAGTACAGTACTGTACAGTACAAGAAAATTGCCTAGAGTACTGTACATCGTACAACTGTACTGTACTGTAAACGCTAGGCAAATCTGACGTGATACGTTAACGGTCGGCCTGCTGTCTAGCGTAATCATTTCAAAAAGTTTCATGTTATTTTTAAGACTTTTTGGAGTGTTGTGATAGCTTAACATTTTCAGCGTAAAGAATTACACAACAACTGGATAGTCTTGTTTCTACTTTGTAGTCGTCAAACCAACACTTATACAGTACAAAACAGTTACAGTGTAGGCGCTGCTGAGTGACGAAACGTAACATTATCCTCTTTGAGAGAGTAGAGCACTTTACAGTATAAACTCGTGATATTCCACATCACCAAGGAACAATGATTGACTTCACTGCCTGAAAATGAACCGGTAAGAAATTCACCCAAAATCAAGCCTTGACTGCTGCTGTACTTGGCAAAGTAACAAATTGAATTCACCAATTTTTTTCTTAGCCATTTTTTAACTTCTCGACCACCATAGAGAGATACGATAGAAATAATTTACTGTTCTTGTGCAACTGGATTTTATGTCTACAATACTGGATGCGTCCATGTTCTAGCACGCACGTCGCGTTAACGTGATTGACGGTAAGGTCGAGTCATTCGCTTGATGCGTCATGTAATCGAATCATCCGACATTGGCGTCATCTCTCCTCGATCATGCCTTGTCCTTGCTACAAAAAAATGGCTGCCACTTTGATCCAAGACTACTGTATATATCCATCTCTAGTGGATGAAATAGGTCGTCCATTTTAATTTTGTCTTTGAAAATAGCTGTCTACCACTTTGTCCTACGTTCATGACCATGAAGCCGACGTGTAGTATGCGATCGGTATTACCAAAGTAAATTTTTTTCAACAAAGATTGAAATTTTACAAAGGCAATCTCTGTTGTTTCTACATCATCCAGCTAGCCAACGATGGCGACTTTATTAGGCGTTTATAAGGAACCTACATCAGATTTGTAGTTAGTTCAAGGATGGTTTCAAATGAGAAAAATTAGGGTCAGTGTTGTAGTCCTATTGTACGGTACAATGATGGCTAAAAGTTGGCCTGAAATCATGAACGACATCTGCAAACACTGGATAGGCTTAATCCTGCCTAAGTAGAGTTGATCATCGATAGAAATCATCAATTGAGATCGATAACCTTTTGATCAGAACCTGATCAAAATGAGATGCTTTAAAGTGTTTTAAATACAAAAGCAATTGATGTTGAAACATGTTCATTTGAGACCTTGTTCTCAACCTATTCTACTTTAACTATTTATAGGGCAAGCCTGTGAGGTCATTCTCCATTTCAAAGTCACTTTGGGCCACTAGGAAGACCACTTGATCTGAATTGTACTCCTCAGCGGCCATCAAGGCTACTAACGCTAGCGATAGAGACGAGTGCTACCCATACGTTCTGTGGTCCAAACCTTACTAAAAGCAAATTATAAAGCAATTGATAATTAATCAGTATTTGACAAAAATCGAGAAATTGAATTATGGCCGATGATCAAGCCAATGCAAATGTCCACCCTATCCAAGAAGGGATACCCGGAGACAAAGACGGTAAGCTTTCAATATTCAATACTATTAAATCGTATTTAGTCCAAATAGATGAATGACAGGAATGGATGCGAATCAGTACTGCTGCTAAAGCGAGACGATAACATCTGACAATTTGGGCATTTCAACATCTTCTGTAAAGTGTAATAGTAATTTTGGACGATGGTAGAAGGGTTTTAATTCACCTAGATTTAGTTGTTTATGCGTTGACTCATGTACATACTGCAAATGTTAAGTATCCTTGTAAAAAAAATAGAAATGCCACTATTAGAACGTAGAATCTGAATCGATCTATTCCTGTCAACAGCCATCTTAACTTGATGACAAACTAAACAGTAGTACTGTACCGCGTATTACTTATGCTATTTTAGTTTTCGTGCAACGCTTAGATTAATCGATTTCAAATATCAATTTTTCTTGTCATTTTTCTCCGAACGTTACAGTACATGATCACTTTAACCAATTTGTTGTATCCAAACATTGAGGTCTATTTTCAATAGCTTCATTATTGACTTCCTTCTTATAAGGTAGTACTTTTTATTCACAAAGCGATCGCTTCTAAACAAAGATGTCTTATACCCCCAAAATTCAATTATATCATCTATGATAGCTTTAGATTCGATCACATCGCGTCGCTATCATTCTAGGTGCGAGAGTAAATAGACGAATTTATTTTATGTTATCATTGAAAAAACTGTATCATGGCCAACAGTTATAAAATAATTAGACAAGGGGGGGGGGGGGGTTAGTTACTGCAAACAGCAATAGTCGGCTTTTCCTTCACAACACTATTGATAATATTGATCACTATTTGCCCTAGCTTGTTGCACTAATATTGAAACGAGTTGAACTTACTTAGAGTATGATTGACTGTAATAAACAGAGTTGCTCGCACTACTTAATTCCGGATTTAGACTATAATCATTTTATCGGAAGGTTTTTAATTGATTAATGTATCTCCACAATCGTGATTTCATTCGACCATTTTGATCTTAACCTTCCATTTCCCTCTATCATAGTAAACACCTAATCTTGAGTCAGCAATCGTTGGAAGTTAGTGTTGTACAACATTTTGAATGAATAAGAGTGCAACTGTCGCTTTTACGCTCTTATCAATCAATAGTGAATCACTATGTACGAGTAAATCGTTGTTGTTGTGAATGAATCAAAAGGAAGAAAAATGACTTTATCCAACTACATCGTAGCTGCAGTAGTAAGTGAAAGTTATTGATTATATTATGCAGTATTATAATCTCATCATACAGTATAATAAATACTTGGTAGCTTGTAGTAGCAGAGATTACTCAAAAAAAAGTAGACCTTGTAGTAGCCACTAATGTATAATTTAAAGAATAATGCCTTTACCAAGTAATTGTTGTAAACTTTCTCTTTTAATACCTATTGACAATAGTTACGTATATTTTCACAGTGAATTTTAAAAAAGTAGAAAAACTGCTATTATTAATTCTAGTTTGATTAGTACACGATCAGCTATTATGTTAAGTTGTTTTCGAAAAGCAATGGCGTAAATGGTATTTAGTTTGTTGACAGTTGGTATAAGTAGTCATGTAACATTATAGAAGTAGCAATATTATTAGCCTGAAGGAATGTCGATATCAATCTTAATGTACATCAGTGTACTGTATTATTTCGTTGCTGTTGCACTGTCATTAAATGATCACTGTGGATTAATTGATCAGTACAGCATCGACTATAAGATGGATGTCTGCTGGAATTTGAAGTGTAACAAGGATCTACGTATTGTATTCTGCAATATGCAGTGCTGTACTATGTATATGTACTAATGTACAGCATATCTGCTACACGGTCTTTTTTACCCGATAATTCTACTAGCTTTTTTTTTCTTGAATGATTATAATGAAGGCACCACTAAACTAGAAATAATGTGATCGGTACTTTCATTAAGATTACATAACAGCTGCTCTGTACGTGCGTGGTAATATCAGTAATGTTACAAACTACTATCGTGTTCAAGCATAAAAATAAAATGGGTAATGCTATGAAATTATTTTTTCATTGGTTCTTTCTTAATAATGCGTACGTGTATACCTTTCTATTTGATCATGATATTTTTATTTGCTCATTTAATACGGGAATTAAACAACAAAATACTGTACAAACTATCTTTTATGGCTATTGTAACTATTGTAATGTATAATATATTTACGGTTATCCGTATTGCTTTTCAGGTATCTGTTGTGGTTTGTAAATAGTGCTATCGAATTTAGTGATGCTAAAAGTACAAGTATAAATTAATTGTTTAGCAGTAATTTCTAGGTAGCAAGCGTACATATGCGTACTTTTTTAAAATTGTAAAAGATACAGCGTATGTATAATTTGTAGAGAATATGATAACTTATCAAGTTCTCTAGACTGACAAAAACAAAAAGATATTTCTTAATAACCCTTAAGTTACTTTTTAATCTCAAGATACATATATAAATATAGATCAGTTACATTCGTTGATCCTCACCTAAACAATGAAATTGCCTTATTAGCAGGGTTGATGTGGGTTGATATATTACAGACAACACATATACTCATCTAGTGCTTTATACATCGCCATTAATGGTCATATTGGATGATAAAAATAATTGGTAAAATTTATGCTGGCAATGCCTAGAAGTTTGGCGGCTAGAATTATAGACATTTACGCGTATACTAAGCAGTATGTCATCTTTCACATTATCCAACTTGTGTAATGCCCTAAACAACGTATAATACTTGTATCACTCACTATCACTACCGTTATATCAACCAGACATGTTAATATCAATAGGAATTATGCAGCCTGGTTTAATTATGTTGCAATTGTTGAACAACTAAAAAAGATTAAATTAATAAAAATTATTATTAAAGTATCCATTTTGCTGTCGCTAAAATTTTTTAAGCTTCAACATTTGGAATCAATGGCTTCATTTTGAAGGTATTACGTTTTGACTTACCTGCTCTTACTGTTTTCAGATCAGTCGAACGTAACAGAAAATCAAAGTGTTGATAACTTTGGTGTTCCTTGGGATAATGCCGCTGAATTATCAAAGTATGATTATTTTATTGAATTGGTTCGCGGATACTGACAGAGTATTTATCTGCAAGACAATACTTAAAAAAATTAATATTGCGTGTCCAGTATATTAGCGAAAGTTTATATCCTTAAAACATTCAAAATAACGTGCCTAATTAATATCTTAAACTAGTGTAACTACAAGCTCCAACAGCCTGAAATTTATTTCTAATCTCCTTGCAGGAAACTTGAAATTTTGGAAGGCAATGACAATAATAATCTCTATGACACCAATGCTAACACAAATACGATAATGAATAGCCAAGATCATAAAGAATTAACCACTGGTGGACAGAAGAACGATATCAACCTGAAAACTCGGCAAGATGAAAATTTAGTAAAATCTAACGATGTAGCAGCATTTACAGAAGGTACTGAAGTTTCCTATCCCGGAGTTATGGAGAATACGAATAATATAGTCCATGATGTAGACAAAGAGATAACAGACGTTACTGGACAGGAAATAATAGATATAGGTAGGAAAAATTCTGTTTGTTAGAAGTTATTAGTATTTGATAATAAAATACTTCGTTGTTAGAATATTATATTGATACAATCAATATTCATTTTCACTAGCTGATATAGATAAGAAACTGGAAAGTAACTTGACTGTTGAAGATGGTGAAGAAGAACGTCCTCAATTTTCTGATACAGAAAATAAATCATTGTTTGCAAGCAAACCCGATTGGGAACCAAGTCGATTAATTGATGAAAATTCTAGCACAGTAAGTTCTAGTGACACTAGCCAGCAAGCTAGTAATCTAAACCACGTCACAACACCAAGTGACAGCTCAAGTTCAAGGTATATCGATAGTCCTGCCACTTTAGCTAAGACTGCAGTGTCACCTATTAATATTAGACCAAGTACATCAAGCATGTCATCAACATCATCAGTCTTTTCCGGACCAAATAAGCCTCAAAGTATTGATGACAAAGGTGCGAAAAGTGACAGCGCTGAAAAATCTAATTTTACTCCTTTCGGGACAGCAAATACGGAGAAGATAACAACTAGCAAAGAGACTAATCCTCCTGCTAGCACCAAGGATGACTTTATGATATCTTACAATGCAAGTACGGAACCACATGCTTCTTCTAGATGGGAACAATTTACTAATATGCTAGCGAATAAGATGGAAAGTGAATCTTTAGTTTCTGGCAGAATTACTAATGAAAGAAAATCAGATGTACAGACTTTTAATAAAAATTGGGTGACCTTTGATGATGATGATACATCGGGAGCTTCAGTAATTGCATCCCGAACGGGTTTGAATCGCAGAAATACTACAGTAGGTGTTTCAACGCCTTCAACAATATTTAAAAATCCTTTTTCTCCCGCTGAAAAGCCGACTGCTATTACATCAACCAATCCTTTTTCAGCAAATAAAGTCAGATCTAATACTTTGGATCCACAGCGTGAAAGTAATTTTCGAAGACATAGTGCGAATCCTTTTTCATTTTCCGATAGTACAGTCATTGAAGAGCCTAGTAATGTCTCACTCGCTGTCGTAACGAGTAGTGCGAGTCAAGATAATGCTACCTTTTTTGCGGACTTTACTACTGTTACAGCCCATATCAATTCTAATACAGCGACTGCCATGGCTATTACTGTAAATGAAAGCAATTCTACAGATATTACTAGTAAAAACAAGGCTGCTACGCCTGTCGATAAGAATCTGGTAGATAATCCATTGGCAAAACCCGAAAACGCCTATAATAGCAATGTTGCTCTCGCTTCACGTCCAGTCAATGATGACATCACGACGGATACTGAGGACGAGATAGGAGACAACGAATGCGATGTTGTTCCATTTTACGAATCGTCCTTGAAACGTTTCTACATGTTATTGCGTGTCCCTGAAAAGAAAAGAAAAGTAAGAAGCAGAAGATGGAAAAAGGTTATTGTTGGCTTAGAAGGGCCGAAAGTTAAACTATATGACATTGGGGTTGCATCTCCATATACAGAAGTATCGTTGCAAGGTTGTTGTTGCCTTACCAAACCAAAATTTGGTAGACATGAACGTGGCTTAGTCCATGTTGTTAAGCTTAGGCTGATTAGCTACAAGGAAATACGTCGGATATCTGGCAAGTTTGAAAAAGTTTTACGTAAGACTACAATATTCAAGTTTGGCGCCACTTCTTACGCAACACTAATAGAATTTATGCAGACTGTCCAAAGTACTTTATTTCAAATGCCAGAGTACCGTTCGGTAGGTATCACTTATCAAAAGGAGAAAATGACTATAGATGTGTTAGATGAGTGTAGAATTTGGCTATCAACTGATGGCAACCCATTTTATAGTAGTACAACGGTACGTATTACTGCTTTGGCTTTTGTCTCTGGTATGACGCCTTGTACTATAGAATTAAATGATAAAAAAGCTATGAAAAAATTAAGTCACGATGAAAGCGGAACCGGAAAATCTATTGCTGCCATGTCAAAAGATGAATTAGCTAATTTAACATCAATTCGTAGCAACAAAAGTTGGATCCGTTTAAAAAATTGTCAATTTCATTGTTGCGTCGATAGGAAAACTTATTTCAAAAATGCTATCATCGAATTCAAGCCTGTCGATGGAAGCGAATTTCAGTTGATGCGTTTTGAAATACCCCAGTCTAGACCGTTTGAAGCGAGGTATCCTCCAGTTGGTACCAAAACTGCAGACATTACTTCCGTACTGCCAATAATTGCTACCGTTGAATTACAAAATGATGACCATCACGTACAAGTTACTGCTTCCATCAAGCTACCAGAAAATACGAATCCATTGTCCAGCACCAGGAAGAATGTTCGATTGGTTATACCAATACCACCAGATTGGAGACCGTTATTTAGTGATCAAAAAGCTGTAGTTAAAGGAAGGCAAGTTCAGCCACTTAAGGTTATAACAAATAGGAATTCAACTATTTCACATAATTTAGGAAGAAATGTAAAAACTGTTGTTGCCATTAATGGGGGTAGCGTTAAGCATAGGGCAGAATTTGGTGGGTTAGTCTGGGATATTGGCACAATTTCTTTAACACAAAGTAAATCACCAACAAATTATAAGCTGGTATGCCAAACACCGTTGCTACCATCAATGGAATTACCTAACGATTATGGTGATCCACCGCGAGCCCTACTTGAATTTAGTATTCCGTATTCACACGCATCTGGAATTATCGTTAGATCTGTTAAAATTGGACAGAAGCAGCTACTGGAGAATTGTATATCGTACACTTCCCATTATAGTTATTTTATTGATATGCAAACAAATCATTATTCAATCGACGGTGATAATGTTCCACCGTTTACGAAGCGCACCATCGATCATGGCTGTGTGCAACAATAATGTCTCTAAAGTACAATACTATCTAAATTAATTCATGACGACTTGTGATTTTTTTGGTATGTAAAGGAATACACGATCTGAAGGCATAGACTGACTTTCTGCATGGCTTCTGAATTTTTTTAACTTCCAAATAAATATGAACCAACAATACTTTTTAATTAATTATTACCTGTATATAGTAATGTATGAATGTATAACTGCCATAAATTACCGTATGACTATAACTTAGAAAGTGTAAAGTTAATTAAAGATATGACTGGACCATTATCCAACAACTATTTTGCATTAGATACGGTTACGCAGTATTTAATTAGTGCCTCGTGATAATTCTAAATAGAAAGTGAAATTTTTACCACTCTTATAGGCTATCAACTGCATTTTTAGGCCTCTCTTAAATCATTGCTTTAGTATACGTGTTTAGATTTAGTTACAGAAAATTCTCGAGCAAAAGTGTAATCATTTCTCTGCTGTATGTCTATATGGTATAGTACTGTACCTCCTTACTATTTTTTATCTAGCAGTATTACCTCTTTAGCCTATCGTACTAATAGGATAATTGTGCTTTAATCGTGTGTAGAGGAATAATGGTTTAATTCATAGATATTATTTGTCACATTTATAATCTTATGTCTATCATTAAGTCAAGTGCTGTATTACAGTACCTTGACAAAGTTACGTAGATAATGTATTATATCATACTGAGATATTTTTAATCAAGTTATCATTTTACATCGTTTGCAACAAATGAGTTTTTCGATACGATAAATATCTAAAGCAATATTACCTTTTTAACATATAACACATTTCAAAAACGGAACGGATGCAGTATTTATAAAATTATGAAATTTGAAATTGATGCTACCTGATTGTGCAAGTTTTCTTTTAGAGAATGTACTTATTGCTTGTTTTTGTATTAAATGAAAGTTTAGCCTCGATTAGAGTATTAACACGATTGACATTCCGGTCTATTAAAGGCTGTGGTTTGATGTCTATTTTCTGTAAATCTATTCTTACGCACTGATTTTAAGGCGTAATGATTTGTTGTTTGGTGGACAATTATGGCAGATTGCAATGAGTAATTTCGGTATTTTACAAGCTTTTGTTATGCTACATCATTGTATTAAGGAAAATAATATTCGCTATTAGAAATTATGATTAGGTTGTCACTTTCTGAGATTGTTTGTCATAGCTTTACAGTGTTATGCACAATAGCAAGCCCCAATATGCGTAATCTACAAATGCAGTCAAGCAATAACTGTTGCTACTGATGCATCCTTTAAATTTTATAAAATTATTGGACACTTATGCTGAACGAATGTCACCATACTACCTTATTACGTGAAATTGGAATATACGCACGTCATTATTGTAGCTGTCTATTTAGCTTTATTCAATATGAAGTTGTTTACGCACTGAATGTTTGTTAGCCTTATTGATAAAAGCAGCTGTACACTCAGCCGCTTCCATACGCATACTAGTACCGTATCAGGTTAATCAAAATAATTTCTAATTTCATGCATAAATGGTATTAAACCATTCAGTTTTGATGACGTTAGATGGATTAGAGAATTAATTTAGCTCCGTAATTATCCAATTAATATGCCAGTTTTATATCATATCGTTAAAATGGTTACATGTATTTGAGTTATAATTATTAATCCATTAAGCGCAAATTTATGAACTGGTAGTGCTTAGGCGTATTATAATTTGATAAATTACCCTAATAACAAATTTAAAGTACCTTCTTAAAAAGAAAGAAATCTTCTTAGTTTATCTACCGCTGTATTAATAACGTACTTAACATTACCCATATTTTTAATCGTAGTTTTTAATAACGAAAATTGCATTTAATCTTTTCATCTTAAATGTACAGTATTTGATAACCCGGATAACATTTAATAGTTCATTTAATCATCGCATTAGTAACCGGCTTAATGATACCGTATTCTTTGTCAAAACTTTGGCAGATAAACAGCGATTGATCAGAATTACCATTTAATCTCCAAATCTTAATATATGGTGACTGAATGACCTGGACTAGCTTTAGTGTTAATTTATTATAAAAATAAATTTTACATGTCAGCTTTTCGATGACCACCAAAAATTGATATGGCCATAAATTTTCAATATAATTAATATCAGCTTTAAATACAGCTGTAGCATCTCGGTAGCCCTTCATTAGAATTCGACCATTAAGAGTGAACATCTAAAATGTGAATAAGAAAGATACACTATCAGAGAATTGAATTACTGATCATTAGTTAATTTTATGTTTAGTTAATACGTATATCTACAGAATGATCAACTAGACATTGAAGTATTCATAATGGACCGTTATGTCTTCTTCTTTGACTAGAAGATAGCATTCTTTATTTCCCTGGCAATAATTAATCTAAAGATAATCCATTTGATAAATTAAACTTCTGACGACAATTTAATCATTACTATTCAAAAAATAGAAAATTTTAATTATCATGAATAATGGAATTAAAAGTTGTCACTACTTACAAAGCTATCGGTATCACTTTGCCCAAAAGTATCAATCATGGAATCCTTTTTCCATGCTGATGTAACGATATTTAGATCGCTGGTCATTTCATTAATAGGAAGGGATATTTTGCAGGCTATTCCATCATTTTTGTCATATTGATACGGTTTCATTAATTGTATGTCAGTTAAAGCCTGACCGATTTTATAATGCTACATTTTTGGAAAGCAAGTACATCATGAAAAATAAGAGGAGAAACGTTAAGGAAGTACGCTGTCATAGCATAGCTCTAATAGTAGCTCCAATTCATATAACAATTATACAAAGTGCATTCATTACCTTGATGATACTTTGACTGTTGTTTAATGATATTTGATGAGTAACAAGATTACCATCATCAAAATGGAGAATATTCAAATCTCGATAAAATTCACTTTCGGTATCTCTGTAGACTTTTAGATCGCAGGTATGGTAATTTATTTTCATAATTATGATTTGTTGACAATCATTTAGATACTGAGTGTGTATGCATATATCCATGAATAAAGAAAAAGCAAGCTGTTACTTTGGTTAGTATTGCAAAGACGTTCTCGAATATATTTTTGACGTCTATAATGATATTTCTATTTATATGAACCTTATCAATGAAATGAATTTTAAGCCAATTTAATGAACTTAGCAGGTATCGAATCATTTATAAACGGTCAATTTGATAGAATGTATCTCAGACTCGTTACGGTATAAATAATGACGACTGATTACGATTAATCAAGTTTACCACAACTCCCTAATCAAATATTGAGAATAAATTAAAGCATAATTAAATGTATTTACCCTAGCTTGAAGTATAAAAATCAAACTTTTATCGAATTTTCTGAATCTCGACTTTACTATCCATATATTATGAGGCTTTTCAGGTAAAATATATTTGATTTCTTGCATCCGTTTCATTGCGTAAAAGATTCCGTAGAGCAACTGTAAGATAGAATGATATTCAAATTCACTAATAGATAATCTGCAAATTTATACTCGTATATTAACAGTCTTTCTACTAACACTTACAAATGATTGCTACCGATTAAATGGCATTATCATTTTGTTAAATTATATTCATATCTTCATTACTAGCACGATAGAATGAGCTTGTCCAATTTTTACTACTCTAATTATGTCAAATTAATTTGATTAAACGCTAAATTTATAATTTCTGAACGCTATGTAAATTAAATATTAAACTGCTCTAATGTTGTGACGTTGATCAAATTATCATCTAGATGATATCTCCAGGATACCAGGAACAATAAGTCACAAATGCAAGTAAAATAGGGATGATAGTCGTACCGCACATTTTCTAATTACCTTGCTGAAGATAATATGCCAGTGATCTGTTGGACAATCTTTTATGCAATCGTTACAATCACATTCGTATATTTGTACTAGGATAACTGCCTCCATATCATCATGTAGGATACATTGCTTGTAATTTTGTTTTAATTTATATTCCGAAATTAGCTTAAAATTCTCTCCTCGATAGATCTATTAGTATATAAATATATATACATACACATGTAAACAGAATATACAAGTTAAATTCATCCACAATTGAGCATTTTACCGAATAACAGCTACGCGTATTTTGAAAGCTCACCCTTAAATTGGAATTTTTATACCGTTTGTTTATTACCAATTGGACTGCATGGGGAATATTATTTATAAATGCATGATTAGAATAAGCTATCAATTCCTCATTGTAATTTAGCTTTTGCTGATCTTGGATCAATGTTGCGGATGATATAGGCTGCCAGCTTAGATCTTTTGCTATTACAAAAATGAGTGAATATAATAAGATAATCGAATCGCAGTGGGATTAAGGGTAATTAAGACATTAACAATTAAATCTAATACCTTGCAAATCATAACGATATAATCTAGAAGGTGGTATTGGATCATAAATGAATAGATGATAACTATCAGGTATAAACATTAAATCCCGATAATATTGTATACAATCAATGGATGTAAAGGCGCTAAAATTCCGAGAGGCTAATTTAAACACCTAAAATAAGCAAGAACAGAACATCAATTGGATACGTATAATAGCCGATTTACGAATCTGATCTCTTACAAAGGCATAATACTTGTAGTAGAATAAACTAACCTTTAATTGTTCACCTTGGGTGTGCACAGCAATAAATTGATGATCATCAGATGTTACAATATCATTAATACTTTTATCACATAGGTAGATTGGTTGAAAAGAACGAGCAAATTCTTTGACAAAATCATGTCTGCCATTAGTAATATTATGTAAGGCTATGTAACCCAAAATGTGTTGATAAGCAGCGACTATTGCGATACCATTTTTATCAATCAATTTTATACAGGCCAAACCAAAACCATACTTTAATTTAAGATCACTGCTAGGTAAATATTTACCATCACGTTGCTGAATATATATAGGCATAATATATGATGACTGAAATTGCAGATTTTCCGCATCACGTATCTATAAAAAGTCCATTTTCAATGTTACTGGAAAGTTAACTAAAATTAAAAACTATAGCAAATTGTAATTCCTTACATCAACCAGGCACTCATTAACCCACATTCTTTCTTCACCTTTCGACCTTCTATTATCATAATATTTTCCGTACCATACGAGAATTTTGCAACTACTTTCAATAAATTGGCATGTATTAATACTCTCCGAACTGGTTATTGTTTTACATATCTGGCAGATGCTATCTCCTGTAACCATCCAAATCTGAAAAAAATGACAGATTTCGATAATCAGGCTATTCATACCTACTGATAAAACCTATGTTTATTTAGATTAAATGATTTAAGTGCACGTATGACGTACTATCATTTACGATATCAGATGGTTGTATCTTAGACCTAATTATACTAAAATGATCTCATTGTGAATTTTCTTAAAGATATAGTTGTTATATGCATAAAATATAGAAATGTCAGCTATTGCGTAAGCTTTGCTATAAAGAATGACACAATCATTAAGTTTTAAATATTAAAATATTTAGTGACATTTACCAGCACAGTAAGCACCCTTTTACGGGTACACGAAGTAAATAATACTTACTAGAAAAATAATACAATACGTATAGAATATGAAACTATTAAAATATTTACTTTCGGACACTTTAATCATTTGAAGTGTTCTTGATATTATTACTGTATTTGTACATTGACACTATAACTCTATTTTGATGTGATACTACTATTATATTAAACAAATAATGAGCTGAGGATAGATTTTCTAAATTATTTTATTGCTTCTAAGGATATATAAGGCCATCAAACGATTCTGTATAGTTTGAATTTATTATAGATCACTAGATGCGTAACAATACTTGAGTTCTTTGCTTTATTTAACTTCGAAAGTAGCCTAAATTTCTAATTTAGGTTATCAAATGCATGACTTACATTGACATTTTTCCGATTAGATACAGTCATCAGAATATATCGATCTTCCGCTAATACTGGGCAAAATTCTAGAAAACTGCCCTCGATGGTTGGACTTTTCGAACCATCCTTGGAGGTAAAGTTGAGCTGCTGCCCTGTAGCAATACTATATACCACCCAATTCATGACAAAAGTCTACAATAAATGAGAATAAATTATTTAACAATGTTGAAGTAATACGATGTGGCAAAATTATACGTATTCAAAATCGATATTACAGGAATTTCTCGCTTAATATTAGAAGATTAACATAATTGAATAACTGACAGATTTAAAAGCGCAGGTCTATACATTAGCGGAATAAGGTTTGAAATATCACCTGGGAAATTATGAGTGTTCTAATCATTAAGAAATAATTATAAAAATCTTTAATCATGACTTACATCCTCATCCTTTTTCATGGAATATGCAATAATTTTTCCATCAGGAGAAATACGTATTTTTGCAATAAGTTTATTAGGTAATGGTAAGTTAAATATAGTCTTTGAGGTTTCATAATCAACGATCTGTCACGAAGAATATATGTAAGGTATAACTTATTTAAATTATTTCTAATCCTTTTGAAGTATTAAAAAAGGAACTTCATTTATAATGACGCATCAAATTATTTACTGAGTTGTAAATTATATCATAATCTATTTTCAGTATAATTTTCTAATGTGCAGTATGCACCTGATCTTGTTATCAATAATGTATTGATTATGCTCGGGCTACAGGTAGGTCAGAAAACTCGAATAAAATTTAAATTATAGAAGCCACTGGTTAGTATTTAAAACAAACTCATCTTATGATTGCATTGAGTTATTATTATTCTTATCTACACGCCACTAGCCCGGACTAGCATGATATTAAAGGACTTTATTACCGTAATACAACATTCGTGCGTCTTATTCAGATCATTATAGATGATGTTTAATTTTCCATATTTAAGGCTTGAGCATCTTGGTACAACTTCATTTAAAGTTGTACACAGAGTCTTTGATGCCATCCATGCGCTATACTTGACTTTATTTTGCGGATACCTAAATTATTCAATCAATTATGAAGCACATTTATTTGCAACTATTTAATAGATGATAAAGTGGAGATGTACTGTATATATATATATATATATATATATATATATACATTTATAAATTATAGATAGAATAGCTTAATTTTAAACTATTGCAGAAAAATTACGTTGTTATCATCCAGTAACGACTAATTCCACGAATGGTATTTTCACATGCTAGTTGAAGTGCTCTAGATATAATCCAACTCTTGCTTTCATTAGTATTTAACAGAAATTGAATAAAATCCATTGTTTCCATATCTGCATAAGATTCATATTGGCGTAATGAAGTTAGAAGTTCTTGATATTGTAGAGAATTCTATGAGATATGATAAATCGATGCATTAGCGTAGGAATATTCTATAGATATGTAGAATATTTTCATTGCTAAATTTTTCATGAATTATACGCTTAAAAGCATATGAGCTCGTAAAAAGAAATTGATTAGATAAAATTAAAACTCTGAAAATCTGTATCATAAATTTAGAATTATATGTTAGGCATTTATGAAGGGATTCCTCACCTCCTTTTGCTTGTCTAAATATTTGATATAATCTTCTAAATCTAGCTGTAAATTAAACAAAGTCTTGAAAATTTTAAATTTAGACGTCATCCAGTTAAAATCAGCCATTAGCGTTCGAAGTAATACATCAGCATGTGCTTGAATGGCATGATAAACTAGATTTTGATAGAAGTAACCATCATTTGGATAGGTGCCCCATTGACCTTGGCAATGATAAAAATAGTGTTGCACTAATGTTTGATTCATATTTTCCCAGTAAACTTTGTTTGATAGCTGAGGATCATGCGATTGTTGAAGATAATCAACCATTAAATCATGCAAGATGCAGTAACTAATAGAATGAAAAGCGAGGCAAGTTAATAATGGAATATTTAATGACTGCTATTGTAAAAAGTGCTTAAACTTCTGTCACGAAGTGACTTTTGGCATCTAATTCTTTAACAATTTATCTTATTTTCGTTAGATGATTTTACTTTGATATTTGTTGAGTTTACCGTTGTCTAAGACGTTGTGTATTCTTTGTAAATAAATGCATAGTTTTATAATATTATCTATGAATTGAAAATTAATATTTATGTCGATTTACTATAAACTTCCTGACTTTTCAATAAAGTTTAGGTTTAGTTTTGTATAAAGAGAAATTAGTAGCGTTACAAGTAATATAATTTAATTCTTCCTCCTGAGGATGATGTCGGGAAGAAATAACCCAACAATTGGCTCATTATGTTGTATTTCTAGTTTTACTTTAATTTGTCATGTTAAAAATTTAGATTTGTACCGTGGGGAAAAATCTGATAGTAGACTAACAGTATTAGATTTCTTGTAGTAGATTTAAATTTCGTCGTTGTTACAAATTTAGATTTTGCAACATTTATATTATTCATTGATTTATCAAATAGTAGATTAGACGATACAAAAAGTAATACTGTCAATATTAATTTCCTTTACGTACCGTATGCAAGCAAAACAGTAAACATTTTTGATTAATAAATTAATTAGCAGCCTGTAAATTTCTATATTAAATGTAGGAATTAGCTATGGCTGTTGCTAGGTCTCAATAGATTTTCACTTAATGCTGAAATTTTTTGATTTATAAACACGAAAAGCCTGTAAAACCAGATAGCGCTCGTAAATCAGATCAATAGATGTTCCTATATACTTGTCTACTAGAAGCCAAGTAAATTATTTATGATTCAAGGTTTGTACTTTATCCTTGGATGTAATATCATAAAATTTAATAGTTGATAAATTGATTAGTTTAAATAATTATGATATAAACTTAGGGCTTAAGATCCTCGCATGTATTATGATAATAATCATGATGACAAACAGCAAGCGTAGAAATTACTGTAAAGTTTCCATGATGTAAGCACACAAGAATGGAATTTTATCAATTAAATACTGAAGCGAATTACGCTTGAATGTTTAAGATCAAATGATATTTTCCGTGCAAGCAACTTTGTTAATTCTTTTGTCTTACCCATTGGTCTCAATAAATCGTAGTAGACTTTTATTACGGAATTCTTGCAATAGAGATATTGTACTACATTCATTCTGCTTCCACAGCGACATGATCGAACCGATAGGAATTTTAACCTTCTTAAAAACTCCAAGGAGAAGAAAACACTGTTTTTTTTTACCCTCCAATTCCTTGATACTTAAGGAAAACGTTCCAAATAAATTGAAATCATAGTTAGCTGGTAAGTCACCGATCTCTTTTTTTTCAATCACTTTGATAACACTTTCCCATTGCTTATCGGTTTGTAAATGTAAGCCACCTATTAATGCTATGGCTAATGGAAGTCCACCGCAACTCTCGATAGCTAAAGCAATATTTCGGTTATTATACAGAGACTGGAGATCTTGAATGTTTCTATTTTTTGCTAGGACTTTTATTGCCTCTTCATAAGTAAATCGATCCTAAATTCAAATGAGACGAAGATAAACATACCTTAGTTTAGTCATGGCCCCATTTAGAAATTTCTGCATAGGTACTTAAAAATTCTTCTGCATTCTAAATCAAGAATACTATGGCTATAGCATTCATTTAAGGCTAACGATAATTTAAATGATTAGAGTATTCTAAGCTACTTATAACTTCTTTAATTTTTTTATCACATTTCTACAATATTTTTCTACTAGTTTCAGATTAGGTATAACTAGAAGTAAAGATTCTTTATAACGGTAGGATATATATTTTATTTTTAGATAATCAAAGCAATTTATCGGTTCTAATTTATATTGCATTAATGCTATAGCAAATTCTCGTACAAAAAACATTGAAAACAACATTTAATTTCGCGAATAATAGCTACAGCTATGTATAAATTCCCCTACATACCGAAGCTGAAATACATTTGTAGTGAAGTTTATTTTCGGGATGAAAAAAACGCGAAGTTGCAATAGATTTCGTAGCAAATCTTAAATAATTGTAATGGCTCTTTTGCCAAATATCGTCAAATATAAATAGAATGTTATTTTTGTCTTGATTTTCTATGAGAGATAACAGTATAGGAAATGACTATGATAAGAGAAGCACCGATAGGCTAGATATTCAGTAAACAAATTCAAGAGAATATGCTAAAATTGCGTTCGATAATTATAATTGGAATCTAGAGAATGGGATTATTTAAATTAATAAAACCTTCGAAATATTGCTTAGCATAGGCATCGATTTCTTCTAAATTTTGAGGTGGTTCTTTCCAAGTAACTCCAATCTTAATGCATAAACTCTTTAGTATAGTAAACAGCTTATCCTTTCCAATATCACCTAATTTTCAAAAGCCATAATATTGTTAAATTTGATCTATCGTCGGTAAAAGCGTAATTTTCTAATCATTGGCTGCTTTCAATGATAAGCTTTTTTGTAACAAATTAGGGTAGCAAAATATTTGAGTAGGCCCGAATTGCAACCTGAACTTATCGCTTATTCGTACATATTACTCTCTAATTTCGTCTCCGCCTAGGTAACTTATTCAAATTATATACAAGTTTATAGCTAAATATAAAGCTTTGTGTCGGTTAATTAAAGATCAATTTATTTTAAAAATTAGCAATTAACTAATCTTACAGTACATTTAATGCCGCCAAATGCTATCATCAACAAGCCACGAAAGCAACCAATTTACGCTTACGTATATTATTTTATTATTATAGGATATTTAATGTAGTTCAAAAGCAATTTCAGTTAGAAAACATATTAATAAAAGTAATCTTCTTCATCTCATTTATGTAATTATGAACTGATTACCTAGAGTAGAATATTCGATCCATTTAAAGATTAATGTCGATTATTAAATTAGTAAAAAACTTAATGTATATCTGCTATAGAACATCTTTCAAGGTTAAAAATGCAAGATCTTCCAGGAAATTATTTTAAACTTATTTCTGCTGTAAAGAATTTGATGTAGGTGAAGGTTAATGTCTACCAGCTAGAGTATTAACCAGATCAATTTCTATCTGCTGTGAAGCATTTAATATAATTAAGAGTACTATTTGAGCGTTAATTTTTCATTTTTATCGTATTTAACTTGATTCTAATCCGATTTACGGTGTCGATAGTTAATGATCAATATCGAATAAGAACTTACTAAGAAATCTAATTTTGTGCTTAAATCTTGTTAATTGAAATAGATCCTTATTTGTTACTCGCTTTCACTGTGAAAACTTAAAAGCAAATTTTTTATGTCATGATCGATTAAGAAAATGATTTATAAAACTAGAATTGGCATCGGTCTAGCAGCTAAGTGGGCATCAATGACGATCCTAATTTGCAGTACAGTTCATTTAGTTACCTAGTTTAGCCCAGTAGACACCATGAGATTGAAAATATCCTTGTTCAAACACCATCCTGACAGACTGGCATACAGCAATTGTTTTGCCACAGCCAGCCATCCCATGTATTAGAAGATGACCTTGCGAATTATCGATATCCTTCAAATGGCTACAAATTTTATCAACAAAAGTTTGGCGTACTATATAGTGACTTTCGGGAGTTGGAGGAAGATCTCGTAGCAAATAGGCTAACAAGGAAAAAACAAGATTGTTAGGATATGAGGAATATTAAAGCTATATCTTTCTTGACATTGTAGAATAAGAGGCTAAATGATGCACTTTCTACAATTATTCCGTAAATTTTACAAATCAAAAAATTATTCAACTGTATTAATGTACGGTATGCTAAAATCCTAAATATAAATTGATTCCTTCCATGCAACAAGGCGTGCTTTCTTTCGGTTAATTATTATATTAATCCTAGACATTTGATTGCAATTTTGAATTATTTCTAGATTATACGTTGATTAGTACGATAGTAGAAATCATAGGCGTTTTCTCGCCTCTTCATGGTAGGTATAGAGAATGTAGCACGGCTTTATAACCTTTCTACCCTTGCACTTGTATTCATAAAATAGGCTGCTCCTAATTATAAATTCGATATCAAAAATTAATGAAATAAACACCTGAATTAGTCGGCTTTCCTTTCTCATTCTCATCTTCTATTTAAAATAAACGAAAATATAGGATAGGTTAGTATTGAATTCCTATAACTAAAAGTAATACTTCCGATAGGTGTATCCGATTAATCAATACACACGCACATCAGAAGAATTGAAATTCGAATAAATTGGATACCCCAAAATGGTGGACAAGCTTACAGTACTTTATCTATCAACATATTGATTGCTATTGAAACATTTAGTCTAGAATTGCGTAAGGCTAATCGATTGATTTATTCTCAATCTGTTTAAGCTTCTATTATCCTATTTTAATGGAGTTCTATTTTACTGTAATTTTATGCAGTTTTAATGCATTGATATTATAGAGACATATCATCAAGTTAGGCGATAGAATTAGCTACTAGTAGCAGTCTTATCCAAATTGCATTTACAAACATATTAAAAATGTCTCAATGCACGAGAAATTTTAGCTCACCAACGCGTATTTTATAATTTCTACAGTAAATTATCCTACTATTCCAGTTACACATTAATCAATACTAGAGCTACATATTGGTATAAATCGGTTTTTTCCTTCAATAAATTGAAACTTACTCATCTTTCCTGGAACTTCTAATAATTCTACTGCATAATATTCTGGTTAATGTAGCACTATCTATAGTCAAATTTGGGTTAGTACACTCATAATCAGGAATATCGTAATCATGCATAGCACTTAACCTTCTCTTTTCTTTTCTACAAAATTGAAACTTGCTCGTCTATTCTGAAATGTATCAGTAAGCAACCCTCTATACGACTATAAAATTGTAGTGTTGTTTTGGGTGAAAACCATGCACTACTATTTGTTGATTTCTAAGCTACTACAAATTCATTTCCTCCTTCAAAAGTAAATTCTACTCGGTTGGTCTACAACGTATAAATACTCTACAGCTAAGAAATTATAGCATCATTCCAGTACAATTTTTGCAAACACTGTTATTACATAACAGTGTTTGTAATTTTTCTCTTTCAGCAGAATAAATTTCATTCAGCTATTCTGCTAATATCCTTCACTAATAGCAACCTGTAGCATTACTCTAATGAGATTTTATGAAGCATAACAATAGTGCATCGTTGGATATTCTCTTTCTACAAAAATAAATTTACTCCATCATTCGATCATTACGGTATCACATTCGCTGTTACTAGCAACTTTGAACATTTTTCAGGTCGAATTGTTGAGAAAATAGTTGTTTTAGTCATCACGGAGCTACAACATATTTTACCTGCTCTACGTCGCAATTCTGCTTCATTTTGCAATGCTTCACCAAATTCTTGTACTGTTATAGCTCCATGTTCTTGCAAAGTATCACAGAGGTGAAAGAAATCTTGATCGGCTCGAAACTTGAGGATTTTAATAAAGTTATAAATCATTTCTTTATTGGTTCGGAATGAATTTAATTCATCGACTTCTTCATTCGATAGGACTTGTCTAGCTCTTAAATCAATCAAAAACTGTTGTAATGGGATATCAGTAATCATTTTAGGATAATTTCTCTCAATCACGGTCTCTATGTAGTGACTGAGCCCCATTTTGTAGCTGGTATATCACTATAATCTCCACTTTGGTCAAGAATATAAATAAGAAAGGCAGTCAAAAATCTGCAATCTAGAGCAAATTGAGAACTACGTTGGGTAAGTTTAATCCATTTTTAGGCTACTCATATTTAATTATGATATCTACTTGTTCCACAATAGCATTCGGTCAAATTTTTCGTCTTGCTTGTTATAGCATAACAAACATTGACATCTTTTTTATTGGTATAGTCAACTAGTAAGGCTATCTTATTCGATAGCATGTCAAAGATTGGCCATATTATCGATCCATCTTGAATAACAAATCTCCTCAATGACTACGCCTATCTATCGTTAAGCTTGAAGGAAAACCCAAACCATATGATTTTATATATCTGTTCATCATCGTTGAGATTGCTTAATATATTGTAGTATAGAGGATAGTTGTATCGGTCAGTACTTGTCTCATTGTTTATATAGTAAGTAGGTTATTTAATCACATGATAGAAGCCCTAGAGCCATTAAGACTGCGTGCATAATACAACTTAATTAAGGAAACTAATATGATTACTCTTGATAGAGTTACTTTAAATTAGTTTAGAATCAGATGATGACAATTAATTTATTTGTATCTACTTTTTGCCTTGGTTATTATTGTCACTTTTGATTATTTATAGTAACAGGTAGACCTGCCGTCCAAATAAATGACCAGAAAAAATATCCCTCCCTATGCCAGTACGATACTTATTTAATGTAATGATTTCAACTTATTACAGAAGTTCAATGTTCAAGTTAAAACCCATACATTACCATTAATGAATGAATTGATTATAAATTATATTAAACATTCTAGCACCATTTTTCTACAGTAGTTACACGTGCAGTATTTGTCAATCTGATGTTGACGTATGGGTAGAGTTTCGAGAATAAAAGAGCAGATTCTCTTGTGTAGTAAATCCTACATGCGTCCTGTCGACGATAGTAATTGATGTTATAGCCATATTTTAACTCTGTAGAAGTAATTCCTGTACCATACTGTGTAATGCTGTAATAGCTTATAATGATTAAGATGTATTTTGTCAAACAGTCCATTTAATTTAATAATTAGATCTTAATAGATCAGAATCGTAGTCACCTTTATGGTTTCTATTTACAGCTAGCGGAAAGATTATATTATTTTAATCAACTAATTTGATTCAACTTCATCACTTTGCATTTGAAGGCTATAACAAATGCTTTAGGTTTCAGGCAATCGATTCTGTAGGTGCTTCATTTTGGCTTATAGCAATCTCGCAATAATCCAAAATGATGTAACATTGATAGCTTGTTTTCTTAAGTTGATCACTGTCTAAACTTATCTTGCATCAGGTAAACCCTGAAGAGATGAAAGATTGTGGTGATATCGAATACCCTGTAAGAATCGATATTACTATAATATAAAAGTCCTTATGTGAAGGGTATGTACATGAGGGAAATATTTAGCCATTTCATGTTGCGTATTCATTATTGATCCTTGCTTAAAGACAAGGTATTTAATAGTCACAATTGCAAATGCCAGTATATCTCTTTATAAACTAGATCATGTCAGACATAAGTAATGGAATGTGATTATACGCTTGTATCATATCCATCCAATAATTTCATATGTATGATAGAGATTAACAACTAACTTGTTCACTATACTTTATTAGTATATGATTTCGTACACAGAAATGCTAATACACCTGGTAATATGAGTATAAATATTTAATAATCCAATGTAAAAATTGTGCCATGTGTTATCGTTTTCATTCACAGGGCTGCTTATAGGGTTGTCAACAAGATAATATCCAAATTGTTACATATTCAAAATTTAGCGTTGAAAAAAATCGTTATAAAGATATTTGAACAATAGGTTGTACACTATAAAAGACATAAAGCTGCTTCAACTCTTTTCAAAATTTCGGAGATTCGCTAAGGAATAATTTTTTTAAAAGCAACTGCATTATGCCTCATAAAATAAAGGCGACCATTTTAATACAACTACAGCATAATTGCTATATTAGCCTAACGTAGCTAAAGTAGATGGTTTACAGATGCAATTTAGTAAAAGCTTGGGTTTAATCTGTACTCGCAGACTATAAATCGATAACATCATTTATAAGGAATTGGTACAATATATCACATTTTACCTACACATTGGTAGAAATTAGTGATGCTATTCATTTAAATAGATCTGAGCTACATTATAATTATGATTAAGCAATATACAATGGATGTTCACTAACTCCCGATCATTTATAAATTTGACCATTATGATCGTTGAAAATGATGGACAAGTTCCAACATTAATGGAGGCTATTTGTGTAGATATTGTGCCACAGCATTCATTGCCAGGCCTTAGCAACTAATAAGCAATGTTCTATCAATTTGAGTGTAGAAGTCGCTATGTGATCCTTCAGAATTTAAAATAAGCAGCTAATCGTGCCATGATCGATTGTGGCTGCTGCTGTTGTGTTAAAGGATCCGATAGCGCTGGTATTTCTTGTTCGTCATGGTTAAGGACTATAGCACTGTCTTTGTTACTATTATTCTCCTCTTCTTCCCTTAGTATTCTCTCAGCACGCCGACGGGCGACAGTCGGTTTCATAGCTAGAAAGATAGCTGCTCCAGTTATATTTACGAGGACCCTGATCGCAAATTCAAAACAATACCTATTAATTGATAGTGAGTTGTAGCTAAATAATTGCATATGCACATTATATTCCATTAGATATCTTGATGTAGATAGTCACAAAGACTAAGAGTACATATTGTGTGGGCTGATTACTTCCATTTTCTATTGGGTATTATTTCGCTAGTAATCCTATGCGAGAATATTATCTTGCGTATCAATGCTGTAGTTAAAGTCAGCATATAGATAGCCAAGGAAAATTAGAACTACCGTATGTTGACGATTGCCATTATGGACAACAGAGCATAACAGAATCTGAGGTACGGGGTTATCACTAACCTTGATATACTATGAGTGATGAATAACCTTATTAAGGTTTGCGCGTGTATGCAATCGCTGTAATGTGCAGTGGTGTAATCATAGTATAACTAATTGAATAGATGTTCATGTCTATGCGTATCTTGATACATACTGTAATTAACACGTAGTGCTGCCTGCATATTAAGATGCATCAATGTAGTCGAACATGGTATTATGTAGATTAATATGTATTTAGAGATAGCATGTACAGCATAAGATGTATGTTTTATATTGTATGGAGAGGAATTGGATGCAATAAGTGTAATAGAACCCTGATGCTTCACTAGTTCAATAAAGTTGTGCTCGTCTATAGTATAACACTATTCCTTTGCAGTTAATTTATCCTAGGGGTGAAATTAAAAATGCATCAACTACGATATATGAATTGTGCTTCCAATCAATTGTCATCCGGCAGCTCAGTAGAGTGGACTACTGTAAGAATATCGTGCGCGATTGTATACTGTATAGGCAAGTAAGCTCATGAATGGATCTTGCATAAAAGCTAGCATAACTCTGTCTATAATCGAGGTACAAATGCATGGCCTTACCAAATACCAGTGGTAAAAACTATGTATCTTATTCGTTTACGTAACGCTGGTGATAATTCAGAGGTTGCCTTGCGTTTATTCCCTTTATTGGCCATAACTTGAAGATTTCAGTCTAACAATCAATTCTACAACGACGCGTATGTCACATCCGTCGACCAAGATTTCAGTCTTGTACTGCGAGGCTTTTCATCTATAATGTCTACTCCAGTAACCAAGTATCATACATGTACAAATTAGGAAGAAGTTTGACAATGATGTTATCCTCTATAAGTAGATCAATTTCTATTTTAGAACGATCACGAATTAGCATGACAAAGAGTGAAGATACAAGGTTATATAGAAAGTGCCCAAAGTACATTGCCTTACTGCTAAGGCATGGACGACCGACTGCAAATTGTTGGAAATTTGTAGTAGTCAGTCCATCATCGCTAGGGAATAATACAGCTGTATTGTACATATGCCACTGTTGTAAAATTGCCTTACAAGCAACATAAACGATTCAAGTTTATCCTCTTGCCTATCTGACAAACTTACTTATTTGTTATGGCTTCTTGGAGGTGTTGATTCAATTGGAGAGTTTAGTTTTGTCTATGCAAGCAATGGCCATCCATTCCATCCATTCAATGTGGAGCGTGCACCATCTCTTCCACTGCTCTTGCGTGCTCCAATTACTCCCATCCCGACCGGGTGTGTGGTGTTACAGTACAGCCCAGTTGAGTACAGTATGAAGTACTCTGTGTTACAGTACACTGTACTGTACCGTCAGCGTGCTGACATACAGTACAGTACTGTACAGTACAGTACACTGTAATGATGAGTTGACTGCACCATGGCCAAGCACAGCAGATTTCATTACGCTGTACTGTACACTGTACTGTACACTGTACAGTACAGCGTGCTCACATACAGTACAGTACAGTACTATTATGATGAGTTGACTGCTCCATGGCCATGTACTGTACTGTAAAGTATACCAAATTTCAGAAGCAAGTTGCAAAACACTGCAATACGGTAGATGACACTTTCACCAGTAGAGTAGAAATTGAGTAGAATGATCAGAAAGAGGATTAAAAGCCTGCTTAATGCCCATGTTGGTGACCCATTTTACTCACTCGCTGGATGGTTCTTTTTTTACTGCAGATCGTGCCATTGGAGGGTCTGTGCCGTACAGTGTACAGTACAGGACTGGACGTACTAATACTGTAATCGTCAGGCAAAGTACTGTAATCGCACGTGGAGTGAGAACCCTTGCAACTGAGTCTAGTGCCCAATGTTAGCCAATGTCAACAGTATATTACTATACGGTACATACTATACCGCTGTATCTGCAAGTCAAGCGAGTCTTTCACACGTCGAATCAGCCACATACAGGTACTGTACTCACTGAGTGTACTGTACTGTACTCTAGAGTCTAGTACAGTACTATACACTGTACTGAACGTACTGTACAGTGCTGTACTGTACACTGTAGTCAGTGTACTGTCACAGTCGGGGGAAAACGACCATACTGTTCGCCCTATCGTCCACCAATACTGTGCCTACCCTACTCTACGGCACTCAGTGTACTGTACGGAGGTTGAACCATCTGCGACTGACCGTAGTGCAGTTGAATTAACCTTGATTGAAGTCGGGCATTGAAGCCAAAAAGAGGAGAAAAAGAGCTACAGTTGGCAGCTTGGCGTTGGAGAGATTTACCAGCATAAAATCCTCTTTCCTTTTCTACTCATTGACTTATTTTAAGCACTATCAAGAAAGAATTCTTGCATTGCTGATAGTTATTGCCGCTTATCTTCTTGTTGGTACTTTATATTCATCGGTGCAAAATGTGGAGAGTGTCTACTCGCTTCCTTGTGCAGCGGCCTGTTGTCTTCAACGCTCGCAACCAGGCTGTCAGTCATTCACTGGTCAAGAATTTCCTCAGTAAACCACAAATTGCCCCCATTGGGGCTAGTCGATGGCTATCCATCAGCCGAATTGCATGCAATACACATGCTGAAACAGCCCAAACTGCTGATCCAACCAAGAAAAAAGAAACTTCCACGTTTAGCTATGAATTTTTAGATTTTGATAACTTTTTAACAGTCAAAGACGACCAGAAAGATCCCTCAACGACTCCCTCACAACGTCCACCTCGACGTCCAAGAGCTCGTCCGATACCACGCATGGGTGAAATTTATTCCAAGGAAATTCTCCTACTCGACTTTCAAAGAATATGCGATTTAGGTAAGGATAAAATCGGAACACAAAGTAATCACTCTATCATAGCAATTCACCAATACTCTACTCTTCATGGCCATCATCATTTTAACATTGATTCATAGCTGCCAGTCGTTAGCTTGCTCCTTTTGCATACTACGACCCTTGCAAAATGTTCTCTCTGAAATCGAGTGCAGTTCAATGAATTACGAATAAATGTTTGCCTAATGATGGATAATTGATAAATCATCATGCAATGCAATACGATACTTGTATAGAAGGGATAGACAAACCACTAAATGGATAATACCATAGTTGAATATTATTTGGGGTATATACCAACCAATGCGATTGGCTAAAACAGACTTGACGAAGGCAATACTGCAGTATGACTGATTGACGATGACACAAATAGCACGATATGCATTCTTGACTGTAGGCCTAAAGTAAGTAGATATCGTTTTGAGAGCTCGCCAACGATGCTACTATTAGAATTATGGATAGATGTTATAGAACAGGAGTGCAGTATTGACTACTTAAATTTCATTGTAATGGACTGTAGTGGTCTTTGTAGCATGAACATCAATGTAAAAGACCAATTTGATTGTTGAAAAAATACAAACTGCTCAGTAAATGATCGTGATGCGAATGCAAATATCATATCGAATTCACCTCTACCTTACGAATCGCACACAATCTACAATAATCGCTAGATAGGAGTAATACAGTACACTACTACAAAATCTTGGCGACCTACTGTCCAGTAACTGCTTTGCAAAGCTTGAACAATTGCAAAGTTGCACTTAGCCACATGCTTGTACAGTACTATGATGACGGGTAAATCAGTGACTATTAGGATGCAAGTTCTTCATCTTATGCGGCAAATACGTATACGTCAGAAATAGCGACAAGACCATAGTGTTACGATGGATCATGGAATGATTGAAGAAAATTACTATGCAATATCGTACAAATACAATGTTGAATAGTTATAAAATAGATATCATACAATGGAAATAATAGATTGATATTTGCTTATTTATTGTATTTATAGAGTTTATATCTCATAGTCTTGGCTGTGATATTATTCGCAATTGTGGCGAACGCTTGCGTGATGTTAAACCTGAACAACGTATCGAGTTAGTGCATCAATTTTGGGCAAAATTGGCTTCTAGAGGTACGTGAGCTAGAAATATTGTTTGCATGAACGATCATAAAATTCAATCGGCTATAGTGTATGACAGGCAAATCAACGCACATAACAAGTTACTGCAGTAAGAGAGTAGTTGGAGTTACTTTCTTACTTTTGCCTGTTAAGTATTAACAACATTTTTATCACCTTTCCAACTTACACTTATACTCACCAAAAGGTAAAAAAGATGAATCAGATGTAGTATTATATTATATTATATTTTATATGCTTGATAAAATTTTGTAAATGGGTTAAAATAAGTCAGCTTTCTTACAACAAATTTAACTTTTTATTATCTGTTTTCGATCTGTCTTTAGTGTAATTTGTTCGCATGTATATATACTATCAACTCTAGAGAAATCATCCAGTTTGCTTCGACAATGTTAACTGTCTATTTCGTTTGAGAACAGTTTCATCTTGCTTACCCTTATTCATAATAAACTTATCATTAATTTCAATCGATATTGATTTTAGATTATAGATTCAACGTTAATCATTACAATGAATTATTAACGGTCTACAATTTTTGCGAACACACTTTTTCACCTATCGAATTTCTGTCTTCCATGAGAGCTAAAAATGTTTCTCCTGACAAGGTTTATTTTAGATCATTTTTGTTAATTGAATGAGCTAGAAGTATTTCAGTTATATTTGAATAATACTCGATAATTTCTCCAAATTGGATTGTAATCGTTAAATGATGTTACGCAGACGACTTACATCAATATATTACAAGCATATGGTATTCAAGGTGACATTAAGGCTGCCAGGTTAGTAGATTGATTACTACTTCGTACCACGTAATAGATGGTATAGCGATTCTTAAATATGATAGTACTACTGGTTGAACACTTAAACTTAAACCATATCGCATTTGATGGACAGACTAATGTTTTAATATCGTAATGTTATCTAGTACTATCTTGGATTATATGAAAAATGAAGATATGTCAATATCAGAATCGGTCTATGCTGCCTTAATAACTGGGCATGCCAGAGCTGAGTAATACACTATGATTCAATGATTGTTAGTCCGAGACGACTTTTTCACCTCAAATGGAATAATCTTACCAAATTTTTATTATGCGTCTATTTCATATATTTAGCGATCTGGATAATTCATACGCAACGTTTGATTTGATGAGGTTGGGATAAAACACAGCGTGTATGACTTGCTATTTTGTTCACTGTTGAAACTCTTATATACGGTAGTAAATTTCTAGGACAAGATTTTGTAATATTCTGTCTCCATTTTTAATGTTATATGTATAGACAGAACAACATCATGCCAAGCCAAATTAGTTACACGGCTTTAGTTAACGCTGTCGCTGAACGAGGAAATTGGCTATCGCTAGAAAAGGTATTACTTTTGCAAATTTCTAATAGTTAGTTGATACTTACGCCCGTATCATATCTTCTTACTCTATTGATACTAGGTATTTCAGATGATGCAAAAGGATCACATTTTGCCTGATCGTCATACTTATAGCTCTGTAATCAAAGCTCTTTCAAGAACTAAGAAAAGTTTTCTCATTCCTAATGTAAGCAACAAATTATAACAGTAACAACGCCACAATAGGCGTAACTGACTTGTAAAATACTGGAAGAGCATTTATTTCACATCATAATATCATTCATTTAATCCTTATTCATGATAGGTATTGGATAGTATTGAAGGCAAAATATCTCTTTTTCAAGGTGGGTTAAAATTTTCGTTATTAGGTCAAATCCAAAAGTCACAAAAATTACATAAAATTTCTTCTTCTGACCTTGTATAGCTTTACGTGGCACGATGATCGACCTATGCTTTGAGGGAGATTTTCAGGGTGCCCTATTTATATTGAAGGACATCGTTCATATTAATCCAAGCAATCGGGACGATAATATCAACATGACACTCCGTTCTCTCCTTCGGGCTGTTGCTAGAATGGAAACTGTAAGAACCATACGACCATAAGACATTCATTACATACAACGAATAATATTGATGTTGGTTGTTCCACTGTTTTAATGGTATCATTTAGGAAACAAAAGATAAACTCAATTTTATAGGGGACATTGAGCATGAGAAATTAATCGATCACTATGTATGGTATGATTTTCTTGATGTTCTTCATGATAACAGAAACACAGGTAATTTATAATATTGAACTTTTAAACATTTATAAGCTTAATTATTAATACACCAGATTAGCATCTTGCTAACTCTGTAACTGATACAATGATCTCTAGACCTAGCTGTTGACTGCGTCCGCGAAATGGCCCAGAGGGTAAATTTCAATGATAGTTCTATTATTGCAGTTCCTTTTCGACGATACTACAGAAATTATGAGCACTTTGTGTTTAAATGAAAATTTTTATCGAGGCTTAACCAACAAATTTGTACGCCTGTTTTTAGAAAATTCCAGTGCGATCTCATTTCGTATATCCTATGTTTATCCAGTACCGTCAAAAGGGAGATATTGAAGGTAAAATGAGAGAACGTAATTTTTGTATCACCAGCAATACCTATTATGGTTAACTGTATGAAATTTCTTGTTGACAATTTTTAGGAGCCGTTAATTTGCTCCATCTCATGGATTCTTGTAAGATATTGGGGAATAAAATAACGTAAGTATATTGCTTTTGCTGGAAATGATGCTTGTTGCTATAGGTTATGTCATCCTAAGATCGGAAAAAGATCGTTTATTTCTATATCAATTACTCTATGTATATAGGTATTCGATATTTATGTCTTGCTTTGGAAAGAATAGAACTCTTAATGATATTGTATCAGCAATTGAGGTAATCTTAGCTTTATTTATAAACTTTTAATACAACTGATTTGTTGTATATTGTCAGTCTATAGAATGTAAGGTTTTTCATAGATAATTTGTTTTATTTACTGTTTTCTTAATAGAGTCACAATATCAAAGTATCTCTTAGCCTGATTAATGCTATCGCAACTCACCTAAAAAGTATTGATGATTCTAAAATTATCGGTAAGCATGAGGATAATTACGATGACAGATTTGATACATTGGTATTATACTTTTATCTCATAGCTTTACGTAATGCTTATTATTAAAAATCAAGCAGTGTTTTAAATTTTCTTACTTTTGTTATTACATAACTTTAGTTGAAAAATTATTGCCTAGAATGGTGCCAGAAGTTCTTGAAAAGCAATCAGCAACCATACTTTCACTATTAAAGTAACCTATATGCCAATAATACTACAAGACCGTATTTTTTAGATTATTTGTTTGATCTATGATTTTTGTTCGTTCTAAATAGACTCTTTAACGCTGAAGGATGTTTAAACGTAAGCAATCGTTTAGATAGATTGATACATTAATTTGATAGTATATAGTAAAGATATGCTGTTTTGAATGGTCGTATAATTCGTAGTACATCAAGATGGTGAACTCCAGAGAGGATTTGAATTCGAAAAGTAAGAATATCATAGGATGACTTTTTTTGCTCACAATAATATGTAAGGCGATAAAATTTATTTAACCTCACCGATATTATAGTTTATAGTATCATTGAAGAGTTAGTATCGAATTTCGTTAACAATGAGCAAACCTCACAAGCTGAAGAATTGGTTGAATCGCTATTAAAAGAGGTAGATTGATAGCTCATAGAATATACTTTAATGGCTTTTGACAGCAGTAAGACTTAGGACTAAATATAATTTTTAAATTGTTTTATTAGGGTTTGGGAAAACATGTCACTTCCATTGTTCACACCAGAGTACTTAGTGGATTATGCCGTAAAATGAACGAAGCTGCTTTTTTTAGGGTAACTATGTTTACTTCACTTTTAGTACTAACGGGATTAGTGTCATCCGCAAAATTGGCCATAAAACATTAAATTTTTAGATAAAATATGTAGATGACTACTATTTCATTAATTTTGCATTTCCGTTCTTTATAGTACGGCAGGATAATGAGAGATCATAAGCTATCACTCGATAAATATCAGTACAGAGTTGTCTTGAAGGTAGAGTGAACAGTAACTTGTAATTATTGAGATTTTTTTCACATTCTACAATCGCTACTACGTGTGTATGCTAACATTGCGTTTTTCTGATGGTCAGATGCTCGCAAAACTTGGTAAAGTAGATTTAGCGCAGAAGTGCTTTGATGAGTTAAAGGTTAGACTTTGTGGCATGTCTTTGGCTGTAATGTAACGTAATGTACGGTTCAGTTAGTATGCTTATAATTAATTGGTATGCTTTTTACAGGCTCAAGATGGTTTAACGAATCTAAGCTATTCTCACTTAATATTCGCATATCATGGGTCAAAGGTAAAATGAAATCCTCAGGTGCGATTTTGTACATAACTTTCAGATCGATAATTTTCTTAATTTTTGTTATTAGAATTTCGACCAGATTTTAAGAATTTATGATGAAATGGTAGAGAAGTCTGTAAGGTTAGTAGTAAATGTTCAGTATTTTGTATTGCATCTAGAAGTATATTTTTTGTAATGTTGGAATTTACACTAAATTTAGACCGATTTCTGCGGCTATTCATATGATAATTACGGCCCTACAACGGGCTGGGCGTGGAGACGAAGCAGCAGCATTGCAGTAAGTAAATTGGAGAAGGTACAATTAAGCTGATATTATGATAAACTAGAAGTAAATACAACTATGAAAATTCAATTCATAGATCTATTGAAAGTGAAAGTAAAGATATTATGACAATGAATGTGTATGTTGAAGCTGCGGCGTCACAGATGAATATTGAAGGTAAAATTTTTATAGTCCGTTACAAGTAACAATTGTACTTGAATCGAATCGGGTATAAAGGGTACAGATTGAGGATAAAAATTAATTGACATAATATCTACGTTAACAGCTGCTTTGGAAAAATTAGCTGAGGTTAAAGCCGCAGGGAACACTCCTTTACCATTTGCTTATACATCTTTGTTGAAAGCCTACAGAAATCGAGGTGAAGCACAATATACAAATTTGCTTCTGCAAATTTATTATCCTTCAATGTTAAATTTCTGAACTGGAAATGCAATGAAGTAAAGCAATTATCAATATTTGATGATAGGTGATTGTGAAAATGCTTATAAGTTGTACTTGGAAATGAAAGACTTACAAGTAGAAATACCAAAGATATGTTTCGTTATTTTGATTGGATTATTCGCTGAAAGGTGCATTAATATAATAATAAATAACATGATGTTACTAAATCCGTTATGTAATATTTGTAATGCTATTACTACACTTTGCAGTCGAAACCTTGATCGAGCAAAAGAGATTCTTGACTGTGCTTTGGCTGAAAACAAAGTACCATATGTTAGGTCTTTCGAGCAGATGATAACGTTAGCTATTTCTAAAAATGATCAAGATACTGCTAATACATGTAAGTGACGATCACTACTGCTCAATTTAATTCGTATATTACAAGTTCTTAAGTTCTAACATTGTGCTATTTGTAGTTGTTAAGGATATGCGGAGAATTTTTGATATCGATTATAATGAAATGCAAGAAATATTGTTAGCTTCCAATTTAGCTGCAAACCAAGTGGCAGTTGCTGATAATTATTACAAGGTTAATAGGACTAAGCAATGATAGTTATATAATCGCTTATCGTTGATATCATAAATGATTATGTGAGTATTAAGTATGATAAAATATTTTTAATTCTCTATCTGTATTAGTATTTGAAGGGCGAAAATTCCAGTCGTTTAATCACTCGATTTAAAGCGATAGCTAAAACTTGTGTGAGAACCAATAACTTAGAAATATTACAAACGCTTCAAGAGTTTACTAAACGTCATCATGTTCCTTTGGATCAATCCTATCTTAACGAAGGGCTACTCCTTGTTTATAGTATGATATTTTGCTAAATATTGCTTTATCCAATTTTTATCTGTAATGCAAACGATAAGTAGCAGATGTTGATTAAAGTTCTAATTTTCTTTTCTTGATAGGCAATAACAATGATGTTAACCAAGGAATCGAATTATACAAGAACATGAAGAATTCCAATGCAGTGGTTTCTGAAAGATTCACTACACTACTACATTCGCTGTTACAAAGAAATGATATGGATATTTCTGAAGTTGTAGACTAGTCATGAAAAACGACATCGTTTGCACTTGTTATCCAAGTTATTCCAATAATTAATTTAACATCAATCTAAAATTGTTTCATATCATAGCCTTATTGGCGATAAAAATCATGATATTATAAACAATGAATTTTATATCAAATATTTGGCGAAAAAATTGATATGGATATCGTATTAGAGCTGCAATTGCTTTAGGATTGAATACCACAAAATAACATTTGTTCTATAATTGCTTGTTGGTGCGACAAGCATAGAATCAGCCACTTATGATGTACTAGCTTAGTTATATTACAGTTATTAGCGATATTACATATGAATAGGTTGTAAAGGAATGGAAGCCTGAATTGCTGCTAATTAATTTTTCTTAATCTTAGATTATTAGATTCTTATTTTAAGCAAATTTTAGATCGCTTCATTTACCAATAATAGCAGTAATTTTATTGTATGATATCCGCATTTATTCAGCATGTTAAATACTTAGATACCTATATTAAAGATTATATTAAATTCTTAATCGGAGATTACTATACTGTGCACGGTACAGCATCAATTTGATGTATAACTGTTGAATGAGTATTACTGACTATTCTGGTGATGATGTTACATGCTCGTATATTAGCTGTTAGTCCTTAGTGTGCTAGCGTGCCACAACATTGAATATCTTCTCATTTCGTGCATATTCTACGTAAAAGCTGTTGCCAGTAGCACTTGGCTAAGAATACCTATCGCTGAATGGGCATTAACTATTCAAATTACTGATATGTTATAATAATTGAAATGTATCAAGATTGGGTTAAAGAACTGTACAGTCGCTATTGAAGCTAGATAGTAACTCGAAATTGATTTCACAGTCGGAATATTAGGAGAAATGCAGTATCCCTCCAAGAACTACCGTTATTGTGGTTGGCTGTGGCATTATTTGCCGTAGTAATCCACATCGAAACCTGTTGTAGCTTGTGCTAATTATAGCGATATGTATGTCACATTAGAGATTTGCTTAATTTTAATAACTCAAATTTCCAAGAATCGAAGAAGATTCTAAACCCATTCATTACCAAGCCTAGGATGATCATGATTTTATCCTAACTGAATTCGCTATGACAGGCGTGCTAAGTGTTGCCAAGGTATAATTATATTATTGACAGTATGGTGATAAACTCTTTGGGCTTTATTTTATATGTGATCATATACAACATAAATGGATTGAGGTGTGCCAAAATGTAAACAAGGTAACAACACAGTATTATGGTATGTCAATTACATACAAATACACAACTTCGTATAAACATTTTACAACTGCAGAGCAGTATATTGATTAATTATCAATACTTCAAAGAATAGGCAAGAAATAGTATTAGTGACCGTATTATTGAAATTATATGATTACGATCACAGTTTTAAAAATTAAGTCCATTTTTTAAACTCAAAATTCTTATAACGTAGCTCTTCAGTAATGCATCATTCCTGATTTGGTTTCATAAGGTGCGGTAACACTAGAAAGCCAAATGGCATAAGGCGATATTAAATGATCGTATCATCACAGTTACAATCTACGGCTGACATTTTCTTCGTAAGCTGTTTTGAATTATATTACGATTTTTAACGGATATTTCGTAGTTACAATCATTAAAAACTTTTTAATCGAATAATTGATTAACTAGACTTATGTCTACATTTTTTTTACCCAACAATGGGAAAAATCAAATGACAAAGTAAAAGTACTTATAGTAATAATAGTTTAACACGTAGACATCCCTTATCCATACTCATGTCTTGCTTTAAAAGTATCGCTTGGATTTTCAAATTCTTAAGATATAGCATCTAATAGCTCAATAACTTTTCTTTTTAGCGCAAAGCACTGAGTAAAAACAATGCACTCTTTTTTTAGACTGTACATGATATCAATAATAGAATAGAAAAGATGTGGTTAGCTGAGCTAGGTAACAATTAATTTTTTATAAACTAACAGAATTTACAAGTTTTAAAAGTTGATTCCACTTTATACAATGACTCCTATGAGATTATCAAATAGTTAAAAACGCTAAAGTTACCTGCACTGCTAATAATTTCGTATCCGTCTTCAATCTTTACCGAATGGCGTTGGCTATCAGTTGAAGTCTCAGGTACAGGCATCCTTCCAACAAATCCTGCACGCCTAGTGAAAATAGATGACAACAGTTGATTTAAAGCAATACAGCTTGTTATCGTCGAGTAAATTCTTTTCAGTGTAGACTATATGTTAATGATATACGATGAAGTAAATCTATTCATACAATCTGGTCAAAGTACTGACGAGTGTCAACTGTTATTGTCGTATCAACGAAATCATATTAATACTTTTTTAAATCTGTGGTAAAATGTAACTAGTTGGTATATGTAAATTTTGACTTACATTGGTCTTCTTGCACTTTTGTGGCGACGATGTGTATTTACTTTTGTGGGAGTTAAGTTACCAATTTGTTGGCCCAAGCGTAAAAACGCTGGTTCTGCATTCTCATTGTTAAACATAGAAGGAACTGCAATTCCAAATATGTAAGACATTAATCTATAGATATACTACAATAATTGTAAGGAATTCCATTATAATTACTATTATGATTAAAATAATATCGACATTATAATATATTATCTAGTACATAAAACCAAGCATGCCTTTGAACAGTAACTAACGTTGCTGTATCTGCGGAAATTTGGACGAACGACCACGCAGCTTTGACGTCATCGATACATAAGGACTGTGTATACGTTGCATGACTGAAGCAGCACGCCTACAATAATAGCAATGATTCCAAATAGTATGAAATCAGAGTTCATATATGAAAAGCTTAAAAATCAGTTGGCTCCAATCAGCCACAGTAAAATTTAGAGATATAAGCATAATGCAGCACAAACTTTTTCGTTGCTTTCATCATGTTGCTGTTATCATGTTTTCTTTTTAATCCTTGAGCTGAATCCAACAATGGAGAGGAACATGCTTCGGAATTGAAACTAACTACAGGGCCAACGACCGAATTGGTAGCATTATCGTCCTTTAAGGCCTTTAGAAAGTCTGGTGATATAGCCTGTCTCGATTTAGCTTTAGTAGTAATTATCAATTGTAAGTCAATCTTGATTTGAAAAGGCTTAGGAAATATCTTCGTACTGTAGTAATTATTTCTATTATCCTTTATTGACGCTAAAACTGCACAGTCAACTAAGTTGTAATAGCTGAATTATTAGTAACTAGTCCATACGGTAGGTCAAGTTTTGTTCCGTAGTCTTACATTTTTTGTTATGAGGATCAATACCAGCCCTGCATAGACGAGCATTCGATGATCGAGTTCTTAAACGACGTTTGCTCTTCTTTTGATCTATGATAAATTTTAGTAATACACATATTTAAGCATTAAAGAGTGTTGATTTTGAATCAAATAAATGATATATTCCGACTGACGCTCTATTTAGTGAATACTGTATTATTTGCAATTTATTAAGCAGTCGTACGAAGGCAGTTGTCTAGTAAGTACTAACAATAGCATAATACTTACTACTAAATTTATTCATTGCAAATTTGTCATCATTGGGCAACAAAGTGAATTTATCTTTAAGCTGTTGGATATCTTCCAGTACGTCAGATGGTATAAAGCCAATTTTATCGGCATTATCGATTAAAGTTTTTATGATGGTTGTTTGTAATGATAGTAAATCGCTATTATCATCATTATTGCTGACGTCAGGCATTAAACTTGGCGTTAAAACTAGTGCTAAGTTATTACTATCCATTTGATTTTGATCGGATTGAGTAGCAACATCTTTCAGAAATTTCATAATATAATGCAAAACGTTTAAGTTATCCCGTGGAAATAACAAGCACAGTAATAATATTGTCATTTGATGCAGACGACTTGCTTTCATTGAAGCACATTGTAAAAGTGCTTCATGAAATTCGTGAGGCAATACAGGAAAGGACAAGGAACGTAGAAATTGCTTCCATAACGTAGCAATATCATGCACATTAGCATCTTCACTCCAATCCTGGTTAACTTTACCGATTTGTGCCTAGTACGTTGTTGTAGTATTTTGAAGCATAATTTAATTTTACGAAGAGATTACGAATTGAATTAAACATCGCTTTTAGCTATTTACCAGTAGTATTTTTTGTCGTGAACGTGATCCAGATTTTCTGAACAGGCCTTCTGTGTGAAGATGTCTTCGTAGAAATTCACTTGTTTGATGTAAAAAGCTGTTGGGAAACATTGCAGTTATAGAATTGATTAGATTGATTCGATTAAAGTTGCATATATCAGCGTCTAATTATTTAAACAGAAATTGTTAGAAACTAATATTATAAATTAGCTACAATCGTGTTATTATGCTACACTGGTAGTTTATTTAACTGCTGATATGATTTCCTGATATGCAACAGTTGCATTAACTAATTTGATCATGTAGTGAATTCTAGTGACATGATAGGTGAGGTATTGGTCCCACTTTCTAGAGAGATGTACGTAATACAACATGTAGAGCGTTAGAATAACTAAGACAGACAGATGATTTTGACGGTCATCAGTGCATGTATATCTATATCTCGTTAACTTTATAGTGTACTAACAAATTTTTGGAGGTCTATTCGTGTTAACTATATAAAGCATACGACACGTAAAGGAATAATGAAAACTGCGATTGTTGTAGGAGTAGCATTTGATTGCGTCATTCTATGCATTAAAGTAGTTGCCGATAATTAATTTCTAAAATGCTGCAGTTACTTACGTTGGAATGGCATAGTGTTCCGTTTGATTATCTTGCTTGTATGGGACCAATGTTGCTGGCAATCCTAAAACTGAAGCAGGGTTGTCTTGGCTATGATTCTACAATAATAAACGATACGCGAATCATGACAAATGCTTAGCAGTCAAAATAGACTATACAATCACTTCTTGCTGTTTTTAAATACACTGTATCAAGGTTAATAAGGTAGAGCAATAGGGGTTGTCCGTTTATAGAAGCTTTCATTTGTAGGTCATGGACTTTAGACAGAAATCTGACTAACATGGCTACATCGTGTTCAGTTGGTGTACTTTATGCTACTTACGAGTAGGTTATCTTGCCACTTTATCCTACTTATAATTCTAACTATTAACCTTGAAGCAATCGAATAGGATTGATCGATAACTATTTCTATTGTTTGACAGCTCCTTTGATGGAAGTATGGCAGGGATGCGCATCTACCGATAGTGTGGTATAGGCTTGTTATGTTGGTAGATTGTAAAATCTAGAAAGCTTCTTCTATTGCTTAAGGAATGGGATCAAGATAGCAATGTATCTGTCTGTATGTTAACTGTCTTTCTTGGCGATCATTGTTACAGAGGATTTACATCCGTTACATGCAAAGCATAGCAGGATCGACTATAAAATACGGCACAGCCTGTTTGGATGGCTCTGACAAGCTAATATAACGCTTTCAAAGTGTTTGTACTAATTCACTTACCCTATTAGCTTGGATTACACCATCGGGTACTTTAATTCGACGGCTACACAATAATTGACGTATGACGATGTAAGCATGATCTCGATTATCCATACTAAATATTAGTGATGCCATGGTTCAGGTTGATGATTTTCAATAGGTACTTGTAGGTGACTAACGTGCAATGTCTTGAACTTGGAGAAAGTGTAAGTTGATGTGTGCTTTTAAGCTTGTCTTCCACTCTCTATTCTATCAGGTTACTGTAATAATAATGAATCTTTTAGCTTGAATCAATCTTCTATCTTATACCAGTCGTTGCCAATGCAAATCTAGTCTCAGTCTTTGTAATGTAATGTTGGTCAAGGTTGTTGCTTTGTAGAAGGCTTTCAAGTCTCTGTGATCCCACTTGGTCACACAATCCGCTTGTCGTCGTCGTCGACAACAGTGTTACTCGATGAAGTATTTTCCTCCACCGACAACGATAAAACTACCTCGTAGTCTACCTGCCCCAAAAAAACATATTACAATAATTTATTTGTCTGGCTATTTGTAGTTAGGTTAAAGCTATGCATTGAAAATCAAGTTGAAAGGACGCCATGGACAACGAGCCCAAGGCATGATTGCCATGGCTGTATGCGTGCTTTGGTTGGCCAAAGAGAACCGAGCATAACCAAGCTCATTTTTGAACCTTACCTGCTTTCTTTTTTAGCCAATCGACGACTACAACACACCAGGCTAGGTAAATTACTTGCAAAAATCAATCTAAAACTGGATTGCTTTCCCTTATTAGGCTAAATTGGCAACCAATGTAAGAAAATCAAAGGGATTCAAAGAGAGAGAAAAAAAAAAAAAAATTGTAAAATTTCACTGGCTGGCAATGACTCTGTCTGCAGCTTACTGAACCGTTCACCAGTGAAAATCCTTATGGAGCGCTGCAGAGGTTGTTTACAATTTAGACTCTTTGCAGTCCATGGTCGAAGACAAAGCGATGGTGTGTAGCACTGTAGCTTGACTCAGTCGTTGTTGACGCGTACTGTCCAATTGACCTGACAGAAAAACGTTTGCAAACGTTGACACTCGAGTCCGACTTTAAACTGCCGCTTGCAAATTCAAATAGTGTGACGTCACAATAGGTTGTTCACCACTCAGTGAATGAAGTTGGACCTGCGCACAACCATCATTGGGACTGGATGACAAGCAGCGGCTTGACGTCAACTCCAGTAAACATCCAAGTAGAATAAAGCTGTTGTAAAGCATTTCGCACAACATGGCGAAAGAGTGAATTCAAGTCAACTAAAATCAAGTCCAAAATGATGCACTCTACTGTCAACCATTGCCGTGGCCAACTATTACAGTATACTGTACAGTTTTAGTGATAGCCTATCGTAGAATGAGGAGAAAAAAGAGTCAGTCAGTCAGTCTCGGTACTCTTTTGAAGTGAACGCCCGTTAAAGTAATTTACTTGCCTTGAACGGGGACGAACACTACAGTAAGTGCATTAAAGAATCAACAATAGTACAAAGAGAGGGGCAGGAAAGGATTCTTCATCATAGTAAAAATGTGCAGCCGAATATTTGACTGGTCATTTTAACTGTATTGCATGTCAAGAAAGACTGAAAAAATGATAGTGCCAAGCGTAGACTAGTAGAGGTATCTACAACTCTATGATAACTAAGAGAGAATTTGTCTTTGGCCTCGACATTCCAGTACTGTGCAGGGTGTCCGGAAAGTCTGGACACATCTTATTTAGTTCTGTATGACAGATGCGTCCAAACTTTATTTCCAAATTTTGTATGCAGTAAGATCATGTTCTGGAGATTTTAATATCGCAAACAGCAATGTTCTGAGACGTTCCTAGGTCTGTATATTTCAACGTCTACTAGAGACTGAGAGTATAGTACAGTAATGTATTGAAAGTAACAGTATTTTGCAGTCAACAGCCACTTGTAGTCACTCTCTTTCTTGTCAATATTGCTTAGCCATCCTTGAATTTGGTATGATTCATAAGCAATTGAACGCATGAAAACGTTCTCCGTCGTCAGATGGAATTGCAAACACAGAAAGGCACCTACAGCCACAATCAAAGCTCTCACTTGAGTCTCTTGGCTGTGCCATCTGACAATTTGCCCATCTGCTGCAAAAATCCAACTCGGTGTTTACGATGACATTCAGTGGAAAGCACCAGTGCGTATGGAGTTGAGCAGCTCATTTTGCGCAACAATCGTGGACGACCATAGTGTACCCATTGCAGATATACAATACACTTGAAATGACCAGCAACATACGCCATTCTCAGTACTGTATCATTGCATATAGAAACCAACAACAATCACTGTCTCTCGCTGCACCTTTGTATACTGTCAGGTCTAATACGGTGTTTGTATGACATAGACAAGTTCAGTTTAGTTTAGTTTAGTTTAGTTCAGTTTAGTTCAGTTTAGTTCAGTTTAGTTCAGTTTAGTTCAGTTTAGTTTAGTCTAGTTTAGTTTAGTCTAGTTTAGTTTAGTCTAGTTTAGTTTAGTTTAGTTTAGTTTAGTTTAGTTTAGTTTAGTTGAGTTCAGTTTAGTTTAGTGCAGTTCAGTGCAGTTCAGTTCAGTGCAGTGCAGATCAGTGCAGATCAGTTCAGTTCAGTTCAGTGCAGTTCAGTGCAGTTCAGTGCAGTTCAGTTCAGTTCAGTTCAGTTCAGTGCAGTTCAGTGTAGTGCAGTTCAGTGTAGTGCAGTTCAGTACAGTGCAGTGCAGTTCAGTGCAGTGCAGTTCAGTGCAGTTCAGTGCGATATGGATCAGCGCGGACCAGTCCAGTGCGGTACGGTTCAGGGCGGTTCGATCTGGATGGTGTTGATATGGTTGGCACTACTGTCAGGTCTAATACTGTATTGTGTTTGTATGACCTAGACAAGTCCAGTTTAGTTTAGTTTAGTTTAGTTCAGTACAGTTCGATCTGGACCAGCGCGGACCAGTACAGTTCGGCGCGGTTCAGTACGGCGCGGTAAGGTTCGGTACCGTTCAATACGGTCCAGTAGAGTACCGTACGGTACAGTATAGGGCGGCTCTCTACGTGACTCTAATCAGTTGATTGGGAATAGCTTTGACAACATGGCGTCGCTAATTTGGAAGATTGCAAGCAAATTTTCAACGCCTATCAAGACTTTACCTAGGCTAACATTACCGATGCAATATCGTTGCTTTAATATTAATGTTATTCTCTGCAATGAATTTAGTGATGATATCTTCATCAACAATGTACTAGAAAAGACAGGATTACAGCTGAAAAAATCGGTGGCCAAGAAATTACTCGCCAGCGGTAGTCGAGAATGGAGTTTGGACTACACTTGTGATAGCATACAATGTTTACAATCGTTCGGTTTCCAGACCGCAGGGCTCAATAAAATATTTACTATGTGGCCATTTATTGTAGTCATGGAGAAAAAACTATTAATTGAAAGAATTGAATTTTGGGGTAAGGAATATCTGGATATGGATTGGGTCCGTAGTACAGCTGTTAAATTTCCACGCTTGTTAGCTTATGATGTGAAAAGCAATATCCTTCCCAAGATCCATTATTTATATCACTTCTTTAAGAATGATGCTGCTGTCAAGCAAATTATTCGTAAATATCCCTACTTTTTAATCTCACGTAAAGGTACTATTGAAGAACGCATTAATTGTATCGCTGAAATTGGTATGAATCCTGCAACAGTATTGACATTGATTAAACGCCAACCTCGTCTTCTCTATGCGACTAGTAGTGGTTTCAGCTTTAAAATCGTTTGGCTGGAAAGGTTAGGTTTCGATCGTAGTGAAATTGTTAGCCTATTACTACGTTATCCCTCCATCTTTGTCACCAATATCAATAAATTAGAGGAAAAAGTACATTGGCTAGTTGAAGTAGGTTATGGTGGTGGTAGCCCACGTCGAATTATTTGGATCAATCCTCCATGCCTTGGTTATACTGTCAAGTCGATGAAAATCAAATTTGCCCTCTTACGTGATCATCTCAAGATCGATCTGGAACAAATTCATAACTGTCCATCTGCATTAGGCTACTCCACTAAACGCTTATACAATAGAATAGCCTATCTTAAACATCTTCGCTTATGGGAAGGACCATATCAGCCTTCATTGGGCTCTTTTATAACTAAAAATGATCAAGATTTTTGCAATTTAGTCGCTAAACGTCCTTACCAGCATTACATGAACTTTGTTGATTCGTTACCAGCTGATGAATTGACCGAAAAATTGTCAAATACATCCATTTAGCTTACTAACTGCAATCATGATATTCTAAATGTCCTGATGATAATCATTGTACTCTACTGTATTCTATATGACATGAGACATGGTCGCTTTTGTGATATAACATGTAGCCTAGCTCTCATCAAGTCATTATGCTACAGAATATATTGATAATGAATGAATTAATCGAATCCTAGTTTTCTTACTGTACATACTCGCTATGATATATAATTTGAAATGATACAGAATAGAGCATGTACTGGTTGTACTCGATGTCCTCGTACTTTACTACTGTATAGACCTTGTTATCAACATAGAAATGTAAACATTATTACTACCTTCAAAGGAAGCCAAGTAAAATTCTTATTACTATTATCGTTACTGCAGCTTGAAGGGAGTTATTACAATTACAAGTATAACATCCGAAAAAAAGATTCATCCCATGCTAAATGTAGTAAATTTGCTATGATATAGAGAATCATCTCTTTGGAAAATGAATAGGACAGAATGATAGTTTCCATGTTCATTTTCTTACTTTCTTCTTGTTCAGTACGATCAATCAACCAACTATCCATTTGCTAGTCTACCTTGTCTGGCGCATACGCATCAACATGACCTGCATTGCTATCCGACCGTAGTAGTTGCATGATGGTTTTCATTATGTTATCAATAAAATCACAATATAAATAATTATTTCACATCATTTTTATTGTCATTTTTTCTCGCTAGTGCAAATAATATATGCGGCAATAGTTATTATCTATATCAACGATCGCAATATCATTTGAAAAAGTTTTAATTCTAAATAAAGCAATTCCTTATTGTGGAGTATCTTATAGCCTCCATTAGAATTTATCATATTAGCAAGCAACATGGATTCGTTACATTATTGCAAAAGAAAATAATCCTGTTTGACTAAGGAAACGTAATAACTATTATTACACCATAAAGCTAAAAAATATGAATTCGATCATTTCTACGGTAACATTATAGTGAAAGCAGATACAGCCTTTTCAAAGCTATTTATAAATAAACAGCCGTCCTATATCAATACGTACGTCGTCACATGTACTATAAGCAAAAGTTATGATGGTTACTATATCATTTCTGCATGTAATCATTAATCAATCCATTACTGTAAATTACATATTCGTATGTAGATATATATATATATATATATGCAAATAGTGAAAGCAAATGCAGCCCCAATATATTATACGTGTATTGCTTCTATTTGCACCACATTCCTTGTATAGTCATAAAATGAAAAGACATATAATTTCTTTTACAAGACAAAATGGTCTCCATTAAAAAGAGAATATCCAAAAAGCAAGCTATGACTCCATGATGATAACATCATTAATCATACTAACAAATCCATGATAGACAAAATACATCCATACTAACATCTTCAACCAATTGTGAGTGATAGCAAATGACAGCCTAGTATTTTAAATCTGCTCTCTAAATATGTTTCAGCAATATTGATCAGCTTTCTTTCAAGTATTATAATATCAAATTCTGTGTTGCAATGAAATAAAGCGCAACTTCAAAGGCATTACACAGGATCAGATTTTCTCTTTTTAAAATAAAATGGGCAAAATCACATAACTATTAATCTCAAGTCCTTAAGATAATTGAAGCAAATGAAAGATTTAGCAATGAAAAAATATCTTTTTGTACAAGTAAAAATATTATTTTGTTCTGTAACAAACCGTCACTTCTTGCAAAGACTTATTTAGATGAATACAGCAAGCCCCACTGAAGTAAGGTAAATACTTATCTAGCTCTGGTAAAACAATTTCATAAACATAATTTATAATTTACAAATAAGTCGCATCGAAAATCCTAGCGAACGCTAAGTGGCGATGAGATATTCTTCAATAATGCGTTTCTTCATTTATTAAACAACAGCAGACGAGTTTGTACCCGCAGCTTCAGTTAACTGCCCAGCGCGAGATTTTGCAGATAGCAGATCAAGTTCAAATGTTTCTTCAAAATAATCGTGCAGCTCTTCATTATCTAAAATGGTAGCGTATATTTGATCGAATGTTACATTCCAAGCACTGGGCGGATCAATATGTCCACCACGCTTCGCCGATCCAGAAGCATTTTCGTCTCTCCTATCATTACCAGTTTCAGATTCCATCTCAACATCTGTATCCACTTTACTAGATAAATCTAACGTTGAACCAAATTTCTTTTTGTTTCCAACATCTAAAATAAGTGCACCACATTTCGCAACAGCTGGGCAGAGTTTGTGTTCATTGCTCGTTTCATGAAATAATCCAAACATGGTTTTCCATAGCTGAATAAATTGAGCCTACCAAGTACAATGCACGAAAAAGAACGAAATCTTAGTACAGGATTAATTGAACTGAAAAATAATTCGCATAATATACGGTACATTGTACGGTTACTAGTTCGTAGGCAATCAAGGTACCTGACTCATTAGAGGCAATTTTCGCTCTTGTTCGTATTGCCTCTTTTTCTTATATTTCAAGAAATAAGATAAATTTTGAGATAATTGAGAAGATGAGTCTGCTGATTGTTTGAAATTAGCGCCACTGTCAGTACTTGTTTTATCGTCTTTAAAATTTTCGTTTTCACTATCGTCTCCATCGTATTCTTCTATTGGAGTTACTTTTTCTGTAGAAGTGTTATTAATTTCAATTCCATCTTCAGATAATACAGGTTGCACATGCATCCTGTATAGGAAAGATAATTTCTCTTTGGTAGTTCCACGACATATAACACCGAGTCCCCAAGCAAAATCTCTGAATGTAATCATACCACGTTTGTCGTCGTCTAAAACCTACATTGATATTGCAAAATGTTATCAGGTCACATAGATTGACATCAATTACACTTGCATGTATCTTAGTAATTGAGACAAGACCTTAAAAATTCGATTAGCGACTACTTCATCCCTATCACCAGTACCATTTTGAAGATTATTAGTCCATGGTGACAGACAAAAATATAACGCTTTAAACTGTTCTTTATCAATAGTGTGCTCATTCCTTTCGTATGTATGACCTTTTGATGTTTCTTTCTTGTCTTTACTGATAGCAGAACCCCAGTAAGCGTTCTGTAAATGTCCTTCCTACAATTATTCACCCAGTCATTCAATTATAAGCTTGAATGAAAGTATAGCGCCAAAATCAAACATAAAAAATTACCTTAAATAAAGCATACATGTCTTCTAATTCGTGGTTTTCAAATAAAGTATCAGCAGCAACGCTTCGAACAACATTTTTCTTTGCGTTATCTTCAAGTTTCTAAAGGAATATATTTGTGTCAATGATTACATCAATTGTAACCTACATTTCTCAAAATTGATTATTTATTTTATTTTTACCTGTACAACTTTTAAGCGAAGAGAATTACGTAAACGATTTATTTTTAAATCAGAGATATTACCAAATTTTTCGTATGAATCTCGAATAAGATCTGATACTTCTACCGTCTAACACATTGATGATAGGTTACAGATTTAGTCAAAGTTAAAATTGAAATGGAAACAAATTAATTATTTACAATCAAGAGGAAAATTACCTTGCGGTGCTCTAAATATCCTTTGGCCGAGGCCGAATGTTTCTTAGTTACAGTCATAATACTATCGCGGTTGGTTACACTATCTAAATACTGGCTCAATATTGTCATTGCTTCTCCATCATCAAATACTGACATCAACTCCATTTTATTAGCATCCAAAACGGCTAAAGCAATTTGAAAGATAGCCTAATGTATATTGAGAATAATACATGTATAATTAGATATAGAAACAATCTATTGTGCTAACCATCATAAATATAATAGAATTTATGAAATATTTTTTTTACAAACCTTAGCGCCATCGTAAAAAAAGCAATCAATTATTCTTACCGCACTACTAAAAGGCATGACACTATACAAATAAAATTAATGTCAATTTCATCGTAAACTCTCTGCTTGTGTAAAATTATCATACTACTTTTTAGCGCTTTATAAACCAACCTGACAAAAATTGTTAGAAACCAAGATAAACTAATCATATCTAAGATGCCTAGTTTTTTTAAATGTTCATAAATGTCCGGTAAATACACGCGAGTAAGCTCTTCAAATACAGCTAAAGGAGTGATGAGAAAGTGGTCAAAACTATTTCGTACAGAATTCAAAGACGGTTACATAAATATTTATTGCAGTAGGCAAAACAGGTTATACGTACCCTGGTCAACTAAAGCTCCAACGACACGTGTATTATAGTAATCAGGGAGTAAGCGTTCACAGATAGCAACCATAAGCCAGAATGATTCTTCTTCTTTGGCATATAACAGCAGAACGGAAGCAACAATGTTCATGGCTTGGCAGTAACCTTGTTTAGGTGAAAAAAGAAGGTATACACTGATTGATATGATATTTTATTGGGGCGAATAATTATAAGCTACACACCTATTGTGGGATTTCTCCATGCATAAGCAGTTAATACGCGTCGGAGTGCAGCAATACCGACATCCGATTGAAAGGCTGGATGTTCCGGAAGGGATCTTTAGAAATAAGTAATAAAAGTGCATCTTTTAGTTGATATACCTTACGCGTAAATTATAGACTTGAAAAAATAATTATGTTCTATTTGAGAATATTTGATTTATAGGTTTAATTGATTGCTAATCGATCACAATACACTTGATAGCAAATACGAATCTATAGTCGATAACTGCACTACCTATGTAAATCTCGTTCTATCTCTTCAGTGGCAATTGTCGCCTTTCCAGCGCATTCATCGACAATTTTCTTATAATAATTGGGATGAATGGCGTGCTGTTGTGTTATAGAAAATTACTGACGTTAATATCTAATACTATATATATACACAAATATAAAAACGTTCCTTAATCTTGAGAACCTACTTCATTGATTGCACCGGAAAACAGTAACCATATCTCTGATCGTAAAGAATCTGGGATGCCCTTCGTAATAAGTTCTCTAGTTTTAGAAGTTCTGTACATGCAAACTCCTCTGTAATGGTACGAATGATAGAAAAAGGGATCTTAAATATCTAAAGCAGCTCAACTATTACTATCTGTTCTCCATTTTACTAACCGGCCATACTCTGCGAAGTGAAGCATCCAAACATGTTCCTTCATAGACTCCTTGACGGGCGGGGCTGAGTAACCTGTTGTAAATACTTTTGCTAAAGGGTCGGCATAAGTTCCCGCATTTTTGCTCATAGTTTTAGGACTATCTTCTGGTTGTGTGAACGTAATTGGTGTTTTGATATCATCGCTACCATCATCATCGTTGATAATATCAGCTTCTTCTAGCTTATCATCGCTGTCAATCCTTGATAACTTAACATTGTCATCATTTTTTCGGAAACGCACACTCATCACGTCTAACGGACCATCTTCCTTGACTTTTTCGCTCGTTGTTAAGTGCATGTTAGCGATGGTATTTTCTAAATCACCTATCGTTTTACGATCTCCAGGAATTCTATTTTACACCAAAAAATATCTGCTTTAAGTATGTCTATTTTGTTCGTCAAATTTTAGTAAGTTTAGTGATCGCATAGAAAGTACTGTAAAAGGGTTTACTGACGTGGTTGTGGATGGAATACGGGCCAAAAAGTCCGATATCCTCCCAGTTATTAAGCTTCTATCTTTTAGCATTCCAAATAAAAAGGACATCTACCATGCAAAATTAATTTAAGCAAGAAATTACATGGCTATCAGTTATAATACAGGTACAATAATTGACTTTTACCTTGCTCTTTGTCGTAATATGTAAGGCACTAGGAGCAACCGACTGGCCGTCTACTTTCTCAACCACAGTTATTTCTCTCATCGGTATTACAATTTTACAAAAATCAGGATTTTGCTATAATAAATAATAGGTCATAATATTGATTCATGTAAGATATATCAATAGAAGCATTTATCGTATGACTGACATCCTACGCAATAACTTACTTTGGTAATATAGCAAAGATAGTTTAAAGAACAATGTAGTGTTCCCCAAATATTCGTTTTTAAATAAGGAAGCCAAGCTGTACAGTCAGCAACACCATCTAACATCTCATCTGATGGAAGAGTAAAGGTATGCCTGAAATAGATGGTATTGCCATAAGTTTATCACGTGTCATGTTTCTATCGCAATGTATTATACCTTCTATCTATCTAAATCATAGTTATTAACCTATAGTGTTCAGATCTAGCACGAACATCCAATTCTCTCATTAATGTTGATGCCTTCTTTCTGCCATAAGACAAAGCGTTCAAGCTACTGTTTTGCCATTAAAAAAGTCATCCAATGGTATTAGTAAAATTAAGTCGATCAACAGCTCTAAGCTACTGTATCATGAATTGATCTTATTACAGCTGCATTCAAAATATTAACATTGCTCACTTTAGAGTTTTATCTTCACTATCATCAGTAGATAGAAGCCTATAAAAAGAAGATTGTTTATCAATCTAACCTTGATACGGTCTAGCGATATAAATCTAATTGTGAATTAACAATTTTACTATGAAAGTATCCAATACTATAAACGAATCACAGAATACCTACTTTTTCATAGCTAAATTAGCTAGTTGTTCCATTAAGCGTAACGTTTCATTGGGATGCAGCAAAAAAGAAAAATAGCACTAACAAAACATAAGGATATCGGTTACATTCTATACAATACTCAACTAATCAAGTATTCACTCTGGTGCTTTACTACATCCATTATTATGTAGGTCACCATTCCTAACTAGCTAAATTAATTTAAATGATCGTACCACTTTGTCTCTCGTTACTACTTTTACAGAATCGCGTAGAACCATATTGTTGTTCTTGGTTATTTTCTAGAATAATAATTGCAAATTAATAGGAATTAATTGTGATATTCACTTCAATTTGAAAAAATAGCTGCAAGCTTTCCATACCACCACATCGGTCCATCTAATAACAACTCTAGCTTCTTTACCCATTAGAAATGAATAAAAACTAAGATGATTAATTGATAAATAAAGCCACCCTTGGCGGGGAACTTTTCCTTTCCAGTAGCTACATGAGTAATCTGATTTCGATACGTAATCAATCACGATATGGAATAAGACAAGAAATGAAAGAAATATTGTATATACATTAGCATGATAACAGTGAGGTAAGAATTAGTTATCATTTTATTTGTAGATATGATATCGACCGCGAAGTACTCAATGCTTTAATCAATACATCGACCAACATCTTGATCAAAAATTATCTACCAATTATAATTACTAGATAGTAAAGTAAAAATTTTCAAATGATTTAACTTACAATTAACGAGCTTTTCTCCTTCAGGCATACCAAACAATTTCCTAAATCTAATTACAGCAGCTCTAAATTTTACACTTTCAGAATCTGTAGCAGATAAAGAATTAGCCATTAATTACTAAAATGGAGATGTCAGTTTACAATAGCGATTCTGTAATCGCCTAAATACACGTATACCGAAGTAAAGGAATTTAACATAGTATTTCAGCCATTAATAATCGATGTTTTACAAATAAATAGTCTATCAATGAGAAGTGATTGTCGGCAAAAATAATATCTAATATCTGAATTAAATGAACTCTTAAAGGTATAAATTTATTATGAATATTATCGTATTGTACTGACAACTGAAAAAAATGATTCTTATCCTGTAGCGTAAACATGTTAAATTGTAAGCACAGTTATTGATTTTAGGTAGATATACTTACCCTCAGCAGAAGATTCGGTTGGATCAGCTTCATTCGCAATTAGACTTTCTATTTTAGCGCAGGTAAATTCTCTAGCATCATCGCCGTTATCGAAGGTTTCTGTACGATAAGAATACAATCAGATCGACCGATCACAAGATCATGATTAAGATATATTGCAAATGATGGAAACTATCCAAAATGAGCGTAGTAAGCGAGTATCATGGCGACTCCAATAAATAAGAACAGCAAGGAAAGGAAGAGTAAACTAGCACGATGGCTAGTAAGAAATAGCTTATTATAACTTTCAATAAGGATATCAAGGATGAAAAGTTCAGTAGCGTTAAAGTAGTTTAATATCAAGATATTCCTTCTCGCTTTTATGATCCGACATATTTTTATTATTACTCGTAAGAAATACTGTGGTGCTAAGAAGATTTCTAGCATATGCGTCCAATCGTCTCATCCTATGGGTAACAGATTCAATGGTTCGCTACATAGCGGTACATTTTTAAAATGTATTAAACATTGAAATTTTTAAGAGAATGGCGTCCAGAATAAAAATTGTTTCATCTGATTGATATTTAATCCAATCAGTAATTACCTAAAGTTGGAAGTAAATTTTCTTCCAGCCACAGCCAATGCTCCATAATTTCTTCACGAGTTAATCCAGCAGCAATAACTATTAAGTCAAGCAAAGTAGAACACAATTAGTCTGATTAAGCGAACAAGAGCCATCATCATACCTGTAATAGCCTAAATTACATTACAACGGATAAGAGATTGCAAATTTATAGGCTTACAGGATGACAACAATAGCATCCCCAAAATAAGATCAACGTGTTTTCCATTAATTTAATTAATAAAGTATTTGGAAAATAAAAGCTTTCTATCATAATCGATTGTACTTTGCTGCTATTCTTTAGGTCAATAATTGATAGAATTACAGTAATTCATTATTGATATTTGAATGGCTATCGAGTCAACAACTATTTTCTTCTACTGTTGCTCTAGTTTGAAAGGATATTTTACATGCAGTATAGTAGATATTTTTCACTTTTACTGGAATTTTTGTATCCATATACTGTATCGATAGCAAATGAATGACTATGCGGTTCTCGATGCAACGATAATCATTTTTTCCCTTCCTAGTGGAAATCGATGACATGAGCTGAAAATGACCGAGGACAATTTGTTGAAGTTCAGAAAATTCCTTAGTAGACGATTACAGTTTAGTATTTTATCGTTAGCGCTAAAGATCGCTAGGCCTTGTCGTAGAATAAGATGGTATCATCGCAGATCTCTTGTCTATTAGTAATAGCATTCAATGAACGACTTGGCGACAATTAGAATAGTCTATGTGCATCATTAATCCATTTAGTAGAATGGCGTCATCGCATAGCAATCATTTGTAGCTCTTGAGGACTTTTCTTCCTCTATCCTAAGATTTCACTCCTATTCTGAATAACACTCGTGTATTGTTTGAATCAATCCATCATGGTTGTTGATGATTTTCTTCATCAATTAGAAATACTACTAATCTATTGGCATTATTCCTCACCTTGCATGCAACAATGTCATTCTATATTCTATCGTCGATCACTATATCAATCATAGTCGATTTGTACATGTAGACAGGTGCACAGTCAATATTATTGACCAAATTATTGGATATTCTGGTAATTAAGATTGAATGAAAGTCAATACCATTGCAAATAGAGAATACAATCAATTGGATGCTAAACTGAATGGAGACTGATGATAATTACAGTATATAGATAGAATCAGTCCCATTAATGATGTACTCTTCAATGGATCGATTTTTTCCAGCAAGTGATGATGTTAGTCAAGAAATGAGTTGATTTTACTGATCGATACTGGAATAGTTGTGGGATCTTTGGAAGCGGTGTCGTCTTTTCAAGGCATTTCAAGAACTTACTCGTCTTGGAAGATAGGATGCAGTGCTTTACTGAGAGCGAAAATGTCCCTCTTTCCTCCGACAAAATAGGGATACCACGATAACAATATCCTATGTATCTACTATTCATGGATATTATTGAAATCGATTCTATTGTGGCCTTTTAAGTAAATAAATACAAGCAAAATAATGAATAGAGAGAGTAGAGTAAAAGAATTACAAATGAGATCAAAGAAGGGAATAATCAAGTTTCTATCTTTTGAGATATTGGATAGACTGTTGATTGAGAGTAGATTCAAGGTAGTCATACTTTGATCCAAGGGAAATGGGTTGCCTTGCGCTAATGTAGACTACTGTAGGTTGTATTCGATCCATTCGTTTTAGACTTATCCTTGGCCTCGACCAAAGTGTCTTCAATGGGATATAGAGTAGTAAAAGGAAATGGATTGGACTTGTAGCAGGGTGTTGATTTTCACTTGAAAGTTACTGTCAAGGTTGATTTAGGAATCCTCCATGTTTGTTATTTGTTTAAGCTGATTTCGCAATTTTCCATAGTGGAAATATTGGAGGATAGGAGAATATTCATTCTTATCAAGATCCTCGACCAAACATGATGTGGATCGCAACGACAACAGTATTGGGAAAAGTAGTCCATCATGCCCATGATAACAATACTACTAAATGTAGACATTAGTTTGATATCAACATCGCCTAGGGTTACTTGATAGGGAATCTACTTTTTTAGATACAGCAAAGCCGATGTATCTACAGTAAGTCGTTGGAGGATAGGGAAAGATCCATTTTTGTCCACATCTTGGACCAAATAGGATAGAGACAGTATTGGGAAAAGTGGTCCATCATATCCATGACAAAAATACTACTAAATGTAGACATTAGTTTGATATCAACATCGCCTAGGGTTACTTGATAGGGAATCTACTTTTTTAGATACAGCAAAGCCGATGTATCTACAGTAAGTTGTTGGAGGATAGGGAAAGATCCATTTTTGTCCACATCTTGGACCAAATAGGATAGAGACAGTATTGGGAAAAGTGGTCCATCATATCCATGACAAAAATACTACTAAATGTAGACATTAGTTTGATATCAACATCGCCTAGGGTTACTTGATAGGGAATCTACTTTTTTAGATACAGCAAAGCCGATGTATCTACAGTAAGTCGTTGGAGGATAGGGAAAGATCCATTTTTGTCAACATCTTGGACCAAATAGGATGGAGACAGTATTGGGAAAAGTAGTCCATCATGTCCATGACAACAATACTCAATGCAGACATTCGTCTAATATATCCATAACATCAGGTTTCCTAGCCGATGCTTTGAGGATAGGAGAGTATCCATTGTTGTCAAGATTAGAGACCAAACATGATGTGGATAGCAAGGACTAGCGGCAAAAAAGAGTGCATGCAATTTATGACAACAAGGTTGCATGCCAGCAGGCTAGTCGATGAAAAAGGAAAATGGCGAAGAACAACATGAATGCAAGTCGTCGTTGTCTTGCGTATGGACAGTAGGCTATGTCCACTGGACAATATGTTCGCCCAGCCTTTTGAACTTGGAAGCAGACAATTTTAATCAAGTGATTGTCTGCTATTCATGGATTATAGCAGAAATGCAATACTTGCCAATGTCAATAGTAAGGTAGCCGAGTAGAAGACATAGTACTTCCATTGCGATCTCACAATGGTCCTTTCTCAGGAGTATTGGTTGCTACCATGCTTGGATAATATGATCTTGTCCATGGCCGATATGGATCTATTGCACTTTGATATTGATTTCCTCCGCATTCAATGGAGTAATTAGTGGATATTATTGACAGTTTGCTATCGTGGGAAAATGGACAACATGCATGTTGGATGTTGGCTAGAATAGTTCATCCATGCTAGGGATGTAAACTATCATTTTCTGATTGACAATCCAGTGTTGATAGCCATCTATTTAGGAACATTATTGCTGACGCTTTACATTGAATTCAATGTAAATGGCAGTGGGTAATCAAGGGGTGCAAGATTTTACTTGGCACGTTCTCCTCAATCTTGTGCACCCCTTGGTGAAAGGAAAGAGAGCGATTTCATTTATCGCAGTATGCGCTTGCTATGTTATCGTCTATGTTCTAAAAATACAGCGAGAAGTTGTAGCCATCGTACCATATCCTATTTTTTTCCATGTTGTCAAAGTAAAATGAGGATTTGTAGTCATTCTAACCAGTCGCCATTTACTACGTTATCCTTGCTGTTGTGCATTCTTTGATACTAGGGATTACTGGCTCCCCCTCCCAAAGAAAAAATGGACGCAAAATAAGCGAGTAATCAAAAGGAAAGTGAGGACTTGTAGTCATTACAACATGTAGAGAATTTGTTCAGCATGCTACCCTTGCTTAGTCCTCATTTTGCTAGTCTATTTTCTACCGTATTTTTGGAATCCTTTTGTAAGAGTAAAATGACACTGGATCTCATCCATCGCCATAGGTATTTTTGTTGAGTGTGCTATCCTTGCTCAGTCTATCTTGTAGACTATTGGTAACGTAAGGACTTTAAGAAGGTGATTAACGATCGTAAGCAATGGACAAACTTTGCCATCTGCGATGATTGTTGGCCTACAAACAGACTTGGTAGGGCACGATGGGAGACCAAGGATCGATTGATGATAAAGAATCACTCTTTCCTGGGCAGGCAATGTACAATTTATCGATAGCTATCCTACAGCATATCGTACTATCAGCCATTTTTCACAACACCAATTGGCTATGGCAGAAGAAAATGGCAACAATCATTGACGTTGTTTTCCCCATAGGATGATTGTTTTGCAAGCACCCATTCATGAATCGATCGTTGAACGATTGATTAATCATTGATTGCAGTTCTAGCTCTACACCACTTATTGATCATGCACATTTGCAAGAAGATTATAATTTAGACTTGGTTTGGATCTAATACAACGCTATGGTAGTTTGAATGGGTTAAAATTAAAAAAAGAAAGAAAAGAGTTGTAATCCATGAAGCATGGATCAATATGGTCTATGTGGAAAGGTTGTCTTCAGCTTGTTATCCTTCTAGGCAGCGGGAATCTTGTTATAGTACAGTAGTCATGGTTTAGGTTGTTGTTGAATAACCGTTGGGTAGTAGTGGACATGTTTTAAATAATAAACAGGCAAATAGAGGGATACAAAAGATGGAAGTAGATGAGAGATGAACTCAAGCGTATTCCTCCCCCTTGGAAAAAAAAATTGAGCTCCAAATAGACTTACCATAGCTAATTTCCGTGTTGGTTGTTTGAGATAAAATTCGGTAAGGCGCCGGCTAATCCATTGGGCAGAAGGAGAAAAGAATCAATTAGGATTAATGAAAAGATAAGCAAATGGATAACGGATCTTGCTGTACTGTACTGTATGCTAAGAGTCATGGGGAGGATAGCAGATGTAAACTAAAATTGATTACAATTGATGTTGGCCGATAGAGTACAACAACATTGTGGGCCTTAAATTGTCCACCCATAAACAGATACAAGTACCCATCTTGACTAGGCTGCCATCGTGGTTGGAAAGTGGAAAAAAGGTGGAAAATGAATTTGTTTGCTGCATGTTTTCATGAGGCAGTCTGTAGTAGACTAGTCACGATTGACAACTGGACGATAGGGTTAGCCATGATATCCGCATATCATCCAAGGATGTCAACATGGGCAAGATGATTTGTGATGAGAATGGATGCTTGCAAGATTGATGTATTTGACTGTAGTAGACTGATAAATTTTCCAATGGATACCTTGCATCAGGCCATCGGCCCGATCGAGGATAAACTAAGGAAGGAAGGATTGCATCCTTGGGTTGAGATCGTTGATTGCAAGTATGCTGTAAAGTATGCATAATTAGGGTTGTAACTAAAGTTGATGATGATGGAAATGGAGCATTTTCCATGTACTTTGCGATGTAAGTGGCTGTTGTGTTGATGATGCCTAGCAATGTTGATGTACGACTACTGTATCCTGCCTGGCTACAAGAGTTGTATAAAGTGATGGAAAAGATTTACCTTTGAATCAAGGACATTATCGATGGTTCCAATAAAGAGCGATGCCAATCCAGTTGAGCCATGTCCACGCCGGCGTTGTAAGGTAAAAAAGTGATTGGAACGTTCATTCACCCTAGCGAGGAAGAGAGAGAGAGAAAGAAAGACCATCAATGCAAGAAGGAAATGACTGGGCGCAATCATGACTATCCTAGCTACAATCTTGTACAATGATGATTTCATCATGGTGGATCATCATGGTTGTCGTGACGTCAAGGCAATGAAGAAGAGATCGATTGGCCATCATGACATGTCTACTTACTTTAGGATGGAGACCTTGGCCCCCCCAAAAAAATATGCTAGACCAGATGGGACAAATATCAATATTGTCACCACTGATGGTGGCAGAAAAGGCAACAACAACAACATGCCATCTTGGCATCTACCTACCATAATGCATTGGTTAATAACACTTCATCTGGTTTGATCCACATAGCGGCGCTGGCCGATCGTGATGCAAGAGGTGGAGAAAGCTGCAATGCCAACGATAACACACAAAGTGCAATACACTACAAGCAAATTGGAGAAGAAAACATGGACAAGCTAGCAACAGCAACAGCAGCAGGTTGGTTTCCAGTCCAACTTGCTAGCAAGATGGGCAATGACTGAATGGGGGCCAATTGGCCGACGGACTTTCTCCACCTGTCGACTGTAGACTGTCGATTGTAGACTGTAGACTGTAGACTGTAGACTGTAGACTGAAGACAGACGACTGACGACTGTACAGTGTACAGTACAGTACAGTACTGTACTGTACAGTGTACAGTACTTGGTTTCCAGTCCAACTTGCTAGCAAGATGGACTGGACAATTGGCCGACGGACTTTCTCCACCTGTCGACTGTACTGTAGACTGTCGATTGTAGACTGTACTGTAGACTGTAGACTGTCGATTGTCGATTGTACAGTACGTACTGTACAGTACAGTAGACTGTAGACTGTCGATTGTAGACTGTAGACTGTAGACTATCGATTGTCGATTGTACAGTACTGTACTGTACACTGTACAGTACAGTAGACTGTAGACTGTAGACTGAAGACAGACGACTGACGACTGTACTGTAGACTGTAGACTGTAGACTGTACTGTAGACTGTCGACTGAAGAGTTTCTTGGTTTCCAGTCCAACTTGCTAACAAGATGGACTGGACAATTGGCCGACGGACTTTCTCCCACTGTAGACTGTAGACTGTAGACTGTAGACTGAAGACTGAAGACTGTCGACTGCAGAGTTTCTTGGTTTCCAGTCCATCTTGCTAGCAAGATGGACTGGACAATTGGCCGACGGACTTTCTCCCACTGTAGACTGTAGACTGTAGACTGTAGACTGTAGACTGAAGACTGTCGACTGCAGAGTTTCTTGGTTTCCAGTCCAACTTGCTAGCAAGATGGACTGGACAATTGGCCGACGGACTTTCTCCGACTGTAGACTGTAGGCTGTAGACTGTAGACTGTAGACTGAAGACTGAAGACTGTAGACTGAAGAGTTTCTTGGTTTCCAGTCCAACTTGCTAGCAAGATGGACTGGACAATTGGCCGACGGACTTTCGTCGCTGTAGACTGTCGATTGTAGACTGTAGATTGTACATTGTAGACTGTTGACTGTAGACTGAAGAAGACTAGAGACCTTCTCGATGAAGCTAAGTTAGCTAACCATGTCATACAGTATCGTGTTAAGTGGAGTACTGTACAGTACTGTACACGTCACATTACTGTACATTGTACACTGTCCGTTGTACTGTAGACTGTTGGCAATTGGCCTACAGTACACTGTACTGTACACGTGTACTTTCTCCGACTGTAGACTGTAGACTGAAGACTATAGTACTGTAGAGACTCTCTATGACCATGTCGTATCGTGTTGAGTGGAGCTCGTCACATCATTGATACACAGTACTGTACTGTACAGTAAAGTCTACTGTACTCACTGTAGATGGTACACCAACAGTGTAGCAGTGTACAGTACAGTACTGTACCCTACAGTACGCACAATCGCACATTATGCATTGGGCGAGACTTGTATCGTAAGCGTACTGTACAGATTGTACTGTAGTGGGTGGTGACGGAAAGGAATGTAAGTTGATACGTTGAAATAGCCAACAGAACGAATTTTCGATTTCATTACTTAAGAAAGTATTATTATAGCCAATAAAAGATGATTTTATGTTTTTGGGCAACTATATCCCACAGTATGGACTGTATGGTAAGTGTATCAGCTCCTTTCTCCACTTGGATCCTGTCTACACACTACAGTCACAAGTACTGGATGAGAAGTGGGACTAACCCCAGGATGGATTGACCCTTCCTGCAGTCTACAGTGTACAGTACTGTATTCGTCTCCAAGTCCCTGACTGTAACCTGTACACTGTACGCTCCGCACAGTCAGAGACGATGGATGGACAGATCCAATCTGCCCAGTACAGTGTACAGTGTACAGTACGCCATTCACAAGTACGGGTGTACTGTACAACCGCAATCCCCCCTCCCCAACCGCTACTTCCTTGATGTCAGCCAAGCCTTTTACTATAACATCGTCAGCCATGTTTGCTACCCTTGACGACATTTGCAGCCTATTTGCCTAGGTGGAAAAGGAGACAATCAATCCATTGGTGTCTCCCACTCTTAAGCCATTAACTTTGATGGGATAGAATGCAATCCAATTGACCAAATTGATTGGAAATCATCTTCTATCCATCCTATTGGTGATTATCAAGGCCCAACAGAATGGAAGAGAGTGCACACTGTCATCGCCGTGATCCACTACAAAATGCTACCGCCAATGATGATCAAACTGCCAGACCAAAACAACTGGAGAACGATCAGCAGCAAGATGAAGAGAGGCAAATAGCCCATGTCGACGTACAACAGACGAATTTACTGGATAACCAAGAGAAGGATGCTATCCAATCGTCTATAGACACCCATCAAGTCAGTCATGATATTAGCAAGCTCAGTGGACAACAAGATGATGATGAAGATGGAGACGATACAATCATGCTCGATATGGCCATGGATCAAGCCATCGATGAAGCTTTCAACATCACCTATCCTGATCTATCCCATCAACAGCAGGATCAGACACCCATGGATTCCACAACGACAACTCAAGCAAAAGAATACACTCCTAGCGATATCAGTCATCAAGCCCAATGTCGTGATGATGAAAATGTTACCATGACTGTAGTTAAAAATGAAGAAACAATCTATCAGCCATGTCCAAGCGATCCCAACCATCAAACTCTTCAAGACAACGATGAAGAAAACAATCAGCCATGTCCTAGCGATCCCAACCATCAAACTCTTCAAGACAAGGATGAAGAAAACAATCAGCCATGTCCTAGCGATCCCAACCATCAAACTCTTCAAGCCAACGATGAAGAAAACAATCAGCCATGTCCTAGCGATCCCAACCATCAAACTCTTCAAGACAAGGATGAAGAAAACAATCAGTCATGTCCTAGCGATCCCAACCATCAAACTCTTCAAGCCAACGATGAAGAAAACAATCAGCCATGTCCTAGCGATCCCAACCATCAAACTCTGCAAGCCAACGATGAAGAAAACAATCAGCCATGTCCTAGCGATCCCAACCATCAAACTCTTCAAGCCAACAATGAAGAAAACAATCAGCCATGTCCTAGCGATCCCAACCATCAAACTCTTCAAGACAAGGATGAAGAAAACAATCAGCCATGTTCTAGCGATTCCAACGATCAAACTCTTCCAGACAAGGATGAAGAAAACAATCAGCCATGTTCTAGCGATTCCAACGATCAAACTCTTCAAGACAAGGATGAAGAAAACAATCAGCCATGTTCTAGCGATCCCAACGATCAAACTCTGCAAGCCAACGATGAAGAAAATCAACCTTCACCCATGGATCCAATGGTAGCTACCAATTTCTATCTAATTAAATGGATCCAATGGAAAGAGACGTCAACACCTATAGTCACACAAAATATTAATGGACCTTGTCCTCTTATTGCTATTATCAATATTTTATTATTAACGCGAAAAATTACTTTCTCTGCTGGACGAGAGTATATTACCAGTGAAGAATTGATGGAAAATTTGGTAAATACATTACTCACACTACGACCAAAGGTAAAAATCATGTCATTTCTTCATTTTTTCCCGCTCGCTCTTCTCTCTTGCTTTCATCTACTGTATAATATACAAAATCCTCCTCCATTATTTATTTCCAACGTCATGATATGAAAGGAGATTCCACAGCAGGAGATAGAATCCAACACTACATTACAATAGAAATAGACAAAAAAAATCAACTTTGACTATTTTTGGAAGGGAAAGACAACAATATACAGTACAAACTAATACCATGGGCTGATGGATCGATGATATCCGAATAGAGCGTACAATCAATCGTTCAAAATCATCTTTTTACCAACTCGATCTCACCCATCTTCTACAGTACTGTAGTTTGATTAGCTTGACTAGACTGTCAATCAGCAAGATGATGTACTTTGTAAGGATTAACACCTAGATACCAACCAATTGAGATATTGGATACTATAGTATCGAACAGGACTAGATGGATTCCCTCAATCTTTCTATTAGTTCAAGTTATAAAATTGTTGGATTGGACCGTCAATCTACAATATACTAGTAGAAGGAGCTAAGTACAGTAGGATCATATCGTTCCATTGCGTTGCTAATGAACGACATGATATCAATTCGGATGAGAAATAACAATCAACCACAGGCCGAAAATGTGGCAGTCTGAAAAAGGATAATTGATTCTATCCATCTCTAGGCTTCCTACCCATTGTTCTACATAAGGTAAAAGCGTTTAGCTAAATCATCAATCACCAGCATGATAGTACAAGGATTAGCAACTACTGTAGATACTAGACAATGGATCTTGGCTGGTGTCAAAAGGATATTTAATCAATTCCTGCTATCCTTGCAGTCGTAGTCGTGTCATAACACCGTTTGATTGAATTGTAAGCTAAAATGACAATATCGAATTCAGCTCGGAATTAGCTTCCAGCTACAAGCCGATTATGATATTGGATAGAATAGTATTGAAAAGGATAATCACAGTATGAAATAATGTAAGGGTAAGGACTAATCGATTCCTTGAATTTTATAGCAATCATGTTAGAGGTGATGGAATTCGACTTGACTGTAAATCAACCGTGTATTGCTGCTACAAAGGTTGTTAGGCACTGCAGACAGTAATAACGAATACCGGATGTGATCGTCTGAAATGGATTCCTCCAATCTAATAACTATCATGTTTGACATAAAAGAGTTAAACCTGACTGACTGTAAATCAACTGCAGATTAGGACAGAGATTAAAACTATAGACTCTAGACAGCAGCAATTCATCAATGTTGAATGCAAGAATAATGTTATGTCCATTCTTTCCATCATATGGCTATCATATTACACTGAACTTCATCGTCATGCAACAGTATGATGGTGCAAGAGTGCTACAACTAGGCACAATTGGTGTTTCGCATATTGAAATAAATAAGTTAGTCTATATCATGTTGAGATTCATATTCTGTAGCAGGGATGATGGCATCAAATATAATGTTTCACTTGCCATGTGCTATCGCTAAACCCTTGATTTCCTTAGGATTATCGAAATTATTGTATCAAAGAGCTTTAACCCAAAACTAGGTTAAAATGTTTATCAGAAACAATTCGTGCAAACAATATTCTCTAGACTGGATAGTTAATATTCGTATAGTAGATACGATGGTATGGTATAGTATGGAAAAGAAGAAACCAGCTTTTCCATCTTTGTAGTCGTAATCATATTACGACACTGCTTATTTTTCAATGTAATATCAGTCAACACAAGAATGAATATTCAGACACAAACCAATGATGATCTATTATCGAGACACTGCATAGTTAATATACTCGTATAATGGATACGATAGTATGAAAAAAGAAGAATCGTTCTTTTCCATCTTTGTAGTCGTAATCATGTTACGACATTACTTATTTTTCCATGAAATATAAATCATCACAAGAATGAATATTCACAGACACAAATCAATTATCATCTGTTATTCTAGACTGGATAGTTAATACTATATATACTGGTACAGTGGATACGATAGTATGGAAAAAGAAAAATCGATCCTTTCCTTGCTTTCTAGTCGTAATCATGTTACGATACTGTTTCTTTTTCGATATGATATCAATCAACACAAGAATTAATATTAATTATGATCTGTTATTCTACACTAGATAGTTAACATACTTGTATAGCGGATACGACGGTATGGAAAAGGATAATCGATCCTTTCTATCTTTGTACTCATAATCATGTTACAACACTACTTCATGATTTGACGATGTAATATAACATCAGTACAGTACAACGATTAATATTCAGACACAAACTAATTAGGATGCGGTTATCTTTGGCTTATGAACTCATATTAGCTCATTCAATCGAGATACGAATTCAAGATTGTTGATCTCATAATGCAAAAATGAATGATTTATATCCAAATGCTTTATTTTATAGGCATTTGAAAACAGCCTTGATTACGATCAAAATGTCAACGATGCTATATCATCACTTAGTGTATTAGAAACTGGTGTCGATATTAACGTCAAATTTGGAGGGTAAGTCATTCAAGACAGAGAAATTTTCAATAAGCTACATGAAAGTTTATAAACCAATATTTTGAAATCGGTATATTTCAAATGTAGTAATAATTCAATTTATTTTACCCTAATCATTTCGCCTCCATTAGAAATATCTACTCATCTCAATCGATAATCATATCGGAGATATAGATTCTTAAACTTTCAGAATCCATTTCTGTCGCAAAGGATCACTTCATCTCATTGAGCTATTCTTTACGATAAAATTGATGTAATGGACCATCTCAGTCTATATAAGTACTAGTGTTGCCTAACTAATTCTTCGACTAGCTAACAGGTCATCTTGTAAAATAGATTTTAGTTCATTTCGTATTTCTATCAGCATCGAACGCGTTATCAAGTCTACGAATCCCAAAATATTTACAGCAGAAATAGTGACCAGCAAGTAGGCAACGCAAAAAATGATCAGGATAATTTATTGTCAGCAATTTACTATTCTAATTTCCTGTCTTAAAGCCGACACTATTGTAATTTATTGTATGATTAGTCTATCCGCTATCTTTCAAAATAGTATATCACATTATACAGCACTTGGAAAACTGTATCGATTAGTACACAAATATTCCAATAATCAACTAAATATCAATCGTACTTTTTCGGCCCTATGTATCCGTCCTAATTAATGCGATGAAAAAACAACTGATTGCCACTGAGATAGCAATAGTGAAGAAATTCTGAGTTAACTTACTAGTCTCCTAAAATAAGCTACACTAGAAAACGATTGTAGCTACAATATAGTTCTCCGATGAAATATAAAACTAACACTGATACAAATCCATCGAATGGAATAATTAATTAGTAGTATTTTGTTGCATTAAAATTATACTACGGTATAAAAAACCTACACTACACCTAATATACTTGTAAGTAATAAATCATGATATCCAAAAAGAGAAATAAACTAACACATAAAAGTCAAAACGTTTCAGTAGTCCTTGCAAATAGATTACATTTATCATCAACAACTTCATTTTCCAATTCATACCATTACCATGTGATAGTTTCAATAGAAATTGCTTGACGTAGAAATAGTTGATAGCAAAAAATACTACAGTATATTAAAGTAATTGTTCTACTTTATAATTTATTATATTAAATACTAGCATAAAATCTTCATGGTAATACATGTAGTCTTGACATAACTAACGTCGCACTTTTATCCTGCAGTATCAATCAGTTTGAATGGACGTGCAATTTGATCGTTTTTGACTTACTTGATATCAACCTTTATCATGGATGGCTAGTCGATCCACAGAATCAGGAAGAAAAATCTATTATCGGAAATCGTAGCTATAACGAGCTAGTCGAAATGATTATATCTTCAAAGTCTAGCAATGATAGTAGCCGAATAACGGAAGGTATCTAAATTTAGAATTGGTGCTGACCCACATTATCGGCGGATACAATTGAATGCGTCCATCAAGTTGCTTCAGTTTTACACTCTAAGCTATTTTACTTTAATAAATTTTAGGTTTAATTGCGGAACAATTCCTCAACAGCACTGCCTCTCAATTGACTTATCATGGTCTCTATACGTTATACGAAGAATTAAAACCTGAACAGTTGTGTGTATTATTCCGAAATAATCATTACAGTACTCTATATAAGCATAAGGTAAAATTATCACGTATTCTAAATTCTGAAAACAACTGATATATCTTTGCGATATCCTATCAAATAACTTCATTTGACTATCTTTATCCAACAATGACATTATTTTATTACGTATATGCTACGTCCTTAGGATGAATTATTCATTCTCGTTACTGATATTGGCTATTCCACCGAAAAAGAAATTGTTTGGGAAACACTATCCAATATAGAAGGAGATTCATCACTTGTCAATCACGAATTTAAAACTGTTAGCTCTCAGGGTCGAACGGAAAACTTTGATGTAAACCAGGCAGCACCAGTAGATGAACAACGGCTCATAGAGTCAGATATAAATAATGGATCAACAAATTTATCTATCCAGTATGATCCGAATAATGATCGAGTATCACAAGAGAAGTTAGAGTAAGTCCAAAATATCTTAAAATTCTTTGCACTAAATTATCAATTACCGTGTTATGCTGCCTGCAACAATTTTTTCCATGATCCTAATATGCGTTGTCGATTATCTGCATTTACAGTCATATGATCGCTTTACAAGAGCAGAAGGAACTTGATGGACAAACTACTGGAATAAGTGAATCAGTGCCACATAATGATTCAACCGTTGTGCCTAATGCATTACCTGAGGATGTTCCTACGCAAGATTTTACCACTACTGATACAGTGTGTCAAGGAGATGAGTTAAGCAGGTATGTTCTATTTATTGATTGTTAGCATATGAATGATAATAAGTTCATCATGCATGACTGTCCGGTAAAAGTATACATTAAAGTAAGACTTGACTTTTTTCCATTGATAAAGTGAGGCATTAGCATGGCGACTTCAATTTGATGAATATCATCATACTGAAACGACCTCAAAACGCAGCGCTTTACAAAGTAATCCCATGACGGAAATGCCTCCAGCTGGAGCAAATACATCTTCACGGGGTCAAATGCGAGCTGAAAATCCGACAGTGCAGGCGTCATCTCAATCTCGCCCTGGACAAAGTCAATCTACAGGAAAACGAAGCGTAAGATTTTTAAGAAATATTCTTTGTACAGCACTACTTTAATGCCATCAATTGCTTTTAGAAATTGCTATTCTTGATGTTTCTATAATTCAACAATACAAAGGGTAGGCTAATATTGCTGCGTCTTTTCGTATTTATAGGATGGCAACTGTTGTATCTTGTGAAGTACGTAAAACTCACACTTGTTTATTGCAACTACAACATGGAGTATATTTAATAAGTTGACTTTACATAATTCGGTACTATATTCTTACTTATTACAATCCGATTTCCAGTTTCATAACTACATGTGATGGTGATTTACAATGTATGTCTAGAAGTATGCATAAACGACTTAATTTTTCTATAGACCTTGCTTATGAAGTATTTTTGACCTTTATATAAAATGAATACATATATCTATATAAAATGTACATTAATTAAGATCTATTACTTTGAGATGAAAGAGTACCTCCCGCATGGAACCAGTGATAAATATATATTTTACATATTAACGTATATAAATTCTATGTGCCACTACGTGATATATTATGGAAAATCTATAAAATGTAGTATCGTGTAAATTAAATATTTGTAAAAGCTAATAAGAGGAACTACGATACCATATCTCCGTTAATATAATAATGTTGTACTTACGTTTATTCGAAGTACATATACATTCTATGTGGTATACGAGTTCACTATAAATATATGCTATAATTTACTATTTAATTTATTCAATGAAATTAAATTAAGTAATAATTAATTCTTGTATTAAAAAGTCACTTTTATAAGTTCTATAGTGTACTTGGATTCATTTTTACAAAACGTCATGACGTGATAAATGCCGCATGTATTATATATAAGTTTCGGTAATTTTTCTACAGCAACTCATGTACAATTTGCACCATTCCATATATCATACACAATCCAAGGCATTAATATTTTACTTTCGTATGGATACTGTTAAGCAGACTTACGTCGGATCATACTACATAGCGCGTTTCTATTCGGAGATAATGCGTTGGTACATCACTTAATCTGACGGGTTATAATTACAACTGATCAAATACTAATATTCAAGCATGCTGTCCTGCACGTCTGCGCTAGTTCAATGACGAAAAAAATAAGAAATTGTTTAATACTCGTACAGTACAATCTGTTTCTATATCTTAATTACTGCATATGATTTCCACATAACATTGTCATTCCCATGCAAGGAGACACCGATCAGGATTAGTTCTTCATAACATTTATTCAGACAATCTGATAATTTATCTAGTCAATACTAGACATCTTTTGTACTGGTTATTTTGGTGTAGAAAATTGCAGATAAAAGAAGTTACTATTTAATCCCCTATGTTTAGGAAATTATGAAATGTTATTTGCAATACCAGTATAACGACAACCTTTAAGCAGCTAAGGGTTCAATAAGGATACTATCGTACTGTTTCAGCGCTAATACTATGTGAATGAAGTAATTTATACTACAGCGTAAGCTCTTTATTTCTAGAAGGTAAAATAGCTTATACAATAAAATTATTTAAAAGAAATAGAACAGAACAAGTAAGGTAACATAAAGGGATCTTGTTAGCCTAAACTAAATGGAAATTCTGCAAAATTTTGAGAATTATTGTTAACAAACATTAAGTTGACAAAACATATTAATTTATGCCACACGTATAACACTATCAAGAAGGGACACGTAATTTGGATTAAATTCCTCAACACGCCCGCGCAATATTTTAGGGCCAAAATTCTTGCTAAAAAATTGTAAACATTCACGAGCGGCGTGAGACGTCAACGAGCATTCCGAAGACTGCAGTAAATAAAGAATCATATTTTGCGATATATTAAAATTAGTTACAAGAAATGATGCCTAACTGATATCATTTAGACACGGCTATATTATGTTTACCAAGCTCTCAAACACAATGTCCATGAAATTCATCCAGTAAGGCTTAAAAACACGCTTTCCTAACTTTTCAGCAATGATAGGTAGCTATAGCGATAAAAACTGTCATTGTAATATCTGCGTATGAAATTGTTTTAGCTAGGTATAGCTTGTACATGGAAATTTATTAAGCGTAATTTCTTACCTGTTTACAAATGGTTTCGTAGAAAAATACGTGCTGAGAATACTGTTTGTATCTACCAGCTTCAGCAATCGCGGGTAACAACTTGCTTATGTTCGTGTGGAAGGTAGACACTCTGCTTAATTCAGCTATAAGGTGAACACAGCTATGCAAAAAAAATATTTTTTTAAAAATAGCTATAAACTAAAATGCTAGCAAAGGCTAATAATACGAATATTAAAGCTAAAGAGTACTAACCCATCTGCTAGTTCCCAAGGCTCAGGTTGCTTGTAAAATTTTGACATTTCGTTCTCAGTATCACCTTTTCCCAGCTTAGGAGCAAGAGAGCCACATGAATATGTCTGTAATGTTAACGAATTTGAGATCTCAAATTAGAACGCTAATAGGATATGTCTCACCATAATACATTTTATATATAAAATAGCAAACCATGCGATTAGTATGTAAATCTGCTTCATTATCACGTATTCTTTTTGCAACACTGTATACAGCAGGGCTAGGATCCATTGACGAGTATCTGATAATTAATATATATATAATGGTATCACAAATTTGCAATACTAACCGTACTTAGTGCAAATAGTTATTACCTTTTGGCATCAGCTGGTTGATCCTTCATTTTAGCTAAGCCTTGGATAATTGTTTTCTCAATAACAATGTATTCATCGTTTCCTAAATAAATTTTATAATTATAGGAAAAATTAGCAGCTACGATCATCTTGTGGATAACAAAATTTAGGCATTTATGACTATTAACTAACCGTATACTTCTGCTACTTTGGCTAAAGATATAGCAGCGCCTTGCCGAACGGACTGTATACTGTCCGATAAGTTCTTAACAAATAAATCATGAAGTTCACTCAGGGAAGGTCTACGAAGAGTGGTAATAAAAAATGATAATTGGTTAAGATTGTGGAATGAAATCAAATTATTACATAAAAAGGATGAGTTGGTAAACCGGCAAGGTTCCGGAAAGCAGCTTATAAAATTTCCACAAGCTAAACATGCAGCTGAAAACAGTAAACATTAACATGAGCAAAAATAATCGATATTTAAAAGTTTCAAAAATGCAATACATCTATAGCTGTTGGAGTCATCAACGAAAACTTACCATCTCTAACTGGCCAACTTTGATCTTTGAAACATACCAGGAGAGTAGCAATCAATTGTTGCACGAATGGATGTAGACATTCGGGAGAAATCTAGATTAAATTAATCAGTTTCATCGTTATACTACATTCTTTATATTAACTATGATCTCGAATAGTAACTTACTTAACTGAACGGAGTATATTTACATACTGTACGAATATATACGGCATAAATAAAACAGCATAATTTCCAATTTCTAAAGTGATTTATTTCCTGTAGCTGGGTTGACTAATGTTTTGACTTACTTTTTGACCAAGTTCCGCTATACAAACACAAGCAGCTTCACGAACAGCATGATTGTCAGCATTGGTTTGCTGCACATAAAACTTTACCTAGAAGAGGTTGTTATAATTGTTATTTATTAATCTAGCCATAATTAAATGCATTCATAATCACCTTATTAGTATATATATATACTGTAATTCATAGTTGTTGAAATTGATTGGGTTGCATCAATGTTATAGCATACTTACAAAGTCCGCTACGTACGATTCTACCAAATTTCGCCCATCAGGTCCTACAGTTAATCGCCAATTTTCTTGTGAATAATTTCGTACACCTTCAGCGATATAGTATCTACAAGGTAAATAGTGATAATTTTTGGCAATCACGTCATGTACAATTTATCATCGTAAGTTGGTAATGATCAGATTCATATCCATATTCGAGCAATCTTTAGTTAAATTGTTCATTTTTCTAGATAAGTCGACTATACTATTGTTGCGGATACCTATTCAAGCACATTGGTGGTAGAATGCTGGGAAAATAACGTTTACTAGCATCAACATCCGTAAGGATAGTAAGCATTTGGCGAGTGGCAATAGAAGCTGCCAATCGTACCTGATTGATAGAATAATAGGCATAGATTTTAATAAAAAATCAAAAACAACTTGCTAAATAAAAAAATTACTTTGGTAGGTAGAATGTAATTTTGTCTTCATATACATATGTCATAACGTCATACCTGGCTCCAATTATCGGATAGTCCAGCGACCAAAACGTCGACAAATTGCGTACCTTTTTCCCAACATTTTGTTTCTTTATAGCCGGGTTGCAGTGTACCTTTCTCTATTACATTGCCGTTAGGTTGATAGTTAGAAGAATTGATCAACTACGATTACTGTATATGCAAGATGATATTTCATACACAATTAGATTGACATGTACCGTTTGATCCTAATTCACTTTTGATGAGTACCCCGAGTGTTCGAAATCCAATTTCCCTTACACATCGGTTAGTATGTTTTGTTGTTTCAAATAGTAATTCCAAGAGTTCATTATTTATGTACGGATGAAATTTCTTACCACAACCATCAATCATGCATTCTAAACACCTTGATGAGGAATACATGGAGAATAAGATTATTCTATTGTGTCTATGCAAATTATTTGTAACCTGTGGTCCATGATATTCACAGATAAAATAACCATGTTACTGATGTCAGTATTAAATTCTTAAGCAATGTATAATTTACAGGGAGCGTAATCTATAGAACGTCAAAATGTATACAATTAAAGAAAATGAACGATGCCGATAAGTTCATATCAAAATGAAACGATGCATGTGTTGGTTAGAAATAACTTGACCTTTTTGCTATTCTTTAAGGCGTTTGATTTTGTTAACAACACAAATAAATAACGAATAAAAATTAGTAACACTTACTGCATGCCTGTTTCTAATGATTGCCAACCAGCGGTATCGTGTAATATTTTGGAGATAAGATTATCATCCTTTGATTGCGGCTGGATATTGGTTTACACAAATAGATGCGTACATAAAAAAGAGAGAGTATGTTATGTCATTTACAATTTAAAGTGTATTTTTATCGTGCGCATCCGTTAAGCAATGGTAGACGTACTTCATTTTTGGTATCTTTATCAGGAGATTTTGGCAGCATTTTATCCTTGAGTTGTTGCATGGCTAAGGCGTCTAAAAGTTCCATTGAACGTTCCATGTTATCACGAATGGATTGCAATACTCCATGTTGAAAGTGTTGATAAGCTACATGGCCAAGACGTTTGCAAAGTGCACCTGCCACCTCACCTATTGTAAATGATGCAAAAAGAAATAATTTAGTGGTGTCATTTATAAATGGAAAATTGTTCACGTCATCTCGAATAGTCTCTACATCATCAATAGTGCTCCTGTTGAAGTCCATGGAAGTCTATCTATGCCATGGTTATCTCATAAAGCGTGTCATTTCAAACTGTACGAGTCGATTTCAATGGCATCACATGGATAATTAACCGCGTAAGCCATTGAAGGGATTGACTGTGAATAAGGAATTCATTTTTGATGCTATATTATCATTTTTATATCGTACCTGCCGCAAATCGAACTCTTGCTTCGGAATGTTGAAGTAAATGGGTGCAAGAGTCTTGAAGGTGACCAATGAAATCTTGACTACATTGCGGTATATGTAAAAGTAGCAATTTACTTGCTAGCAGTCCACCTTGACATGATTCCCATCGGTCTGTCGCTTGTATCAATGTTATTAAGCTATTTTCAACATGGGTGATGTCATTGAGGCCAAGGTTAATTTGATCGGTCAATTGGCTTAATCCTTTATCACGATCAAGCTTGTTGTGACTACTGAGTAAGGTACACCACTGATCACGATTGGGATCCATTTTATTTCAGAATGATCAACTTGAATTTATCTTTGAAGATAATGAAATGATGAAGAAATTATGAATCGTTATCGTCGTTCTCTACGATGAGAAGGACTAAGCTCATCGATTGAATATTATCCGACTACCAATACTGTACTGTACAGTGCTGTCTAATAGTAGTATGCCGTCGATGAAACACTATTGATGCTGTGGTCAACAACAACATTTCATCGAGTAGAATATTGTACAGTAATGAAGACTTGACGATGGCTATTTCGGCAAGGCATGATTTATTCATAATGAACACATCATGGACAGTAGGCATCCAAATTGATGACAGTAGAATAACAAGTTGCAGTCCATTGTCCGAACGATTGCATTCAATCTCGTTGGACTAGTACTGTGCCTTGGACAATTTGTTGTTTATACTATCATCCACTGGGTACATCAACACAAATATGAAATGATCTGATGAAATGCATCTTAATCTATTGTAAACTGGTAACATGCTTTAGGGAAAGCAAGGCTCCATTGAGCTGGTTACGTATGATGATTATTGTAATCTAGTGGTTGCTTACCAACAAAGTTTGATGATGGACTTGTGCAATGTTGTACAGCGTGTTGAATTGACAGATTTGCTTGTCGATTGAATCCAGTTCGATGCTACAGTTCAGGTATTCTCGATAGCCAAGTAATGCTAACTGCAATAGAGCTCAATGCCAACTGTCTACGAGTAGAAGCTATCCAAAATATCAAATCAATCTTGAATAGGAGCCATTCCAAGTTTCCTGCTGACAATGCAAAGTTGCAGAGTACCGTCCACCTAGTAGAAGCTGGTTGCTGAGTCAGCAACGTTTGCTATCTTGACTGGCTCAGGCTACACTCGATGGAGTGTTTGAGCAGCGAGCTGATGCCGCCGGCTTGTAGGACAATAACAATCGTGTCCATTGTGCGGTACAGTACAGCAGGTCAAGGGGCTTCATTTTACAGTGTATGTACTGTATGTGTCGATAGGGGCAAAAGTGTAATGGATCAACTCTCTTAGTTGTACAGTATAGAAATTGATAATTGATCGAGACATAGCACAGTCTAGTGAAGTCCAATGGACGTCCTGTACAGTACTGTACAATGTACTGTATGGTACTGTACCTTACAGTACGATGTACTGTCGAAAAATGGTACAGTACACTGTATTGTACACTGTACACTGTAGACAGGACAGTACTAATACTATAGTGTACAGTCGTCTCCGGCATGTTGTAATTATATACAGTATATTTTACTACCTATTGAGACTACTATACTGTACAGTATACAGTACAGTACAGTCTGTGGTTGCCGACTAGTTTATGGCGAGCTGGACAAAGGCTATGGGCAAAAGTGAGTGTTGACGAGTTGATACAGTACAGGTGAATCCAGTCACAACTGTCTCCACTGTACAATACACTGTACTGTACAGTCCTTCTCGAACAGGTTAATCCAGACACAAGTGAGTCCAGTCCAGCTCGAACAGTACCGTAGAGTGTAGACTGTAGACTGTAGACAGTACAGTACAGTATGGCATAACATCCAGTTTGAAGGGTAGACTGTAGACTGTAGACTGTACAGTAGGCTATACTGTACTGCACAGTGCACAGTACAGTATGGCACAACATCCAGTTCGAACAGTACTATACTGTAGAGTGTAGACTGTAGACTGTACAGTACAGTACAGTACTGTACTGTATGACACAACATCCAGTTGGAACAGTACTGTAGACCATAGACTGTAGACTGTACAGTGTACAGTACTGTAGGTCACGACATCCTGCGGAAAGTATCGACCGTCGGCGGCTGAAAGCGACGCACACCTGACCTCAAGCCTGCAACGCCAACCCTTGCAGGACGAACTACCTGATCAAGTCATCCTCCAGGCGAGTGATCACTAGGCCGCGATCGAACGTTCCTTGTCGTCATACCACTGTTTGTCTATTACTGAGCGTCAACTGCGTTGATGACGTACGTGTCGAGGCCCCGGCAGCCCCCCCCCCTCAGTCTGTATAGTCGTGGTTGGGAGGTAAGTGGAACATTGATCAGCAGCAAGTCGTCGATGCTCAAGCTAAAGTGGAATAGCAGCAATCCATCTTCAACTTTGCAATCGTGCTGATTTTCATCGGTTATCTCCTTCTTCTTCAACAACGACTGTGCTATTGGCTGACATTATCCACTAGTGGAAAGCAACACGTCGCAAGCGTCAGCAGGCTGGAAGCAATCGGGTAAGATGACCACGGGAAAGAAGTGGAGAAAGGATTGAAATGATCCATCATCCATGGATAGAATACAATGAGTCAAGATCGATGGATAGCAGAGAAATAGTCATCATCATCATTCTTTTCTTTCATCTAGGTTGGAGACCATTCTATTGGCCTTGGATACGATCATCATCACATATTGACTTGCAAGTGGTAACACATTACTACTTGCAATGGCGGATGTTGTATTTGTTGTCGAAGCGACCGCTAATTTAGCCGAACATTTCACTCAATTGAAAGAATCCTATTTGCTACCAGCAATGGAGTAAGTAGACAGACTTGATCTTTTATCCAAGTCAACATTGCTTGCATACTTGAGCCACCAAAATAACCCTTGACTATGGCACATGTTGTTTGAATTGTCCTTTTACCAACCTCGTACAGTAGTGTACAAGATTTTTTTTTTTCCCCCCCCCCCTTTACCTTCGCCGCGATCCAATCAATACCATCTTCAATATGGATTGATTTTCCCAATACCTTGTAGCAAACTCTATACTGTACTTTGCCGCAATAGAATCGTTAGTAAACCTCATTTTCAATATTACTCTCTTCCTTGCTTGCCGATCCTTTCGACATGGACTACTCTACTCGATAAAGCAATCGCCGAGATCATTCCTAAATATCCCTCTCAGTCTTGTTGATAACGATTGTTATCCATCCATGCTAGCCATAATACGATCGTATCCAGTTCAACCTACTGTTTGCGTATCGATCCCTGACTTTCTATCACCACCAACCATGGCTGCAGCCAATGCTTCATCGGCCATCGTTTCGCTTTTTAGAATTCCATTTCTGAACTGTATTAGCCATTGCAACCATCATCTTCCTCATAGACTACTTTCATCTCCCATCCAACTCCTTTATCCATTGCAAGTTGATGTCTTTTCCTCAACGTTTCTCTTTTCCCCCCCCCCTCAAAAGTAGTCCCTGCCATTCCTTTCTTCATGGTTAATCCGACCGACGCCATTGCATCCTATCGACCACAAGATAAATGCCCTTTCCATCCCCTAGTTTGAAAATAAAATGCAATATCGAACGACAATTCTTTTGAATTGTGCCACACAGATTAGATGATGATTTACCGTAGATTCTCAATCGTCTTCAATCATTCTAATAGAAGAATGAGGAAATACCAGTTCAGTTAATATAGAAAATTAGCCACTGAATGGTGTTATCACTTTGTTGCTGTAGTTTGCTTGATTACAAGCGATATACCCTAACAGAGCATGATGATTTCACCTTGGTCTTCAAATGGCTACTCCAATAACTTGACTGTTGACAAAGATTTCCCTATCAATACTATTGAAAATGCCCTTCCATCGATGCAATGCAATGCAATGGATATTGCAATCCATCATTGGACTCCAATAACAAAGTTTGCAAGCGCTCGCAAGGTCTACAGCCATCTCTAAGCTGTATCATGAGAAACGATGGTCGGGTTATATCGCTGCCTTCATGAATTTATTAATCGAAACATCATTGCCATTCCATTTTTATAAAGCGCAAAAAAATGGTCCATCTGCCCCCCTCTGCAAAATGATCATCGTCCAACTTTGAAATCAGTAACTAACTAATGTCAAAGTATCCCCCTATTCAAGATGGCGGAAAAAAATTAAAAAAACAGCGTCAATGTCTCTCCACTGAGTTATTTGCTTTTTGCCGATCACCTAGCAAATACTGTCCATACTTTTCAAACCTTTTCTATCGCTCTGTTCCATTTGCCTTGATGAATATGCAATGAATTGGACGTTAAGCCTAATGCGTGATGATTCATATTATCTTCCATTTGCTCGTGTTAAAAGGACATCCTTATAAACGATCAATGCCTGTCGCTCAAAATGAATCATTTCTATTTTGGGGCAGGCCAAATACCCCTTTTGGGCAACAGCCAAGATATCATGTATAAGCTGATCGATAACCAATCATCGTTATTCAACGATACGACGATATCATCATCCAGATTTCTACATAGGCATCTGTACGTATTTCTTTTTCTTTCCTGTTTTTTTCAACCCATGGAAAACACCTTGATGATGATGTGAAAAATGCTTAAATCGTGTTGTAGTATTGGATTGTTAGCCGTCTTTCAACTGATGCTGAATCACAAACACTCTAAAGCCAGTTGGATTTCAAAGCTATCACTATATCCGTATCTAGTCCAGCCTTATATTGAATAATAATCCCCAAACGGATAACCCCCAATCAGTTCAATAGATGAACATCGATATTTTACATTCATCTCTGACTTCCAATATGGATTTGATGATGGCGATTCAAGACGCATCCATGGACTGGTTTAGCCCAGCCTTATTTAAAATAAAATTGGCAAAGATGATAATGATGCTGGTAATTAAAGAATCAATTCGCCTACGTCCAATCGATTAAATGTGAAAATTTCTCATTCGTCTCCCTTACACATGCCTACCTAGACGGCATTCTAGTGTTGTGTGTATATATATTCTGAATAGCACAAAAAAGCACATCGGTAATACTGTCTTGCACTGACTTGGAACATTGCAAGTTTGCCAACTTTAATGAAAGATACCCCCACCAAAAATGATATTCCGATCTATTCCCATCCAAGTGTCCACTCTTAGCCAATACGATCATCATCATCGAGTCGTTACTGATTGCACTAGAATGATCCGTGTCATTTCCATCTTCATGATATGGCACAGTAAAAGAATAAAATCGCTCTTAATGGTCAAATTGGGCATAAAGATGTACAGCTGCTAGCCATATTTAAAGCCGGTCCATACATACTCTAACCGCATTGAAAACTTTTTGCACTAGTTCTCTCCTGTTACAAAATAGAACGCATTCAGTTGAAATGTTCTTCTTATTAGTCTACTCTTTCTTTTCTTGCTAGGGCAGTTTTTTTTTTATTAATAATACCTTCAAACTCGTCCACGCTATCGAACATTTTTCACCCCACTTTGTTCATTGCTATCATGCCAATGCTGAACGGTATTCTATCACCTGACATTTTTCTTATATTTCCTCCATCCTTTCATGTAACTATCGAATACTCTCGTAAAATCAATTGCCAACAATTTCTGAACATACGTTATACTACATAGGATTATCGTAACACACTCATTTTGTCTAAACTAGTTCGAAATCATGTTGACGTATGCCAGAGCTAGGTGCAATTAGAGAAACGTCGATGAACTATCTCTACTCGTAGTTCATTATAATGGATTACTGCCGTTCTAGTTGACCGAGTTATGTTTTTTGCACCATTTGACGTGTAAAATATACTCGTATGCTACTATTTGAACTATTAAAAGGGATAAACATTCAATCCATATTTTATTCATTTTGATAGCCAAATTAGCCAGAGAAATGGTGAAAATGAAGCTACACAAGCGCAGGTTGGTTCTTAAACTAATCAGCTAAATGTGTAATCATGTTACTAACAATCATTTTATAGTAATTAATAACACGGTGATATACTCTAATGAAATGATCGATTGGTAGACGTAGACTTTTACAAGTTTACAATGAGTAAAGAATATCTTTCAGCGATTGTAACTGTTTTGTAATCAAAGTGCGAACGAGAAGCGATGAAAATGATCTTATGATGATAATCTCGTCATATACAGTAATGCAATTTGTAGAAATAAGAACGACTTTAATTTGTTTTGTCTATTTTACGTATAGCATGAATAAATTATAAATCATTTGAAAATTTGTCATGACAACACAAACCAATCATTAAAATAAATCATGTTATGTCGATGTCGATTGGGCTAGGAACTTTTAAAGTCCCTGCTTGGGCCTTAATCACCGTTAGTTGTCCAGTTGCTTTCGATATTTTGTTATTTACTTTCTATCATTAGCCTAAAAATTTATTGTAAGGTAAAAAATGGAATGATCTAACTCAATCTTTAAAACTTGCAATGGACTTCCTTTAACATCTTTTTCCTTGAAATCATCAGCCCTTGTTGATTTCAATATTACATTGATCGCTAAAATAGTAACCTACCATAGTAATGATGTCATGGTTGCGTTAAGTTGTAGCTGAAAACTCTCTAAATTTTGGTACATAAATATTTTATTCTTGTTTCAATTTAACTATCATCGTATATATATATGTGCAGTATCAATGGTGTAGTTTACTCTATCAACATCCATAAATAGGCTATACCATTATGCATAAATCACTATCACTCTTATTGAGTGAAAATATTGCGGTAATAAACAAAAAAGGAAATAAGTATGATCAAAGTTTTACTGAATAAAGAATTATCAATGTTCTTGTATATACCTTTTCAACCAACATTTTGAATCTCCATACTCATTTAGTCGCCTATACAATATGGTTTAATTGCTTTTTCAACGCTGCATAATTCACCGGAAAGCACAATTTTAAGCTGGAAACCACCGACCAATAATCTGAACGTCTGTAAGCAATGGCTTGACTCTCTAAGGTGCTTGCAAAATCTCATTTTTTGATGTTCATGATGTTATATCTTTCCAATGTTTTAGCCTTGATTATGTACAATCCTTCATATAATGCTTCAATGTGTCTCGCTGATACACGTGCGATACACTTTTCACTCCATTTAATGCTTTGAATTCACCGTAATAACTATTTAAAAATAGAGGGAAATATTTATGAAAGATTAAAATTATCATGTTCAAATCATAAGTGTAACTAACGATCAGAAATAGCTGCCAATCTCAATCAGTGATATGTAATATTTTTGAACTCATTCATAAGTTATAACGGAGTAATATTTCTTTATAATCTTATTACACCTGTTGTTGACATGAATACCTTTTCAATGTTATGAAAGTAAAAACAAATTGCATGACTCGAAAGAGTTACTTTAATTGTCCTTATGAATGCTTGAGTGTTTTTCAATTAATTCTTTTCATTTTTCGGGTTGTTATTTAGATTTAATGGTGGCGGTGTTGAAGAGTACAGTGCGATTGAGGATGGATTGGGTGTTGCTTTACAGGTGATCTAAAGCATTGTTAATAAAATAGGATAAAATCTAATTCTGTACTACTAAACCAAAGTAGAAACTGCGTACTAATAAATGCAAACTAGGTCTACATTTAATCTATTCGAAAATTAACATAATACTACTATGCAGTCAATTGACAATATATTGTATAATCAACCTGATAATATATAGCTAATATCTTTTAGATCAAATAGTTTGCTAATCAGGATGAGTACTTTATTATTCTCTTCTTGTGCCATCATATCTCGCTCATGCTTTTCTACTAACGACAACGATGACACTATTACTTCATATACACCGAACTAAAGAAACTTTGCTTTGGATAGTAATTAATCTATAGTATATTAATAGTTCTAAATATCGGGAAAAATTTTCAATCTCTTTTGTTACAATCTCAATTGGTTATCATAAATTGAAATTATCAACTTTCTATGAATGATTTTTAGTGTTTTGACGATATGCAAGCTAAATATCATAAAGAAAAGTAAGTTTCCTCTACTCACTTTCTGATATTTCACATTATTATAATATAATTGATTGCAGTCAACTTTTTACACTATAACATCAGCACTATAAAGGATATAGCATATTAGGCATATAGATGCTATATCAGTGGCCATTTGAAGGCTAGAATGCCTTTGTATTCAAGATACCAATTGCAGTATTATTTCTATGTTATTTTAGTGGCGCTATTCGTGATAAATTCTGTATCTTGGTCTGCAATTCTTCGCCATGTGGTATTCCGAGTTCGGCTTGTTATCAATATTGCGGATACAGTTGTGAAAGAATAGCTGAGTTAATTGGATCTGTAAGTATATTAATCTCACATTTTTATTACGTTGATCAAAAAATTGTTTTACTTATATGCGATAAACAATATGGTTGCTCTTCTAGCGCAAAGTCAACTTATCTGTAATATCGCCAAGACGAATCTCTGCATTGTGCAAACTTTACGATAAGGTATCATTAAAATCGAAAATAATAATTTTTAAGTTCTAGTTATAATAGGTATTATTTATTGATTGATTTATTAATAAACTACGTTTCAATAATAATAATAGAGTATTATCGAGGATTTGCACGTTATGCCATCACAGGATTATGCAACAAGTCCTCATCATTTAGTCTTATTAAAAGGCTTCAAGCTAGCAAGTAATTGTTATTCATTCTAAATTCATATATCATAACGCTATTTTTCCGTTAACAAACTACTACATAATAATCAACTTGACATTCATATATCAAAGCGAAAGAACGTTCTGAACCAAAGACCACTGTTGAACCTAAACCTCAACCTGTCGTCACTAATGGTACCAAGGAACATCGAACTGTTAATGATGCCACCGCCAATACCAGAAATTTTATCCCTCCGAGTACAAGTATTAATTCACCTCCAAAAAATACTCCAGTTGTTGTCACAGCTGCTTCAGAAACGATAATGCCCCCTGTACGTCCATCTGTAACTAATGCAGTTCCTATGGTTGCACCAGTTTCACTTGTAACACCACCGCAAACTGCATTTAATCCAACTCCTCGTGATATCCCACCAGTCAAGGTTGCAAATAGGGATAAGCCTAACAGCAATGAAGCGATACCAGAAATTAGAAAAGACAACACTTCTAGATCATACCCACATACTAACCCGTCTACTACAAAGGGTATATAGTACATTAGATAACAAAAATTGATTAACATGGTACTTAGGTTAATGTGTTGCGTAATGCATTATTCTATATTTATCCATTATTTAGCGAGTCTCGAAATTACTAACCGATTTCCTAATACTAATCCAACTGTACCACCAAATGTTAGACATCCGCAACCGAATGTTAACGTCCAACGGGTAATATGAAATAATTATTTTGATCTTATATATCAATCCCTTGTGAATATTTGTTTAAAATGTCATATTATAACTTCAATTTTAATGTTTTTATAATAGCATTTAATATGGTCCGGTCTATTATCTTGGGAAAGACACAATAATAAGGTTTATTTAGGACATTGATTAGTCCATAATGTATTATGAAAGATATATATTTTACTATATAATTTTACAATCAATAATTATGAACCAACATAACCTTTTCCTTAAAATAGGTTGATCGAAGATCGGGAGAAACACTTAGTGTTAATGGTTATGCGTATTCCAATGAAAATATGTAAATACAGAATAGATTAAAAAAGAAATTTAGTTAATAAATACTATTCTAGCCGACGTGAATATATAAGAATTACTGCAACCCGTAATATCCTTGTCAAGTAAACCTCTAAATAGTAGAAATTATATCACTTAACTTGCAGACGTGGCGAAGATTGGCCTAGGCAACTAATATTACGTTTCGTTCCTGGTAATCTTCTGGTAAGCAATGTAAAATTGAGTTACATCCTACAACGGTAAATTGCCTGATAATTGAAGTTGTGAATAAAAGTATAATGGATATTTTTACAATTTATAGGCGGAAATGATGCCTCTTTTGCGCAAATCAATTCAAATCTTATTTCACATATCTATGACCGATAACAATACAAAAAACTTAATTCAAACTCTTACGCAGAATAAAGTTGTAAGTATAAAAAATTTTAGTATGGTATTTATAGTGTGACTATTGTTGTAATCTATACAACTTGATATCCTCTAGGTGGCTTTTATCTCATTTCAAGGCATATCGTTGAATCCAGAAGAAAAATTACGTCTGTTAATCCTGACTTATAATCCTAAAAAGAACTTTACAGGATATATTCCTCGTGATCAGGTTACTAAAGCTAGCCTTGTTATGTATTTATTTTATGATTCGTAAATTTGACAATTCTATATTTCCCTTTGAATAGATGGACTTTGTTCAAAAATTTCAGGTAATAAAACATCATTATGTAGGAAATGATAAAATTTTGGTTATAATTATTTTGTGATAATAATCATACTGTTTACAGGTTGTCATGAAAAAATCAAGAGAAACCCAAAAACAAAAACAGCAGGTATATTCTTCATCCATTAATTAATTATACTACCATGCTAATAATACTATTGAACAGATATATTTTTCCGATCGTACTATAGTTAATGGATATGACATCAGCGATTATTGCATTTTGAGAATTACCAATGAGCATAACAGATGATAATTGTTCTCGTAATATTCCGTTATGTAAAACATACTTTACTATCGCACTAGTATTTTTGTAGTTATTTCAACATGTATATTTAGAAAAATATGATCTGTACTTATCTATTAATGTATACTAATAAAAATTATATTTTTATCAATAGATGCAATCAGGTGGTTATCCTCCACATTCTGTAGGACAGCCTCAAATGTACGTTAACCAACAACAACAACAACCACAACCGCAACAATCGCTGTTGCAAAGTCATTCCATGAAGACTCCTGTAGGAGCACAACAGTTGTCAAGTTTAAGTACCTCACAATCGGGTCCGATTACAAGCACTAAGAATAGTATGGTTAATATGACGAGATCATCTAACTTCGAACTTGGAGCTAATTCCTTAGTAAGTCTTTAATTACTTGCACTCGATCTTTTTTACAATATGATTATTTCTATATTACCTATGACTAGAGTAGATTGACTTTAACCTATTCTAAACAAATTTTATAATAATGGCTGACAATCTATTTTACAACAACAACCAGATGTACTATCTCGTTTCCAGCATTTAAATCAACAACGACAAGGAAATACAATGCAACAACAACAGCAATCACAAGTTAGAAATTTTCTGAATCAACAGCAACAATCTAATGTTACACAGCCACCACAGCAGCAACTGCTTAATCAACAACAACAGCAACAACAACAACAACAACAGCGTCAATCAATGTCTCATCAGCATAACTGGGCATTACAGCAACGTTTGCAACGAATGCAGTCTGCCCAAAATCAATCACAACAATTAGCAAATACTTTGAACTCAGCACAAAATAGAGCGCCTTCAGAGGATTGGTATCCTTAGGTAGAATTTGATGGGATAGTAGGTATAAAAAGAATGTAATTTCAATTTTACTTGAAAGTAATCTTTAATTTATAGTCCACGATGGCATATTTTAAAGCACGATCTATTGTACCATTATTGGATACATACTTTTATAGTGTTTTAAGTATTTCGGTATTGTATTTCTTCGATAAGACGGAGATCGTCTACGACAATAACTTGTAAATTTTGTTGAAATTTGGATCCTTGATTTAGAACTACATGCTATTCCTCTTGGTATATTGTTTATGTATATTTTATGTGTGCATCAATTTATGATTGTTACAGTACAAGTAAATACATTAAAAAGAACAATCATGACACATCATTTAATATCCTGTTATCAATAATCTTATTCATGCACAATTTGTTTTGACGATATTTCTTTAATTATGTTGTTATTTTCTCAATATTCCTATCTGTACCTGCTTATCGTTATGATTATCCTATATCGCATCTTCTACTGGCTTATTTGGGTTATTAATGCCTTCGATTCAAATTCTATATGAAATATGTGACGATCATATAAATAATTGATAGTTAATCTTGACTTTCTAAGTAAGAAGACTTGTCTATGATAGGAAAGATTTATTCATAAACTGAAGCCTAATGTTCAAAAAGTAGAACGTAACGTATATGTTGGCAATTTTACTTCATTCGCCGACTTAATATTATATTTTTTAGTAACTTTCAATTTTTTTCCGTAGTGATGTGTCCATAATTCTAATATTGAATTAGGCTAGTGAATTCTTTCCCGATCCTATTATGAATATCTGTAAATTGATAGTCTTAGTTTTTATTGAATTAATACGGACAATTACACTTTAAATCAATCATGTAATTATAGCGTATGCAATATTGTTGCAAGCGAATCTTATGATATAAATTTCTGCTCCTTTAGGTTATAAAATTTTTACACCCTAAAATATTGATACCTACATGATCAAATTATTAGTAATGCAATAACAACTATTTCTCGACAATTAATCCTTTCTTTGTTTGAAATTAAATTACCATGAAACATCATCCTACATCTTATCCATTAGTTAGTGACGTCGTATTATTTATTAAAACTATTGCAATCAATGGTGCAAGCAGGGCAAGCAAGCTATAAACAATTGCTGCACTATCCAATCATTGCTATGTATGCAGAAATTTTATAATACCAAAAATAAAATAAAGATTAAATGAAAATACTAGTGTATCGGTATTTTATCTGGCTCATAGCCTATTTTGGCATTATTAATGTGCCAGTTAAGCACACAGTAGTATGTTTATTCAAGAAGGCAAACATTCTTATCAATTGCAATTAATCATCAGATTATATTAATACAAGAATGCAACAATCTATCAATATTTGATGGATAAAGTTTACATGTACTAATTGGAATCACAATGGAGAACAATATTTCATAAAATTCAGTATCTTATTTTAATTAAAAAGTAAGACCTAAAAATAAGACTATCCATGTTGTTTAATACCTTGATTATTACAGATCTCCTCTATCAACAGTATACAAATGTCCGTTCACAATGGATTGGAGTGTTTTATCATTTCTTAGCACCTTCTCACATAAAATTTTCACATGGAAAGGTGTTTACCCCGTCATCGAAGTAGTTTTTAAATCATTAAATCGGTGGTAAAGATTCGATTTCAATGATTAATCACACTCGATCGATGAAAGCCTACAAGCTACTTGAACGTAAACCATGAAACGACATTTAATTGTACAATTACTTAATTACATAAGTTAAGAATTAAATGATCGTCAGTTAAAACTAGAAGGCTTCAAAAGTACGCCAATACTATGCAAATACTCTTCTTTCTGACTTGGAGATCAATCTGTAAAACAATCGGAAAGTTGTATATTTTCCTTCGCCACTCAGGTAAAATTTCTAAGTGATAGTACATTCAGACAACTAATTAATAACAATCTATTTCTAGAGCAAGAAATTAAAATATAACTTTTTCTAAATACGAAGAAATTAGCTAATATATAATTAAGTTTGGCCTTTTATTTTACCTTGATGTGTATAAATAAAAAAGCTAAATAACCTTTCGTTCGGAAAATTATCGGAAATGACAGGTAATTAATAAATTTATGATTATTTACAATACGTTTTTGTTTCAGATATGAAACATAAACTCGGGCATAATTTTAAGTTGTATATTTATTTTTGCCCTATAATTGTAATATTAAGTAATATTCGTTCTAATAATATTAAGAGCTAATAGACCATTCCGATTTAAATTTGCCCTGCTACACTGTCTTACATGTACAAGTGAGATAGCAAATATTCTTCCTTTTCAACGAAATCAACAGCCACTATAAGTAGCAAATATTATCCTACTGACAGTACTTCTTATTTCAGTATTATTAGATCTATATCTAGAGATAATTTGCAGTTATTTTTACTCAAGAAAGTAAAAGATCGATTGGAATTAAATTACGGCTGTCCCAAAATCTAAAATTTAAGTATTAACACCAGCTAATCTATTTTACTGCAGAAACAAGACAATTTTAACCTATTCAATTAGTTTACTATATGAGCCAAAAATTTGGCGATATTTCCTTTAGATAAAGTTAAGAAATTATCTAAATCGCTAAAATTACAAAGCTGCCATACTGTTTATTTCACATCTTATTATATACTTTAAAATACGTATATTTTACAAATCATAAGCGCAATTCCAATCATTTATGAAAAAGTAAATTAACAATATAACATTTAATGCATACAAGAACAAGAATATTTTAGTCATTAACTATGGTACAGGAACAAGCCAATTTTTGATTCATTCAAGCTAGTCAGAGCAATCGGAATATAAAAATCTAATTTTAATTATTTTACAGTACAATTGTACTACTTAATTCGGATCATTTTCGAGCCGCTATATACGTTTGCCCATAGTAATGTATTACACGGTATCACCCCTTTCTCTACTATCTGAATAGATATATTAGTGTGTTATTCTTTTCCCTTATATATTCAGTTAATCATTACTATTTATGTAATTAATTGGTAATTAGTCAACTTAGTTATAATAGCTGGCGCAGCACTAGCTAAAAATATAGCGATAAATATGCTTCTCGAAATTTTAACTTTTTTAGTTCTCTTTCTGTCATCACCTATGATTACGTAAGATAAATGAAATTAAATATAGATACAACATACCGTAAATAAGATAAAATGTCTGTTAAGATGAAAAGTAACCAACTAGAGGACTTACAGTGTCGTCTTCAGTAAGGTGATATTTTATCTTAATACTATTTCGCAGTGGCTTCCTACCGAAAGCTACAGGGACAGTAACACGTCGATTTCGATTAATTTCATGTTCATATGCTCCAGGACTGCAAAGTAAAATTTATAAATAAGTTAGCCTATCATTTAGGTATAATACGATATTTTCATATAGACTATAACTGAAAAATGAGTATTGCAATAATATATTTCGCTCCAAGGTTGCTATTTTAATACCCTGGATTCGCGTAAGTTTTCTATCCAATCCAATGGCAAAGATTTAACATCAATGTGCAATGAAAAAGAAAACGATAATTTAATAAACTTTTTATGACGTAGATTATATCATCAATAATATTACTTATTAATAATGCTCTGAACTAGTGAGCTAACAGTGGACATACACTTAAAAACTATTAATTTATACGTTATTAATATTTTATCAAGACCTTCAGCATCGCCAAAGTGAGACGACACATTTTAAATTGTCAATTACTATAGTTTTCATATCGCTTAATGGAAATCATTAAATAATAGTACAACATTAAATAATGATATATTAGGCTAGGAATTAAACCAATCCACGAGCTTTTTTAAAATAAAATCTACTTAGAAACTAATGTATTAACATCTTAGCAATATATGGTTGAAAATTGTTTTAAGTGGCTTAATGTATATTTTTAAGTCTATGATCTAGTAAGTTATGAACTATGAATACTTTAATTTATCGAGATCTCTAATAATGTAATGACGAACAATTTAAAATTGATAAAAGCCTTGTTGATTATTGCTTAACATTTATTATACACAGATTATGTGAGGGAAACATATGTTTATCCGACAATCTAGACAAGCACATCTTTGATATCCATTAAAATACCATGCCAGAATAAATACTAATATTTATTTTAACTGGCAGTGGTAACGATTCTATTTCTTTACTATCTATATGAAGATTAGAGAAAAAGATAATCTTGTCTACTGCAATATTTAGTTTGTTTGAGAAGCTCGTATTACTAAAGCATAACTCCATAATCATATAAATATAAATAAATACCCTTAACTGATAGGCTCTCTATAATCTTTGATTGTTACTGCATAAAGGTTCAGTAAATGAATAGCTTAAGTAATGCTTGGTATACGATCTGTAGTACTATTGGCATCTAAGAAAGAAAAATTAATTTTCTACTATGCTGTCAGTTTAAATCTATAACTAAGTACATTTTAGAGGCACCGAACACTGATTTACGTGCAAATTATGACTACACATAATGCATCATTATTTAAAGGGCTTTGAATAGCTATAAAACTGATCATAAATCAAGCCATTAGTAGCGTTGCAACATCCTAGATTATACTCCTAGCTTAGAATACACGTATACCGCCAGAATATAAATCCTTTCTCACTACCAAATATTTACTTTGTGATCTTATGAAATCACAGAAAATGAATATCATCATCTATCTATTACTAGTTAGGCACATGCACTAATATTAACCATTATATTACAAATATATAAGTGAAATATATTTTGCTTTACTCCACAAACTGTACAGAAAAAGAAATAAAATACTACATTTTACACTGCATAAACTGTACTTTAGACCATATATTTTAATATATATTTGATTTAAATTAGACCATTGTCTTACATAATACTGCTTTAACGAAATAAAGGAGATGTTATATTCTTCCAATAGTAATAGAATTTTTAATCAATTCATGTATACTCTATTTCAATTAAATTAGAACAGAGGATCCTGTATTGATAGGATGACGAATTACTATTCACTAATTGAATCTGGGTACCCGTAGTACCCAGATTCTACGGGTATGCTCTATCTACTAGATACTATGGGTAAGCTCTGGCTAAATGCAAAGTCAGCTAACATTGACTTGCTTAATAAAACAAACTAAATTCATGTTTGAGTTCATCATTTCAACTGTAACTGCAATGCAATTGATGAAATAGTAAATCATTCTTATTATAATAATACAGTTTAAGTTATTGATTTTGAATCTATTTCTAGATTAATTATCTAATATTCTCGATTTATATAGTGCTGGGAAAGATCAAGAGTCAGTTATACTTTAGGGATGAAACAAAATTAAATATTATAAAATTCAACGAAAGCCCTTAAACAAGTTAAAAAATTTGTAATCATCATCTTGACTGGAAATACATTTACACTTTTAATTATAAATTATAGTGATTATAGTAGAGGTATCGCAGTAAACATATGCGGTATGTGAATATAAATAAACAATCTATACTTATTTCCATCAATTAAAGAAGTTAGCAGCATAATCATTCCTTAGCTTAAAAGTAAATAAAATAAAGAGGAAATCTACCCTGACTACGAAAACTACTAATTTTATGTGTTATAATTGCATTAGTACCAGTACTGTGTACAACTTGATAAATACTGCATAATGACCAAATAGTAGCACAAATATAGTTAACTGTAGTATTTAACATAATTCAACGATTTTATCCTTTTGATTGCATTATAAAGCATACGCTAGCATTTAAGATTTTCTTTCTATGTTGTATCGTATTCAAGTTAATCTGATCATATATAATAGAATGGTTTCAGCATGAAACTTTGCTGAGAGTAATATAAAATAGAAGCGAAATTAGAATTTAAAGCTAATATAATCTTGATTAAGTATACTAAGTGATTATTTAGCTTTCGTTTCTAACTATATAGTTGCTTCAGATCACATGATGGTCGCTACTGTTTAGTATCTTTGAAATATTGCTATCGAATAGTAATGTAAAGCATAAAATAGATACGAGATAGTTATAACTTAGAGCTTCTTCTCAAATATGCTATACTGTTTTAAAAATATTAATACATCAAAATAAAGAAACCGATGCCGCATTGTACGATTCGAAATTTCTGTTCACTTAATTAACTACCTTATACTGTACTATATACTTAAGCTTTGCATTCCTTTCACAAGGGATGACAATTTTACGTCCTGTGATTTTATTAGCCCTTAAATGTACTGTAATAGTTATAGCGTGAAACTTTCTCAGCATTCATATAGAGTTATAAACAACTATAGAATAATTTTAGTATGTATATATTGGTCAAATTTCTGTGATTTTGTTCAATTGATTGAACTATATTGTATGACTGCACTGACAACTTCTTTTCAAACGTATAAATAACTTAGTATGGCAGTTCTACGGGACTTCAGCAAAGTAATCTATTTTAGCAAATATATTTAAAAAGTTTTGATGTCTTCGATCGTAATAAATTGTCTACAAACCTTTATCTGCGGCAACTTCATGGCAGTATTAAATGGCTTATATGCCGGCTTTGCAACCGTTAATTTGGGTCTCTGATATTCTGCTGGGCTAGGAAAATCATTCTAATAAAAAAACAGTTATAATTTATTTTCGCATCAGTAAATTCATATATATTACGGTCGGAAATTAGACGTTAGTGGATTAATAGTCAAAAAGATTCGAATTCTACTCTTATATTTAAAAATAGCTGTCATACATTATTAATCTAATTTAGAACCGGAATTAGCATCATTTATAACTTACTATGTGGGGTTTAGGAAATCGTGCCGCTGACCGACTAGAAAATCCATAACCTCGATTACTTTCTACATGATTCGCTAGCAATGCCAATGATCGTGTCATCTATAATAATTATAAATTGGCATTAAGAACCATTACAGCCAATCTAAACTATGTACGACTTAGTTATCAGCAACTTATGATATTAATGATTCAATATATTGAAATACAATCTAGAGCCAAAACCTAAAAAAACATCATTGCATTACATATTATATATATATTAAATAGTTAATAACCTCTAATATATTAATGCAATACTAAATTTTTAGACTAGAAACATTATCTATCGTGAAATTACTAATTTTCAGGGCTTTTTCAAATTATATCACCAGTACATTAGTAAGATAAAGTTTAAGGATGTAATGGGATACATGTTTTTTACTGTTCAATCAGGAAAAAATTACTTAACCAAGTAATCCAACATAATTTAATCATAATGCTATTAGTCAATCTTGATTGATTTAAAAGTCAATAATAGAATTCAGCATAGGCTCTTTCTAGGCTTAAAGTAATTTTGAGTGAAACGTTAGTATTTCCATTTATATTTACTTCATCATTCTCGTAACAACCAGGTCCAAGATGGGAATCATGATGAAATGCTGTTTCCCCTCCTAATCGATTCGTTAGAGGTTTCTCGGTAAAAAGGGAACGATTTTGAGTTGTTCCAAAAACTACATCCGGACCTTTAGGCGCTAAAATAAAGAACTGTTATTAGCTCACTGATTTAAATTTGATTTCTGTAATAACAAAATTTTCAATGATGATAGATAAGCTGCTTCTAGTATCCAGTTAAAAATATTTTAACAATGTCTTACAGTATTCTTACCTTCTTGTGATTTTAAGCTAGCCGACATCTTGATTTGCTCACTACTTTAACAATTAGCTGATGAGATTTGAGGCAGTTGTTGAGGTTATGCTTGGGTTGCTATGGCAACTATTCAATACCAACCTCTTTCTATTTAACAGCTTCTCTCGATGAATATTATTAATTAATATACAAACAATACATTGCTCGTCATCATATTACAATCAACGTCTTGATTATATCTTATATCTAGACTTTATCTTATTGGCAAGGGTACTAAGACATTTATCAGTCACTCTGGACGTTATAACTCAACTTGATTAATCCCAATTACAACTGTAGCTTAATGAGGCAACTGAGTCAGACTTCTATTCGAGCTTAAAGTATATAATCTCACATTATTTATTTATTATAAAATATAGCTTTTAAATTAAAGCCAATTCTCCTTTCTATATGGCATAGAGATCAGCTGGAGAAATCTACCTTAACTGATTCCGTGCATGCTCATACTGATCCGATTCGGAAAATGAAAATGAGCACATAAAACATTAGTGCATAGTTTTTAAACATATGAATTGGGTATAAGTAGCAGGAGTCAGATCCTCTATAATATTAATAATATATGCCAGAGTAGTTTACTTAAAAATAAACGTTCACACTATCAATTTGTTGCCCTAAATTTGACCGTTGTTTTGCTAATCTATCGACAAACCCAAGTAGTCATGTACATATAATACGCGATAGTGTGACATACTTTATTATGTAATATGTATAAACGTATCATGTTTCTGGCGTCAAGATAAGAAAGGGAGCTCAGATAATGATTTTATAGATGTTTCGGAATGTGACTGAATCATCTTTTACTTAATGAACAATAGACTTCTAGTTAAAACGATTTGAAATTATATTGTTATAAAATGATTCAGGAACACGATTTTAAATAACACTATATGTTACAGTGTCTTGCTATAGGCTAAATATAGTTAACTCTATAAATTTTCCTTCTCTGTTACAAAGAGTTAAGATTATGCAAGTTATACAAAGGTGCTAATCCAATACACAAGGAAATGGTAATCAAGACAAACATAAATACATGTACATACATAAACGAAGGGATATATGAACAATAAGTTACAAGTTTAGAGTAGAGAAACTAGCAGAAATTAATTTATTCCTACAATAGATCATTGTAAGCAGCAAAGGCAGCCTCTTTGTAAGCAATAGTTGCGGCAAGTGGATCTTCAGCTTGGTATATTCCACTACCAACAATAACAACATCACTCTGCCTATTCTTAATGACCTATTCGAAATAGAAATAAAGAATATCCAAAGTTACATAAGTAAGTGTTTTAACAGAATATGTGCATCCTTCAGTACTTCATCCGGTGTCAAATACTGCTGACCAAGAGTTCCCATTCCAGCTGCAAGCTTAACACCTGAAGCAAATCATGCGTTGTAAACTTTGATTATATCTCGGTTATCACTGCTTAAATAAGAATCAAATTTGCGCATATTACATGATGTGGCAAATTTACCTGGCGTTATATGAATAAAATTAGGTTTACTAGATAGCTTCTGTCTACAAATAAATCCAGCTACAAAACCGCTGTGGTCTTCGGCAATCTTAAGAACACCTAATTAATTATATTATGAATATATTGGAATTTCTAACTTCATGTACTAATATCTAATAGCCTTCAATCAGAATGACTCAAGTAAGATATCATCAGTAAAAACTACCATTTGTGTAAGCTTCCGAAACTAAGTTTCCATCGGAACTCATTTGAGCAATTAAAAGGCATGCTCTATCTCGATTGCCACTACCCTAAGTTTAATAATGTCAATCAAGTAATTAATCAAATCACATCAGTCAATATTTTAAAAGTATCCTAATTGAAAATACTACAATATCCAACATTAAACTAATAATTGCACTTTTAATAAGTACCTTCACAAGAGCTTCAATAACACCAGGGCCAGAAACGGCATGAGCAGTTACAAAATCTGCCCATTCACATATGTGATATCCATCTACATACTGCTTGTAAACTGTATTACCGATATCAGCAAATTTACTATAATAGAAGGGATAGTTCGGCCATGTTAGATAAATACTTCAAATAATGTCAGGTTTTGTTCGATAAATAAAGTTTGCTTACCTGTCTTCCAGTATCAAGAAATTTTGCTCGTCTGCTACATTACGCAATTTATAAATTAGGTCAAGTTTGAAATTTTCAACTGCAAATGTATTTATGTGCGTCTTGATAGCACAAATATGGGGTCCAACAATAGATGCCAACTAAAACAAATCAAGAGGTGATGTTATTTATCCGTGTTTCAAAAATTTATTTTTTAAAGTGCAGACAAAACAAGTTTATTCTAAAAAATAATAAAAGCTTATTCCTTACATCGAGTAAGGTATCCAGACTATCAACATCAGCAGAAAAGATTAAATTAGTCGACTTTTGCGTCATAATGTTCAATAGTTTCTTCGCGACCGGATTTGCGGTTAAAAGCGCTCTCTCTTGAAAGTTAAGCTAAAAGGAAGAAGTAAATTTTGAAGATAACATTATTCAATTCCTTATTATCACTGGTTTCTTCAAACTTTTAGTTCGCTGTTACTTGTTTAGCTTGCACTGGTGGTTCTTTAGCAACAATCATGTTATTTGCAGAAAGGTACTGTTGAACGTAGTCCTTTAATTCTGTGGAAATTTTATTATTTTGGTAAAGGATGTCTAACACCTGTGATCCTGTACAGACACTAGTTATCGAATAAATTGATCAATTCTTTGATTAGACTTTTTGACACTGAATGAGACAACTCAATTCTAGATGTTGTGCAAACGCGTATGTATGTTTGTTTAACGTTTTTTACCAAATTACTAGCAACGAATACCTTGACAAATGGACATTATATTCTGTTCCAAGTCTTTCCTTACCACCTTGCTCGCGATCAATAAATGTAACAGCATGAGTTACAACAAATCCTGCATCTCTTAAAGCCTAGGAGTACGCCAATATTAAATATACAAATTTTACTTTATATCAATTATAGCCGTCAGAAACAAACACTCCCATTTTCCAATGCACAAGTATCAAGCCTTTAATTACTTTTTCTTAACTTTAACTTACCGTCACAGTCTCTATTACACTTGTCCCGCTAGTGACAACATCTTCAACAACAAGACAGTTACTTCCTTTTGGTAAATCACTATCAACAAGTTTCTAGGATTGGAAGGTACCAAGTAGCGGAGTATTAGTAATAGGTCAATAGGCACAAGATCATTCCGCAGTAAATTGAATATCGTAAATTGGCGTCAGTGAATAGATATTCTGTATTTCATATCTATATTCTATCGTGCCGCAAACTGAATGTTGCCTGGCGACATTATCTATCTAGTTTTAGTATTACTAAGAAATTTTGGTCATCGATCAACCTTGACCTAGCATAGGCACAATCGCATGATAATTTCGACATAAAGTAGAACAGAATCAATACTTGAAAGGCGTATCAAGTAAATTGAATTGTAGTTGTAGTATATTTCAAACCCATAGACAAGCAGAATAAAATATACAGGTTACTCGATAGATCAGCCGCGTTGATCACATTCGCAATAATGATTGCTTCTACGAATATCGACCAAACGGCTACTTTAACAACTAATGCACAAACTATACAAAACAAGATCAAGTACAATCTAGGAATGACTGGCTATATTAAGAAAGCGAACGATTATGATGAGCTTTATGTCTAATTTACTTGACATATTATATGAGGCAAGATTGAATAGAGCAAAGAATAGTCAAGCCCCTGTAATTATAACTGATGTTCAAAGCCTGGCGTACGTTACAGTCTTACCTTGGAAACACCATGTTGTTTGGCAAATGGTCTCTTCAGCACCAATGGTAGATCATGAGCAAGAGAAATTGCCTATAATCAATCAATTTATTTTTTCCTTTAAAACGTATCAATTGCCTACAACGATCAGATAGCTCTTTTACAGATAGAAATGATTTCTCTAAGGGTACAGATTAATCCATTCTTATCCTCATGCTATTTACATCGGCATAACAAATTGCTCCAAGCGGTACACCACAGATACAGTCGTAGGTCGCGTTGTCACCTAATTGGCAAGCTTGCCACATTAGTCCACTTGCTTCTTCCTATGGAGTACAGTTATAAATCAGAACGATGAGATCAAAACGAAGCAATTTTAGTCTTATTGTACATCCGTAAGAAAAGTTGATGATCAAATCGCATACGCTCGATGACCGAACTTGTTGAACTAATTGCAACACCTTGGAGGTTGCTTTTCTGCACGCATCGATCGAACTGAATGATAGACTAGCTCAAGCTTACCCTTAACTTCGCATTATTGTTCAACGTTCGCAAATTAAAGTATGCAGGTGACTTTGCTCCAGATTTTAAAGTAAATTCTTGCCCAGGATCGGCAAATTTAATTGCTCCACTATCGAAAAGTTGCAATAAAATACTTCGCAATGAACTTAATAGAGTTGCAGCCATAACGGATTGTGACTTGTGATGTTCAGTACTACTAGTAAAATAGACCTAGCAGGAACATAAACTGCGCACGCTCTAACGAAATCTACGCTAAGAACAGCAACCATATGATGTGGGCTTAAGGTGGATATTATCCAACCAAGTGAAGAATAATTTGAACACGAAGTAGAAAGGATATAGTAGAAGGTTAGAGGGCAAGAAGAAGGCCACCTTCTTGTAGGCCATTATCAATAATATCTGATCACTCATAACTATCAATTTTACGCGTGATATATCATTGTATTACGATTACCAGGTATACTGTATGCACCCGTAATAGAGGATCTTCTCGTCGTCTGTTAATTATCTAGGCCAGTTGGCATATATTTAAATTAGGTGGATCATATAAATTTGAATATTATAAGGAACTGCAGTAATTTATATTGTAGATTAATGATTGTGTACAGGTATTGGAAGATCTTCTCGTAGTCTATAATCTAAGCTAGTTGTATTATATTTAAATTAGGTGAATATTATAAATTTGAAGATTATAAAGAACTGAAGTGATATATACTGCAGACTAATAATATACTTAGGTATTGCAAGGTCTTCTCGTAGTCTATGATCTAAGCCAGTCGTAATATATATAAATTAGATAAATATTATAAATTTGAATACTGTATTATAAAGAACTCAAGTATTTTATACTACAGATTAATAATGATACACGAGAAGTGAAAGATCTTCTCGTAGTCTATAATCTAGGCCAGTTGTAATATATTTAAATTAAGTGAATAATATAAATTTCAATATTATAAAGAACTGAAGTGATTTGTACTGCAGATTAATACTTATACGTAGGTTTGAGAAGATTTTCTCAAAGGTCTATAATCTAGGCCACTTGATACATATTAAAATCAGCTAAAATCATCAAATTATTTCCTAATTTTAATTTATATCTAATTTTCTTTCTGATAAACATATTCCAATAATCATCAGATCTAAAACAATCACTACACAAAGATCTTTACAAATAAACAACACTTTATATTATGCTACTATATAAATTGAGATATAAATTATGACTTGCTTGCATTAATAGGATATATTATTGTCCTCGGAATAATATTATAGCAAACATCACTATGGGTACTTAGAAGCTAAATAAAACGTCTCCTGATGGATATTCTTCGCAACATAATAAAAGAAAGATAAAGATAATTCGCATAAATCAGAAATTATTTGACTTTATTCACATCCAGTCTCTTATACTATTCATCATTGAGCTTTTAGCTTTAAATTTAAATCGTAGGTGTAGCCGATTTCTTTTCATTACATACACGATAATAGCTGTCTTTTTGGCACCGCAAAGTCTGCAAAATCTATATAGCTATAAATTATTTGATTATTCTAGTTAAAGACTATGCTTACCTCTATGACGGAATCGCATTTAGATATCATTCAAAATGGTATTTTACAGATATTAATCATCAATTATTTCTTGATCAATTTGAACCTGATTAGTTTAATTCTATCTATCAATCAGGTGGCAATTAATCGTGTAATTTAGAAGGGCTTAAAATTGTGTTTGTTACTGCTAAACGTAAATATGACTTACAATATCATATTGTTTCTTCTATCAAATCTCTTACAATAGGTTTCCACGTCAGTAGCAATTGCACAATTTTGTCTCTATGTGCTATTGGTAAACATAAGCTTTTGCATAATAAAGTATAAATATGGCTTTTAGTAAATAAATCCACTTGGCACCCTTTAGCTGATATTACAATTGAGAAAATAGATTGTATATGAAATAAAACGAAGAAATAATTTGAAACAAATTTATTATATACCAAAAACATTGTTCTAAATATTTTCCGGTAGATTTTTATTCAAAAGTCGCAACGCCAATAGCAACATCATTTATTCAACTTTTAGTGATAATTATGATCAGTAGAAATAGTTTAAAAGTATTAGACTTTGTTAAGTTCTCTACTACCATTTCTGGTAGTACGAAGGAAATTCATACATACTGCACTGTAAGTTTTTCGTTGCTAGTGATATAAGATAATCTTTCTTACGGTTTAGTAATTGTAGAAGTTGGCTTACAAAGCAAAATTAGCGAGCTTGGGCTATTACAGTAATATAAAATATTTACTGTTCTACCATCAAGACAATTTCTACACGTTAGAGTCTCTTAATGCCATGACAAATAATGATAAGATCTAACATTTCTTTATTTTGGTCTTCATGTTGGCCTCAATTTTATGGCAGTATGAAGATTTAAATTTCGAAAACAATCAAAGTTTCTAGAAGATATTTTTTACTAAATTTACAGTTATATTTAGACTTTTCTTTGCAATCATGCAGTATAAGCCTTCACTTAAGAAGAATGGAGTCGTAATATCTAAGCCATAAAAATTGAAGCAATATTCGATATTGTAACAGTCCAAGAATAAATGATCAACGTAGAAAAATTTGTCATTTACAATATATATCCGAGCATAATCTGATGAGAATCATGATCATTTCTGCCATTTCCTCCTTGGATAGGCAAGAAACCCCGTCATTTAAAACTTATATCTAAAAAAAATCCTATCAAATCATGATTCCCGTCATTTCTTTCTTAAATAAGTAGATAACATAAGAAAATTTATCATTTAAAACTTATATCCAAGTGCAGTCTAATTTAATGCGGTACCATCATGATTCCTACCATTTCTTTTTTAGTACAGTAGGTAGATAATGCAAGAAAAACTTGTCAGTTGTAACTTATTTTCAAACATTATTCAGTTAAAATCATAACGATTCTTACCGTTTCTGCCTTGCAAGGGTAGATAATGGAAGAAAATTTTTCATTTATAGGTTATCAGACCCTGATTAAAATCATAGTAAGATGAACTAATTCCAATAATTTAATTAAGTGCTGAGATCTTAACGTAGTTGATAGAATAAATCTTTATTTAAAGTGGCTTAATATACAAGTAAATAGTAAAGCAGTAGACTATGGACAAATAATCGAATCCTCATCATCAAATTGCCATAGTAAAGCATTATGTTGATCGTTATATACTCGTATAGCGTAAATTATAGGTTTTAGATTTATTGGAATAATGATATACATATACAGTATATACATGTGCTAAACAGAACCATGAAATTGTAATCCAGCATTTGGCATTTACAATCATTTAATAAAATTACTTGCTTACATATTATTATCTTCTGGCACTACTCGCATAAACCGCAGGAAAAGTTTTCATGTTCAAATAAAGTCATTTCTATATCATTTCTTTAATTTCATCATGAATGAAAGATTACAGTATCAATATCTAGTAGGCTATAAATGGAAATAGTTGCAAATTCAATGCCGTATCCTCGACAGAAAATCGGATCGATCGCTAAATGTTTATACAGAATACAATAAAGTATTAAGAAGCGCAAAAATAGAAAAGTAGGAAAGTTAGGTCAAAAGTCAGGAAATGGCATCGCCTAACATTCATTGCAGCTATTTAGCTTAGCAATATCAGATTAGTCATAACGGGAGTATAGCTCGATATAATCTTTATTTCAGAATTGAATAATCATAGATAACTCATATTGAACTACTTAATCCATATTGATGGGTATTACCGATGCTGTTTGCAATGCAATCATTGATAAAGTAGTTAGAAAACTTAACCTATTTTGGATAAGGATGATTATTCAACAGAATAGATGACAGAACAAAAAAATTAAAATAAAATCGATGATAGGATAATGCTGTTGAATTTCAAAATTACCATCTATTAATCAATTAAGTGTAAATGCCTTTTGATTTAATTTACCAAGCTAAAGTGTGTCACTATTTTGATTGAAGAAGAATTATAATGACTTAAGTGATTGAAAAGCTAGACTCATTGTAGTTGTTGAATATTAAGTAGATATTGATAATCATTTCTCGGCGATCAACGCCATCCAGTTTGTCGTCAATTGAAATTAAAAGTGGTGTTGCAACTTAGTCATGAAATACTTATCGACTACTGTATATTGTCATTATAAAGCCTTATAGGCTATATAGAATAGCAGAAATAATCAACTCTACGTGTAGTTCTCTTACTGAGCAATTGAGTATTGAAAGGAGATTAGGAAATATCTAATTTTGTCTTCATTTTGCATCATTTCCACCTCAATCAACAAATTAAATAAAATTACTGTGCAATAGATTCATTATTATTACTGATGTGATTATAATGTATTTAAAGAGTGTTAAGAAATGTCTAGTTTTGTCTTCAATTTGCGTAATTTTCACTTTAATCAAGAAAGTGAATAAAATTGCTGTGATAAAGATTTATCATTACTAGCTATGCAATTACAATGTCTACATTTAATGTTCTAGATAGCGGAAAGACATCGATCATTTCCTTTTCATTGGATACCTAGACTTTAGTTGAATTTTAGTTGTCCTATTCCTAAGTGGAACGACTTTTCATCCATATTAATGCGCTTAATTCTCCTTCCCTTCAAGAAAGATGAAAATCAATTTATCTTATGTCAGTGATTAGGATGGAGCAGAAAGCCATTCAATTTGTTCAGTATGGATTTTCAAAGTTGAGAAAAATTTGCCATATGTATCATATACTGGAAGTGGCTGATTTTCGACGATTCATAATATTGATTTGATCGATGATATAGCTATCTCGTCTGCCAATAAGGTAAAGAAAGCGTAAACGATAACACTGGCATGATGTTATACAAATAATTGGGTTGTGTGATGTATTAAAGATGGCAAACCATTTACATAATGCTAACGGCAATATAAATTGTATTCCAGTTAGTTTAGTAAACATTAAAACTGTAGTAATGACAGTATAAGGTAACCAACAGATGATGGTCATGACTAAGATTCCAACTAAAATACGCAATGTTTGCAAATCATGACTACGTAAAGCTGGATGATTTGCTGTTGATCCATGGCGATTACGTAAATATTGGACATCTCGAAAGATGGCAATATAAATGATAACACTAGCTAAGATGGGCAAGCCATGCATTAAATTTTGTGTAGTATAGTAAAAGCGAGGATAGAGACCAGAGTCGTTCCATTTTGGTCGACATTCTCGTGTTAATATAATAGGCTGTCCATAAAAATCAAATTGCTTAGAATAAAACATATCGGTATGGAGTTTAATAAATAAGGGAATATTGCCTAGCAAGGATAAGCACCATACCAATAGAACGATGGCTAGACTATGATTAATTTTTAATATAGGGCTTAACGGTTTAATAATGGCACGATAGCGTATAACCGAGATGACTAATAATTGGAAGATTGATACAGTAAATAAGACTTTCTCACATACAGGAAGTATAAAGCAAAGAAATGCGCCTAGTGGCCAACGATGGAATAAATAAGTGGATAAACGATACGGAATAACAAGACATGCAATGAGAACATCACAAAATGCTAAATTGCATATAAAAATATTGGTGACTGTCTTTAGGCCACCAGTCATATTTTGATAGGCCAAGCCCATTAATATAATGTTACCAATCACAGCGACAATAAAAGTGATGATGTAAAGCACCGAAAGAAGAACAAGACTGCTATGGCTAACATAAAATTGCATCCAAGGGATACTTGTGGTATTATTAGGTTGATGAGTCATTTCCAAAGCGATGTACCGTAATAAGGATAGGGCAATCCAGGATATGAAGAAGGAAATTGCAAGCAAAAGCCAATCGATTCTTCTATCAAATCAATCACGTTAGAATAGTATTCCAAATGATTTTCGATGCGATTATCCCGTTAATAACGGTAGCTATTAGAAAAGATTTTCGAAACTTTTATCCCGTCTAGAACGGTAGAATATAAATAATTTTCGATACTTTTATCCTGTTAATAACGAGAGTCCGCTGTTAGAAATAATTTTCGATACCTTTATCCTGTCAACAACGAGAGAGTCTGCTCTTAGAAATGACTTTCGATGCTTTTATCCAGTCAATAATGATAGCCTGCTGTTTGCAACAATTTTCGTTACTTTATCCAGTCGATAATGATAGCCCGCTATTTAAATAATTTTCGGCACTTTATCCAGTCTATGTTGATAGCCTGCTGACGGATATAATTTTCCACACAAGGATCCAGTCAGTAACGATAGTTGAAATGATTTGCAATCGATTTGTAAGCTAATTTATTTAAGTTGGCAGAAGTTTCATAAAAGATTTTTAACGGATCGATGAGGAAAAGAAATAGAAATGAAAAATTGAATGTTTTCCAAATGGATAAACTAATCCTTAGGTGTGATTCCTAAGGTGATGATCGCTCGTTGCGTCGATACTTTGTGGATAAATTAAAATTTTTGATTTCTAGATCGTAGAGAAATTCTTATTTCAATCCAATAATTTAACTAGATATAAGCAGATAAAAGTCGATGAAAGCCTTAATCAAGAGTTATTGCTTAATCAATGGGTAAAAAATCACTACTACCTAAGATGCAGATCCACGTCTCGATTTAAAGATGTAGGCAAAAATTCCTGCGTTCAATAAGCTATAAATCACGAGTACATCAAGATGCAAGTCTCGACGTTAAGCTACCGCTGAAATTCTTTTCTTTAACTTGTTTAAAACCACAAGAATCTAAAATGATCTACGTATCCAGAAATAGAACTAAATTCCTACTTCAACAGACTTAACAAACACAAGTACATCCAATCCACGCCTCGATACCAAGACGGAGCTAAAACTCTTTCAGTCAACTAATTTAAATTCAAAATGAATATAGAAGACAGATCTCGATCCTACGATGAAACTCCCGGTTCGATAGTTTTAAAAGTACAAGAATAGAAAATGTGGATCCACGTCTCGATGTAAAGGGATAGAGCTAAAATTCCTAGACTTCACTGGCTACCACTATCACAAGCTGGTAAATGACTGCAAGATCTCTTTATTAATGTCCCTCGTAGACTTTTTCACCACTCCGATTAGCCGAAAGCTGGTGAATAGTTCAGGCCTTCCTTCCTAGTAATGGAAGCGCAAAATGAGCCAATTCTTCCTTCCTCTTGAAATAAAATGAAGTTCGATGGACGATAAGGCTACGCCGGTCAATAACGTTGGATGGAAATCAGATCAGAGCGATATTGCAGATTGAAAATGCTATTCTGTTCGATTGGAATAGTACTCAAATCTTGGTGGATGAATAACTACCTATTCAATAAATTTGAAATTGAATCTGTAGTAATCGTGGAGGAGCAATGATGATATTAAATCAAAGGCCGTCGGCGACATAAAATATAATAATATTGTCCAAAACCAGGTAAAAAGGAGAAAAAACCAATTCCTTTTTCTTTACACTTTATTGATTGAAATTTCCTTCTTATTTTCCACTCTTTGTTGATTTTCAATCAGTGCGATGTCAATTGAAGTCTATTAGTAAACGGCGATGATGATGAACTTCATCAATAGCACTGCACAGATTTCTCTTTATAGCTTGGAAGGTAGATTAAGAGAATATCAATCCAGTAATGAGCTATAGATCCACTTGGTAAATGGACATTAAACTAGCAAACTTTTCTATCGTAGTTTATGAGTCATTGAAAAAAATTAATGCTTAATCAATGGATGATGATAGGGGACGGCTTCTTGAGAGGATGATTAATGAACAGTTTAATCCGTAGTCTCCTTAGTTAAAATCTTGCCAAGGAGAAGGAAACAAAGCCTCTTCGACGTTTCTGAAGTAATTGAAGATTAATCGATTTCGATTCGTTATGAAGCAATCAAGGCTAAATTATTCATCAGAAATTGGTAAAACTTTAAGCTGGATTAATTTAATTTATTTTTGCTCAATGAATGTATTATGGTGATCTAGACGGCTTCTTGAGATGATAATTAATTAACAGTTTGAACCCGCTAGCTCCTCGATTAAAATCTTGCCTAGTCAGAAAGAAATAAAGGCTCTTCAACGTTACTGAAGCAATTGATAGTTTAATCGATTTCGATTTGTGATGGTGAGATCAAGGCTAAATTATTCATAAAGAGAATAGTAAGACTGTAAGCTTATTCCATTCAAATTATATTTTACTTACAAAGAAGTGTTTTTAAATAGCTTGCCAATACGATCAAACTTTCAACCTTGAATCAGAAATAGAGCTAATATAAATTATTCTCCATTTGACCTGTGATCTTTTCCTCGCCAATATTTTTAGTAATCAATATTTTATTGATTTGAATAATAACTATATAGAATCAATGATGGAAATAATAAAATGAACTAAGATTTCAAGCTGAGTCTCATTAACTACCACCTAAACTGTTATATAGGCCTTGAAAAGATCACAAAAGAATGAATATCAGGGTATCCTGAAAAGGTTCCATTGAAAATTGTTAATGGCAGACATAAAACAATACAACCAATTTGCTTTCCATGTAATAATTTACCAATATCGATGACTTGGCTCTGTTCTAATGGAGAATTAATCCTTGATGCACCGCGATAGAATAATAATGAAAAATGCCTTGCAGTTTAATCGACTTTTCGTTGACGTAGCGTCTTTTGAATATAGATCAAAAAGAGGATTAATGGATCCACTACCGGCTAGAGTATTCGTCAAGGGAATGAAGAAGAGTATGAAAAAAAGTTCTTGACTCATTCAATAATGGCTTCGTGCAATACTGTTTGAAGATTCAAGACTCCATTAACTTTTATCTTCTAAAATAGCACTAAACGCCTTTTAATTTCAATAGACTCGAATCTAGCTCGTAGCTGCTTGACCACTTCGCCTTTAAATAAGAAGAACTAAAATAGAAACGATTTAATTTAATATTCAAAAAGGTTGAAGATGGGTATCCAATCTTTAATCGATTTGCTATGCGATACCTTGAAAAAATATTGAGAAAATTACAGATTATTAACTAGAAGAGCCAACTTTACTTTCATAACGTTCAATGGCGAAATCATCACGAATATATTATTAATAATAAATGGAGGAAAGAAAAATGTCAGAGAGTATTCCTATATCGAGTTAGTTGGATCGTGTTTTACACCTAGGCGGACTAATTCATCTCTAGTAATCGAGTTTACTAATCAAGGTAAATATTTTGTCTACAATTTTGACGGCAGAGGTGATAATGAGCGGTAGTAGCAAGTGGAATGTTATTGATGTAAGGTAGAGAAGACAATTACTCTTCTCGCTTGATTTAATACAATTATATTGGTAAATTTTGTTAGACTGAGATTGGCGAAAAGAGTTTAATAGCAAAGCAACAATAGATTACTATTTCTTATAGTTTAGGAACACTTTATCGGATTGAATGATTGAGTGGATAGCAGATGCAATAATAACAACAACAACAGCAATAATAAAAATAAAATGAAAAAGAATTTCTGCCTTGAATTTGATCGCTACTACTTCATCATCTAGAAATCAGTGTTGAATAGATAAGTTACTCTAGTTTACTATGTATTTAAACTTTAAAGGGATCATCTTGCCGATAAAGAAGAGAGTAAAGTAATTGTCATTGATAAAAAATAGATTGCTAACTGTAGTTTACTACGTATTGAAATTTAAAAGGATCATCTTACCGGCAAAAAAGGGAATAAATTAATTGTCATTTATAACCATTTAATAGATATTTGCAAACAAAATCTATTTCTCTCGTATAAATTACGGGTATATTGTCTAACTACTTGAAAAGATCAAATCATCCGCTGCCTATGAAGGTGTAGATGATAGACATATGTAAAGTTTTTAATGGACAGATTTGATACAAATAGAATTGTTAATGGGAAGTAAAAATTGAAAATATACTATAGAACTACTTGAAAAGATTACTTTATATATATATATATAATGGTTGTAATGGGTAGATAGATTATATTTAAAATGGAGTTGTTAATGGGAAGTAGAAGTTAGAGGTATGATGTAAAAACTACTTGAAAATATCGCTCCATCTTGTTGACAAAGAAGAAGTAAAGGAGCTGATAGTGATAAAGCTTTAATTAGTATTTTTAAAAATTTAACTGCTCATGTAATAAAGTAAAGTCGATGATATTTTCATATTAAATCTTTTATTAGAGCATAAAATTAGTGATGTAGAATAGCTTAAAAATAGGGCGTCATCCTGCTAGCAAATTAGTCTGCAGTAATTGATATTTATGGCTATATCTATGAAGAGCATAAAATTAGTTATATAATGCTTCAAATAGAGCGCTATCGTACTAGCTAAGAAGGCATAAACTAGCTAATAATATATATAATTATAAATCTACCCTTGGAAGGTATGAAAATTTGAGATGTAGAACTACTTCAAAATATTAGGCTATTTTAATTACTAAGAACGAGTAAAAGTAGATGATACCAATAAAATATGAGTTAATATTTTATATCCCTATTTATACATGACAAGTGCAAGTTTAGAGATATACTTGAAAATATCATATCGTCTTCCTCGCTAAGAGCAGTAAATTAGCCGATATTTATGTTTAGAAAATATAAAATTAATCAGGTACAACTACCTAAAATATTAAAGAATTTTCCTTCCCATAAAGGATTAAGGCTTATGCTATTTCTAAAATAAGGGTTGATCTAATTTTCATTCAGTCTATATATGTATGAAAAGTATAAAATTAGAGATGCAGAACTACCTGAAATATCATGATGTTATGCTCCC